CACAATAAAGCGATCTAAATTTCATTACATAATCTTTATAACAAATCTTTTATATTAGCTATGTAACTTTGTGAAAACAATATATTTTACCTATTGAATAAATAACTAGGTTTTGTTTGAAAGTCTTAAAATGGTAGCTTTATTATAACATACTTCTACTCAATTTTGATGACATACATTTAACTCAGTTTTATAATAAATCACAAGATAAAATTTTGGATCCCCTTATAAAGGGATGTCTTTCAAAACATCAAACACGGGTAGCTGTTTCAGACATTGCTAGAATTAATGATTAAATATTAAAAAAATATAATTTGAAAAAAAAAACCAAAGTTTACAATTTGTTATAAATTCCATCCTATTTAATAAATATTAATACTTTAAGAGTGGTAATATAGATTCCTAAAAACAAGATTTTTCAACTAGAGAACGCCTACCTTTCTTTGTAGTGTGTTCCGTCCTGAATTGAAATCATCTAACTTACGATAAACTCGACTACTCGATATACTCTACTACATTCACAACACATATCAAGCTTCGATACCCAAACATAACTAGACTCGATGCTCCAGAACTACGACACCAACTCGTTTACTTCACCAAGCTCTACAAATGGTACTCCCAATCAACAACGATTTCACTGGACATACTACTACACTTTAACAGTCAATATAATTCGATACCTTAATACGGTCCTAGGTGCTTTGACCACAGGTGCTTTGACCATAGGGGGTTTGACCATAGGGGGTTTGACCACAGCGGGGTTTTGACCACAGAGCGGGGTTAACCATAATATATAGATTTTAAAATAGATATTATAAATTGTTATACGTTTCCTGTGAGTCCATTAATAGAAATTAACGTACTTAAAAAAGGCAAGAACTATATTTTAGTCTCCACATAAAAGCTTGTGCTACGCCTCATAGAATTTATTTTAAATATAAATGGAACATAAATAATGCCACATGTAACAAGTTTCACAAATAAATAATGTGGATGTACTTGAAAATACATAATAGAAAAGATAACAAAGGATAAAAAACATGCCAACAGTGTAGTCAAAGAAGTAATAATTGTATGGTTTAGATTACTGTATTTATATGATGAATTCACATATTATTATATCCTTACGCAATTTAAAATATAATTACACAGCATTTAAAATAAATCATTACAATATATGGACAAAGCGCTTATTATCAAACGCCAGCATTGGACAAACCACCTATATGGAAAAAAAAAAACACCTGTGTTTTTAAAGCCGGACACAGCGCTTGTGATCAAACACCCGTTGACAAACCACCTGTGGTCAAACACCCTCTGCTGAGAAAACACCTGTGGTCAAACACCCCTATGGTCAAACCCCCTATGGTCAAACCCTATGGTCAAACCCCCTATGGTCAAACCCCCTATGGTCAAACCCCCTATGGTCAAACCCCCTATGGTCAAACCCCCTATGGTCAAACCCCCTATGGTCAATCCCCCTATGGTCAAAGGCCCTATGGTCAAAGGTCCGCGCGCCCTTAATACCACAAGAATCAATACTCCCGAACTCCAGAACTACGATACTTCATCTCCTGCATTATCATTTCTCTATTACCAATCAGATTCCACTGGACCTTCAACTACACAATAGCAAAATAAAAAATACGACACTTTAACACTTCGATACTTTATACCTACGAAACCATACCAACAACAGCCTTCCACCGTTACTCCCAAATCTAAACGATTCATCAAAACTTACCAAACAAGTGGCAATACTTTGAACACCCCGTCATTACAAAACCCTATACACCAGCAGAGGCGTAGCGACCCTTCCCGGCGCCCGGGGCGAACTTTCAATTTGGCCCCCCCCCCCCCCCGCTTATATATATATATATATATATATATATATATATATATATATATATATATATATATATATATATATATATATATATATATATATACATGTGTGTGTGTGTGTATAATTATGTGTGTGTGATAGTGTGTTTATATATAAGCTTGTGTGTGGGTAAGAGTGTATTTGTGTGTGTAAGCGTGTGTGTAAGCGTGTATGCTACAGTCCGGACAAGGTTTAATAATTACATTGTATGATTTTCATTCCTTAAAACTTTACGACAATTTAATTTCCATTAAGATGCGTTTAATTTTTTTTTTGCGAAAGATTAGTGATGTCAGTAAAAAAAAAATAAGCCTGATCTGTGTTAGAGGGTAGTTTGTAGCTAACGCTAATATGTTTAGACCAGCCTTTTATGTTCTAGTTTTGGAACGATCTCTGTTGTGATATGGTACATAGTTGGATTCGAAGTTTGTTAGAGTAAGGACACACAAGTGACATACAAGAAGAAGTTATCAGAAATATTTATTGTTCACATTGGAATACGACATGGGTATTTCGTTGATTGGTTGATGGTATGACAAAACAAGCTAGAGAAAACAAACCGGAATCCAGCGGATGTTAACAGCTCGTAGTCTTGCATTTCGCAGATTTGCCCTGCCTTCTCGCACACAGAGTTTCTTCCAGGCATCTCTTCGGGGGGGGGGGGGGCGAAGCCCCCCGAAAAAAATTTACCGCCCCCCCCCTCGAACGAAATGAAATTTATATAATTTATATATAGAAAATATATACGTTTAACAGTGTCCGCCCCCCCCCCCCCCTTCCGAAGAAAGTCTACCGCCCCCCCTCGAAAATTTCAAGTGCCCCCCCGGAGAAAAAAGTCTGGAAGAAACACTGCTCGCACAACGTCAACAACCAATGCAGAACTAATTGTATTGATTGAAGAAGCAGTAACAATCAATTTAATGATAGCCCATGACGTTCTGATTATAATCAGCAGCAATAAAACGCGTTTTAACACTCTAAGAAAATGTAGAATTCAAATGCATTGTCAAAAAAATTCAATCAGGATCTTTAACTAAATGTGGTCTCTTTTACTGTATGGCTTGGATTACAGACAGTGGAGAATGAAATAAGAGCATGGAAAAAAAGTGGTGGTTAGTGGCTTAGGGATTCAAGAATCCGTGATATTTAGTTCTCTTTAATATAGTTCAGTGATCCAGGTAAGATGTAAAGCAATCAATCAAAAGTATCTGATCTCTCACGTTGAAGTTGAGAGAATCGTAAGAATCTTACAAAGAACTAGTCGCGTCTTTTTTTTAAACAAAACTGGCTATTGAAATTGTACATTACGCGTTAATACACTTGGTTTCTTTACTAAGTGTTAAGAGAGTTATCTACTCACCAATCCAGTACAAATACTTGCGATTTTTGTTAGCGAAAAAAGCGCCCCCCCCCCCCCCCCCCCCACACACTCATCACAACCATCTTGGACAAAGTTTGTAGAGCGGTTTTTAACGTAACTAACTTTTTTTTAAAAATGTTACACAATTATACAATGCACAGTACAATTCGTTTCTTTCTGAGAGCTAAAGGTTGTTTACTCAGAATCCTGTGTAATTTTGCTATTTTATTTAGCCTAAAAGCGCCCCCCCCCCTGCACCATCTTGATAAAAGTCACTAACGTATTTTACAGTTCAACAATCGTACAATACGTTTTAATACAATTGGTTTCTTTTAATAGCGGTAACGTTTATCGACTCAACAATCTAGTGTAAATTCTTCCGTTTTAAGTCTCGAAAAAGCGCCCCCCCCATCTAGGAAAAGCTTCAAAGCGGTTTTGCCGGTCACTGTTTCTTAAGAGTATATGTTTTACATTAAGAAATCAAGGTAGAAAACAGTTAAATCAGTATGTAAAGGCGTGTAGCCATTACATTTCTTAACTTAGACAGTTTATAATTCAAAACTGCAGCATAAAATCAGCTTTAAAAATGTTTTCCCACCCCTTTTGGCGCCCCCATAGGGTCGGCGCCCGGGGCGGCCGCCCCCCCCCGCCCCCCCCCCCTAGCTACGCCTCTGTACACCAGGACAGATTTCTAATTCAAAGTCAGAGAAAACGAGACTTGTAAGCCCTATTAAAATGTTTGAAATTTAAATTACGAACTTATTTAATCGTTGTTTACATCAGTTATGTGACACCAAATTAAAAAGGCAAAGTGACTGTTAAAAAGCGCCCCGACCTTTCCAAATTAGGGAGGTGGGGTTGAATTTTCACCATCGCGAATAAGTATAGGTCTATATGGGCCTAATTTTGGGGTGGGGGTGCAACATTGGTAGTTCTTCCTGGGTGCCGAAATAGATCGCTACTCCTTTATAAAAGTTATTCATTGTTCGGTACCTTTTGATAATAGCGATTAAACCTTTTGCGCCCCCTAAGGATGGCGCTCTAGGCGACCGCCTAGTTCGACTTATAGGTAGCGCCAGCCCTGATTAGGAGTGTCGTGTTCATTTTAGATGTGTTTTACGAAGTCATGAATAGAATGTCAGTGGTAATCTTGTCTTGTTGGAGATCGCTTTGATCAATCTTATTACACCGACCACCGACAAATGAACATCAGATAAGACGGCACCTGCACGTAAGTTGTAAACATTGCTGTTTGGTGACGTCATGACATTGCTGTTTGGTGACGTCATGACATTAGTGTGATGCCAACATTCTAGTGACCTGTCTGTACTCAAACTTAAATCGTCACCCTCATGGCATTTACGATGACGTAACTATGACACTTCTAATGACAGGTTGTCTTTGTCGTCAAACCATCGCAAAAGATGTATCTGTGTCTTAGCCTTGCTCGTCTGATTCACTCTTTAAACACAGCAAAGTACGCTTACATCTATGTAATCAAAATCGGTAATGTAATGTAATCTTGTCCGGCTTTTAGCTTAGAGCTAAATATTCACTTTGACGAACCCGGCAAGAACACGTGACTAAATGACGTCACCGTATGTAAATTTTTCACGTGTCAATCCTTTGAATCTCATCTATTGTAAAAAATAGAAATCCACTTGTAGTTCAAGTATTCACAAGTAAGTAACGTTACTGTTTGACGATTTATAAAAACAAAAAAAAAAAAAAACTTAAAAGAATTTTTTTTTAAAACCTTGTCGTCTAAGATATAAGTTGAAAATACAACAAAGAGAACATGTTATTGACTTAAGTTTCGTTTGAGCGCGTCCCGCTTGATGTGAATCCTAACCGGGTCTATTCATCTTCTGAACAAACACCAGGTTACCGGATGATATTGAAAAGGTTTTACCAGCAACCGCAAGATTTGTTTTAAATACGAAATGCGCACACGGGGTAGGTTCATTCCCAGTCTGGGAAAGCTGAGGTTGTCTGAGGGTAGGTTGCACGTTGGGACTGTGGCACCATGGTTTCATTCTGGAACATTCTGGCTCTGGCTTGTCTGTGTTGTGTCGCAGGTGAGTACAACTTCATTCGGTCGTGTAAAAACTAAGTTCATGTCGCAGGGTAGAACTACTTTGTTATTGGGTGGCAGCAATAAAAGTGTCTGAGGATTTAGACTACGGTACAAACATTTTTGAGGCCATTCGTTTTTTTTTAGATGTTGGCTTATGGGCACAGAATATTTAGGGCTAAAGGAATATAAAATTTTGGGCTACATGCAAATAAGATTTTGGGCTACAGGCTAAGAAGATTTTGTACTACATTCGCATAAGATTTTTGGTTACAGGTAAAGAAAGTTTTGGGCTACATGCAAGGAAGATTTTTGCTAAGAAGATTTGATTTTGGGCAACAGGCAAAGAATATTTTGGGCTACGGGTACAAGATATTTTGGGCTACATTCACATATGATTTAAAAAAAAAAACATGCAGATGAGGTTTACGGCTGTAGATACAGATAAATAGATATAGGGTTATAGATGCAGACTATTTTGTGGCACAGCACATTGATACAATAGATTTAGGGTTATAGATATGGACAATTTTGGACTACAAGTACAGAACAATGAAGGCTGTAGATATAGGGTTGTAGGAACTGACTGTTTTGGGCAACACGTTCAACTCATTTTAGGCAGTCCCCTTCCGACACGACCTTGGGATTTTTGTTCAAAAAAGTAAATGTACATCGTGTCACAATAGAGTAATCAGTCAGTAACCCCTTATTCAGTGGCGTAGCCAGGATCGTCTCAAGGGGGAGGGGGTTCCAAGTTTTACCCGGGGACAAACTTTCGATTTGCACCCGCCCATCAAACTTTCGATTTGCACCCCCCCCCTCAAACTTTCGATTTGCACCCCCTCATACTTTTTATATATATACCGAGGGGTCTATGGGGGGGGGGGGGGGGGTTATGACCCCCCCTAACCCCCCCTGCCTACGCCACTGCCCTTATTTATAACATGCAATTCTGGATTGCTATTTACTAGGTATTAGAATAAAGCATCTTATTTGAAGAATACACAATTCAGAAGCCAACAAGAAAATAATTATTAAAAATTATTTTAAATTTACAAATATTTTCACCAAAATGAGGATCACGTTTTTTGTTAGGACGACTCAAATTTGAACGTTAAAATATAAATTGTACTTTATTAATTTGTAGAAAAGATGTGCCGGAATACAAATAGTGCAAAGCAATATTAAAATTAGTGTTTTGGTCAAATGTTATGTGTACAAATTCGACCACCGTATCGGAAGGGACAATAGATAAAGAAGATATTAGGCTCTATGTACAGACTATTATGGCGTACATAACAATTGTACTATTCCTAACACCACCCGTGATTTGTGAACTTTGAATTCCTCTCAGATGTCGCCTTGAGCAAAAATGTCGTCTGCTACTTCTCCAACTGGGCGCAGTACCGTCCCGGGAGCGGGATGATGTTCGCCAAGAACATCAACCCGTACTACTGCAGTCACGTGATCTTTGCCTTCGCCCAGCTCTCCGGGAACACGATCGTACCGTATGAATACAACGATGATACGTCAGACGGACAGTAAGTGGTTTATTTTTTTTATGTGGACGGGGCTAAGTTTTATATACTTATATGGGGGCGGAGCTGGGTTTTTTTAAAGCCAATATATGGGCGGGGCTTAACTTTGTGAGTAATTAGTAGTGTGGGGCAGAGGCGTAGCGAGGGAGTGGGGGCGTGGGGTGCGGACAGCAACGGGTGACACCATTTCGGGGGGTGACACCAAGGCGAAAAATAGCAAAAATATATAGAGAAAAATGATAATTTCACTTTATTAAGTGATTAATTCGAGTGTTAAAAAGTCTTTTAAGAGCAAATAATTTGACAAATCCCAACAAGGTGGAAGGGGGGGGGGGGGAGGGTGCAAATTGAAATTTTGAGGGGGGGGGGGTACAAATAGTCGAATGTTTGAGGGGGGGGGGGGTGCAAATCGAAAATTGAAAGTTTGTCCTAGGGCGCCGGGAAGGGTCGCTACAAATCTGGAGGGGGGGAGGGGGGGTGACACCATTAAGTACCGCACTGGGTGACACCCGACCTCGCTACGCCACTGTGGACGGGGCTAAGTTTTAGATACTGATATGGGGGCGGAGCTGTTTTTTTTAGCCAATATAAGGGCAGGGCTTAACTTAGTGAGTAATTAATATTGTGGGGCTTTAATTTATTGATTTCGAGCGGGGACAAGTTTTTAAATCTAAAATGTGGGCGGGGCTAAACTTTTTGAGCAATGCGCGAGGGTGGGGGTCGGGGAGGGGATAATTTTTGTTAGTGATATGGGTGACGGAGCTAAGTTTCTATTGGTATGGGTTAACATGGCGGGGTCAAGTTAATAGACTGGACGGGAAATATCAAAGATTAGTTTGGTGTCACCCCTATCCATCCTGTGTCAATAAGACGTATATAACGTTAATCCATTACAGAAACTAGAAAAAAGCAAATTTCTCATATAAATTAACTGGATGTCGCTTTTGGTGTTGTTCCCGTGGATGTTGTCACCCCTTTCTGTCCGCACTAACCCCCCCCCCCCCCCCCATCTCCAGCTTTTTGACGCAACTGCTGACAATAGCCAATCTAGATTTCTAATATGGTTTTCCTTTCTTACAAAAATCAATAACAACACCAAACAATAACACATTAGTTTATCTACCATGATGTATAACAAAGGTGCTTCTGTTTCAAAGATGGCAAATGCTGAGAGCGCTCAAGAAAACCAACCCCAGCCTGAAGACGCTGCTGGCTGTGGGGGGCTACTCCCATGGTCCAATCAGGTTCTACTCCATGGCCAGCACCAGCGCCAACAGACTGCAGTTCATCAACAGCGCCATCTCCCTGCTGCGCTACTTTGGGTTCGATGGTATTGACCTTGATTGGGAGTACCCCGGGGATATAAGTGCTTCAGACAAGGTCTACTTCACAGCACTCATTCAGGTAAGTATGCACGCACACACAGTCACACACACTCATATATGTATATATATATATATATATATACATATATATATATATATATATATATATATATATATATATATATATATATATATATATATATATATATATATATATATATATATATATATATAATATGTGTGTGCTTGTTTGTGTTTGTGTGCGTGTGTGTGCACGCGTACATATATAATAATGATACTATGTAAGTATGGATATATATATATATATATATATATATATATATATATATATATATATATATATATATATATATATATATATATATATATATATATATATATATATATACATACATAATGTGTGTGTGTATATTTGTACATCAGAGTTAGAGAGTGGAATAGTTCACTTTGAATTACTATCAGCGAAACTGTGTTTATGGTGGGGTTGTATTTTTTTTTTAATTTAAAAATTTAAATATTACCAGGAAATGAGAGATGCATTCGAGAAGGAAGCAACCCTGAGCGGTCAACCCCGCCTCCTGATGAGCGCCGCCCTGCCTGCTGGGATATCCAAGGCAGCCTACGGTTACAATGTGACTGCTCTAGACGCGTGAGTCTCCTGCTAGCGTAGTCTTAACAGCTGACAGTACCTTCTCTGTCTCAGACTTTGTTACATTGATCTCACCTTTCTCGTAACCAGGTATTTGGACATCCTGAACATCATGAGCTACGACTACCACGGCGTGTGGGAGACATACACGGGCCTGGCTTCACCTATGTACTCATTTGACGGTCTCAATGTGGTGAGTATAATTCATTGTTCTGGTGTTTCCATTATCCGCCACCCCTGTCCTCATCTATTCCATTATCCGCCACCCCTGTCCTCATCTATTCCATTATCCGCCACCCCTGTCCTCACCTATTCCATTATCCGCCACCCCCCTGTCCTCACCTATTCCATTATCCGCCACCCCCCTGTCCTCACCTATTCCATTATCCGCCCCCCCCTGTCCTCACATATTCCATTATCCGCCCCCCCTGTCCTCACCTATTCCATTATCCGCCCCCCCTGTCCTCACCTATTCCATTATCCGCCCCCCCTGTCCTCACATATTCCATTATCCGCCCCCCCCTGTCCTCACCTATTCCATTATCCGCCACCCCTGTCCTCACCTATTCAATTATCCGCCACCCCCCTGTTCTCACCTATTCCATTATCCGCCACCCCCCCTGTCCTCACATATTCCATTATCCGCCCCCCCTGTCCTCACCTATTCAATTATCCGCCACCCCCCTGTCCTCACCTATTCCATTATCCGCCCCCCCCTGTCCTCACATATTCCATTATCCGCCCCCCCTGTCCTCACCTATTCCATTATCCGCCCCCCCCCCTGTCCTCATCTATTCCATTATCCGCCCCCCCTGTCCTCACCTATTCCATTATCCGCCACCCCTGTCCTCACCTATTCCATTATCCGCCACCCCTGTCCTCACATATTCCATTATCCGCCACCCCCCCTGTCCTCACCTATTCCATTATCCGCCCCCCCTGTCCTCACCTATTCCATTACCCGCCACCCCTGTCCTCACCTATTCAATTATCCGCCACCCCCCCTGTCCTCACCTATTCCATTATCCGCCCCCCCTGTCCTCACCTATTCAATTATCCGCCACCCCCCCTGTCCTCACCTATTCCATTATCCGCCCCCCCTGTCCTCACCTATTCAATTATCCGCCACCCCCCCCTGTCCTCACCTATTCAATTATCCGCCACCCCCCCTGTCCTCACCTATTCCATTATCCGCCCCCCCTGTCCTCACCTATTCCATTATCCGCCACCCCCCCTGTCCTCACATATTCCATTATCCGCCCCCCCTGTCCTCACCTATTCCATTACCCGCCACCCCTGTCCTCACCTATTCCATTATCCGCCCCCCCCTGTCCTCACCTATTCCATTATCCGCCACCCCCCCTGTCCTTACCTATTCCATTATCCGCCACCCCTGTCCTCACCTATTCCATTATCCGCCACCCCTGTCCTCACCTATTCCATTATCCGCCCCCCCCCCCATGTCCTCACCTATTCCATTATCCGCCACCCCCCCTGTCCTTACCTATTCCATTATCCGCCCCCCCCTGTCCTCACCTATTCCATTATCCGCCCACCCCCCCCGTCCTTACCTATTCCATTATCCGCCCCCCCCCTGTCCTCACCTATTCCATTATCCGCCCCCCCCCGTCCTTACCTATTCCATTATCCGCCACCCCCCCCTGTCCTTACCTATTCCATTATCCGCCCCCCCTGTCCTCACCTATTCCATTATCCGCCCCCCCCCCCTGTCCTCACCTATTCCATTATCCGCCACCCCTGTCCTCACCTATTCAATTATCCGCCACCCCCCTGTCCTCACCTATTCCATTATCCGCCCCCCCCTGTCCTCACCTATTCCATTATCCGCCCACCCCCCCCGTCCTTACCTATTCCATTATCCGCCCCCCCCCTGTCCTCACCTATTCCATTATCCGCCCCCCCCCCGTCCTTACCTATTCCATTAACCGCCCCCCCCAGTCCTCACCTATTCCATTATCCGCCACCCCTGTCCTCATCTATTCCATTATTCGCCACCCCTGTCCTCACCTATTCCATTATCCGCCACCCCCCCTGTCCTCACCTATTCCATTATCCGCCACCCCTGTCCTCACCTATTCCATTATCCGCCACCCCTGTCCTCACCTATTCCATTATCCGCCACCCCCCCCCGTCCTTACCTATTCCATTATCCGCCCCCCCCCCCAGTCCTCACCTATTCAATTATCCGCCCCCCCCCCGTCCTTACCTATTCCATTATCCGCCCCCCCCTGTCCTCACCTATTCAATTATCCGCCCCCCCCCCCTGTCCTCATCTATTCCATTATCCGCCCCCCCCCAGTCCTCACCTTTTCAATTATCCGCCCCCCCCTGTCCTCAACTATTCAATTATCCGCCACCCCTGTCCTCACCTATTCCATTATCCGCCACCCCCCCTGTCCTCACATATTCCATTATCCGCCACCCCTGTCCTCACCTATTCCATTATCCGCCACCCCCCCTGTCCTCACCTATTCAATTATCCGCCACCCCCCCTGTCCTCACATATTCCATTATCCGCCACCCCTGTCCTCACCTATTCCATTATCCGCCACCCCCCCCGTCCTCACCTATTCAATTATCCGCCACCCCCCCTGTCCTCACCTATTCCATTATCCGCCCACCCCCCCCGTCCTTACCTATTCCATTATCCGCCACCCCTGTCCTAATGTATTCCATTATCCGCCACCCCTGTCCTAATGTATTCCATTATCCGCCCCCCCTGTCCTCACCTATTCAATTATCCGCCACCCCCCCTGTCCTCACCTATTCCATTATCCGCCCCCCCTGTCCTCACCTATTCCATTATCCGCCACCCCCCCCCCCCCTGTCCTCATCTATTCAATTATCCGCCACCCCTGTCCTAATGTATTCCATTATCCGCCACCCCCCCTGTCCTTACCTATTCCATTATCCGCCACCCCCCCCTGTCCTTACCTATTCCATTATCCGCCACCCCCCCTGTCCTTACCTATTCCATTATCCGCCACCCCTCCTGTCCTTACCTATTCCATTATCCGCCACCCCCCCCTGTCCTTACCTATTCCATTATCCGCCACCCCTGTCCTGATGTATTCCATTATCCGCCACCCCCCCTGTCCTTACCTATTCCATTATCCGCCACCCCCCCTGTCCTTACCTATTCCATTATCCGCCACCCCCCCCCCCCCCCGTCCTCACCTATTCCATTATCAGCCACCCCTGTCCTGATGTATTCCATTATCCGCCACTATTTTTCCTGATCTATTCCATTATCCGCCACCCCCCCCCCCTGTCCGTACCTATTCCATTATCTGCCACCCCTGTCCTGATCTATTCCATTATCAGCCACCCCTGTCCTGAAATTGTTTATTGTTCCTCTCCCAGTTTGATTCCGTGAACTGGTATGTAAATAATGGCGCCAGAGCCTCCAAGATTCACGTCGGGTTGTCGTTCTTCGCCCGCACATGGACGCTGAGCAACCCCTCCAACAACTACCTTGGTGCCTATGCTATCGGCGGCGGCACCAACGGAACCTACACGCGCACGGCGGGGATTTTATCATACTACGAGGTGAGACCCGAGTTCGAAACCAGGACAGCCTTAAGACTCATGACCCTGTCAATTACCAGCAGATGTAAACTTTTATGAGATATTTAACACAAAACAAAATGGGCAGAGTTAAATTCAACTCCAAGCTCAGCTTTTTTTGGATACCTGGCACGATTTGGGAAAAGTAAAGACGGATGGCGTTTCTCAAGTAGGATGGCGTGGTCGGGGGTGGGATGGGGGGGGGGGGCTGCTAGCTCGAAAGTCGAGTTCGGATCCCAGATTCAGGTCCGTAGGGCGTCGCTGAGCCCTCCCAGCCTTGATGAGTACCTGGACTTTCGCTGGAGAAAGTACAGTATGTGGCTGGGCATAACACTGACCAAAGATCTACTGATCTTTTTTAAAGTAAAATATATCGTCTTGTGCTTTGTTGCTAACCCAAAAGTCCCGAGTTCGAACCCTCGAGCAGATGAGGCCCGTCTTTTGGGGACAATAACCAAATAAGGTGAGAAAACTTTGAAATTAATCAGGAGTTGAGCCCCTTAGGCGAAAGGGTTACCAACTCTGGTTTCCTTTCGGCAACTCCTGCGGCACTGCTGATTCCAAGCTGTACAGGTAACGTTATGTCCCTTGGGTCCATCAGCTGTGTAGAGAGAGGGGAGGAGTCTGATACACGGGCAACATCTGGCTCTTCTCAACTTAGGACCCAGGTTTTGTGTTTGGTTTTCCAATGCTAACAGATTATGAAGCCTATATATATATATATATATATATATATATATATATATATATATATATATATATATATATATATATATATATATATCGTCTTATTTTTTAATATTTGGACAGGTTTGCAGTTTGCTTCGTTCAGGTTACACCGTACAGACGGACCCTATCGGGCAGGTGAAATACGCTTACATGGACAACCAATGGGTGACCTATGAGGACAGGGAAACCCTGGATGTAAAGGTCAGTGTTGTCTGCCCCTGTCCAACTGGGAACATATAAAACAGGTTGACACGGACACCTAGACACACACGGACACGTAGACACAAACGGACACGTAGACACACACGGACACGTAGACACACACGGACACGTAGACACACACGGACACGTAGACACACAAGGACACGTAGACACACACGGACACGTAGACACACACGGACACGTAGACACACACGGACACGTAGACACACACGGACACGTAGACACACACGGACACGTAGACACACACGGACGTGCAAAGACACACACGGACACGAAGACACACACGGACTTACAAAGACAGACGGACACGTAGACACACGGACTTACAAAGACAGACGGACACGTAGACACACACGGATGCGCAGAGACACATAAGCAACCCACCGACATGACATACAGACACAACTTTAAGACAAGTCAGATTCAAAACACAAAGAACAACACAGAGATATGATATTTATATACATACTTACTTACAGCTCAGAGAAAAATATCGTTCGAAATACATTCAAGACCCCCCAACTTTTCGCAGACAATATACAAGACATTCGTACTAGGCACTTTCCTACGTTCATCTCAACCTACTACTAAAACCTTTTGTCTTTATTTTGTCTTTCAAAAATTACCCAATAAATACTGTCTTTATATATATAATGTGGGGGACGGTGTTGCTTAAGTATCGAGTTCGAATCCGGGTTCAAGTCAGTAGAACGCCCATGAGTCCACCCAGCTCTGATGGGTACCCAACGCCGACCACACCTTCCCATCATATGAACTTTATCTGCCCAAATGATCGCTAGGTCTAAAGGATATATATATATATATATATATATATATATATATATATATATATATATATATATATATATATATATATAAAATTCAAGATAACGAAACTAAACTTTACAATTCTCCACCGATCTCTCTCTTTCTATATTTAGCTTCAATGGATTCTGTCCAACAACTTTGGTGGCGCCATGGTGTGGGCGCTGGACATGGACGACTTTACCGGCCAATTTTGTTACCAGAACAGCTGGCCACTTATGAGCCTGGTGTCCAGCAAGGTGCTCTACGCCCCTGACACGTAAGTCTAATGCCCGTCTGCACATGCGCAGTCAGGAGTAACACGTCGAAGATTAGTGTACTGTTTGAATGGTGAACAATAATTTATTTTAGTTTATTTTATTTGAATGTATTAAAATGTATTAAAATTAATTAAAATTAATTTAAATTTATTTAAATTTATTTAAATTCATTCAGTTTATTTAAATTTTTAAAAATTTATTTGAATTTATTAAAATTTATTCACTTTAAATTTATTTAAATTTATTTAAATTTATTTAAATTTATTTTGATTTATTTTAATTTCTTTTAATTTCTTTTAATTTCTTTTAATTTCTTTTAATTACATTTTTTAAAAATTCTTTTAACTTTTGAGAATACGCTAAACAACTGTTACACGGAGCGGTGAAAATGCACAAATACAGTTACAAGATAGCTAAATGACATAAAATGACTTCAAAATGACAGCTAAATGGTATAAAATGACAACTAAATGACAGAAAAGGACATCTAAATTTTAGCTAAATGACATAAATTCAACAACTAAAAGACCACTAAATGAGAGCTAAATGACAGCGAGATGACAGCTAAATGACAGCTAATGGAAAATAATAACTAAATTAAAATGACAACAAATTGAAAACGATAACTAAACGAGAGATAAAAGGCTTGTGAATGACTCCTAAATGACAACTACATGACATAGGTTAGGTAGATGTCTACTAATTCACCTGTAATCCACTTCTCTTTTAGACCCACCGCATCAACGACCGCGTCGCTATCGACGGCATCAACAACCACCAAACCAACACCGGCACCAACATCCACGTCGACATCAACCTCAACAACAACAAAACCAACAGCAACCACCGCAACACCAGCTCCAACACCATCAACAACAACCACAAAACTGGCATCTGGTAGTTCAACGACAGTTGGAGGGACAGGTTCCTCACCGCAGCCTAAAACTTTCAGTAAGTTGCCTAAAACATTCAGTAAGTTGCCTAAAACATGCAGTAAGTTGCCTAAAACATTCAGTAAGTTGCCTAAAACATGCAGTAAGTTGCCTAAAACATTCAGTAAGTTGCCTAAAACATGCAGTAAGTTTCCTAAAACATTCAGTAAGCTGCCTAAAACATTCAGTAAGTTGCCTCAAACATTCCGTAAATTGCCCAAAACATTTAGTAATTTGCCTAATACATTCATTAAGTCCCCTGAAATATTCAGTAAATTGCCTGAAATATTCAGTAACTTGCCTAAAACATTCAGCGAAGTATCTATTACATTACGTATAATGTCTAAAATAATTAGAACGTTACTTAAAACAAACAGATAGTTGCCTAAAATATTTAATAAGTTGCCTAAAGAAACCAGTAAGTTGCCTAAAACAGACGATGCTAAAACAAAATCGAAGATCTGCGAAAATAAGAGCCGCGTTCGCTGAGGCGTAGCGGGGGGGGGGGGGGGATATGTCCCCGGGCGCCGACCTTAGGGGGGCGCCAAAATGGGTTGGGAAAAGAAGTTTGAGGGGGGTGCAAACGAAAAGTTTGTGGGGGGTTGGGGGTGCAAATGAAAAAATGAAAAGTTCGAGGGGGGGGGGGGGGGGGGGGATGGGGGTGCAAATCGAAAGTTTGTCCCCGGGCGCCGGGAAGGGTCGCTACGCCTCTGCGCGTTCGTCCAACTCGAAGAGCAGTTGATCATTGAACTCCTTTTCTGTCTCTCAAACAGCTTGTACAGTCCCCAACGGATTTTTCGCTGACCCCGCCAGTTGCAACAGTTACTACGTCTGCCAGAAGTACGTACCGATGTTGATCAGGTGCCCAACAGACACCTTGTTTAACCCACAAAGTTTGTTGTGTGAAAACAAATACACAACACGTTTTATATGCCTTCTGTAGAGAAGCTTATAGAAAACCACAGGATTTTCCCGTTATCTATTTTTGGGTAATGAAAGGGAAGTAACTCTCACTGGTCACCTGACCGACTACAGCCAATCAACGAGTAGCGAGCACATTGGAATAGTTGTATGTGAAAGCATACATTTCTCTTTATGTGGCGTTTCAAGTTATGTCTGTAGTGAAAGAAAATAAATCTCTAGAAATAAATTTTTCTGTTTCACTTATCCTTGTTGGTGTGTTTTTATTTAACGATTAAGGCCTCTTCCCCCCCCCCCCCCAATCCACACAAATACAAGGTAAGTATTACTCTCGCCCAGACAGACTAAATTTAGAAAAAACCAAACCACGCTGTGTGGTATAAAAAATAATTGACCTGTCCAGGTAAATTAGTAATCAATTCTACCTGTCAGGTGATCAAATAATTCACTGCGGACTTGGGAATCGAACTGTGATAGGTCATTAATTTCTGCAACACGAGGCGGGCCAGGTATACAGTTCATCTGATTGTGTTTCGCCAGGTGTACAGTTCATCTGATGGTGTTTGGCAAAAGGTGTACAGTTCATCTGATGGTGTTTGGCCAATGGTAAACATTTTCTGACTGTGGCTCTATGTAATAATGTCTTCTTCTGAGTTTATTGTATGAGGAAGTCAAGTATCAAAACTTGTGACAAAAAAAAATATAAAAGCACCAACATATTAGATTGGCCGCCGACAAAAAAGATCCTGCCAAACGGACAAAACACAAGGATAACTGACAAAAGGGCTAACGTCAATGAAAACAAATCTTAAAGTCAAAGACGCATGTTTCTGAGTACATAGGCGTACCTGGTTATGAAATTAATTTACGAGGAAACATGAGTGACAAATCTACAATACAATTTTTACTCTAGTTCAATCATTTGATTTATACAGAACACCTGTATCCACATTACCCCCCCCCCACATACATCTACATTCATTCACGTGAATCTGATTTACATTAACTGCATTCTTAATTAGTAGGTCCTATCCTTTTTGAAACACTTTTATTTTATGTTTCTTTGAACTGTTTCAATTAAATTAATTTTTCGTTTGGACTAAGGCCTTGATGTACTAAGGCCAGGTCTTATTTGTCCCACATTCAGTAGCAATGTCGATCCATGCTAATGTAATTACAATCTACTTACACATCAAAATAGTGCGTTTTTTATTCAGAGAAAACTCTTATGTAAAACCATTTCCCTATTCTATAGTGTAATACCCATATCTGCTGTGTAAAACCAATGCCCAAATGCCCTCTTACTTAAAACCAATGGTCAACGCCCTGTTACTTAGATAATATTCATATATCCCCAATGCCCTTTTCTATAATACTCATATAAGCTTGTGTAAAAGCAATTCCCTCTTACTTAAAACCAATGCCCTCTTACTTAAAACCAATGCCTAATGCCCTCTTACTTAAAACCAATGCTCAATGCCTAACTACTTAAAACCAATGCCCAATGCCTTACTACTTAAAACCAATGCCCGATGCCCTCTTACTTAAAACCAATGCCTTAATGCCCTCTTACTTAAAACCAATGCTCAATGCCTTACTACTTAAAACCAATGCCCAATGCCTTACTACTTAAAAACAATGCCCAATGCCCTCTTCCTTATAAAACATTCATATCTGCATGTGTTAAAATCAATGCCCTTTTACTTGAAACCAATGCCAAATGCCCATCTTACTTAAAACCAATACCCTATCCTATAATGCTCATGTGGTTGGTGGCTAATGTCCGTTTTCTAATACTCATGTTTGCTTCTGTAAAACCAGAATGTCCGCCGCGAAAAAACAAAACGACCGGCGATGTAAACAACTCCCACAAACATCGCCATAGCTCAAACCGGCGGCCACACTTTGCTAGGCCCGTCTAATACAACACGGACAACCAAACGCTGATCTAATAAAACATCAGCGACCAAACGATGATCGAGGATTCGGTCAAACATACTTCGTCATAAACTGACAAGGGAAGAGGTCACGTGATTATTTTAGACCACGTGACAGGCAGTGTGCTATTTGTGGAAAATTCCGTGCGCTTTTATAGTTTTAAATTTACAAATTTAGAAGTGAAATTTTTTCTGTAATGATAACTGTTAAAAATAAACGAACTAAAAGTAAAAGTATTACTTGAGGAATGTTGAGAAATGTTTCATGTCTGAAGAGGTTGATGGAGCAGACTTAGAAATCTGTGTAGGATGTTTGTGCCCAGTCCAGCATAATGGCTAGTGTGAGACCTACCTGAGGATGAAGGTTGGATTTGTAGCAGTGTACATGCTGCTGTCTCAAGTCTGGGGTCAGTACCACTAGAGTTTCTTTTCCTAATTTGTTTTTCTATCTTTTTTTTGTACACGTCCGTTTGTAGGTCTCTTACTGTTTATGGTATTCCTTTTTTTCTTCTTTATTACTAAAATAAGTTATTTCTATGACATATACAGACTTACACACTCATACTCACATACAAACACACACACACACACACACATATATATATATATATATATATATATATATATATATATATATATATATATATATATATATATATATATATATATATATATATATATATATATATATGTATATATATGTATATATAAATATATATATATATATATATATATATATTATATATATATATATATATATATATATATATATAGGCCTATATATACGCATATATTTGGTGTTGTACATATTACATAAGCCACGAGATGAAATATGGAAGCAAAGTTGTGTGTGTTGTGAGCACCACTGTTTAAATTTAAGACACATCGTCAAAATAGTCACACAAGTTCCAACATGAATTCTATTATCTCTATGATTTCTATTATAACATGTTCTGTTTTTCTTACTGAAAGCATCGAACCATGTCTGTTTGTCTTTTAGTGTCGTCTGCCCAGGAACGATGCCAGACGGACCTGCCAGATATTGTACACGTCAAAGAGAATGACGTCGTAGGTAATTAGTTAAACTTAATTAACGAAATTTAAAATAAACAGCCTTAAATATTATCTTGCATGGTTAGAAAGTTAGATAACATAAAAAAGTAAGTATTAGAAATCTTTACAGCAAAGGCTTTAAAATCTCTACAGCACAGGTACAAAAGATTGACATAGAAAGAGGAACATAGCTTTTTATCTGTAATTACTAAAACAAAAAAATACCAAACTTAATCGTAATTTTAATCTATAATGTTACAAAACTACAATAATTCCAACATTCACATGGTTTAATACAACTTTTGGCAGTCGTAATAATGATATTATTTTTAGAACTTCACTTCGAGTATACTACCTTCCACAGCGCAGATCACTATTTTAAACGATGTGCTCCAACATGGCGGAATGTTTACATAGTGACTTATCCGTGACGTCATATGCAAGGGGTCTATAAGCTGAAATATTTAATCACTATAGATTAAATAACTCCTGGCCACACCATTTTCAACAAGTTCTATCCTATGACGACCCCCCCCCCCCCCTCCACCCCACAGGTACCCAACTCTTCAACGTGAGCTCCCCCGGGGAGACTAGCTGGTGGCTGACCATCGAGGACCCCCAACAGAAAATCTTTGCTCAGCTACTTCCGGTTCTCCCGGGATGGTGACGTGTACGTTCTCAGACTGGTCAAGCAGCTGGACATCGAGGAGATATTTCGCACTATGGTTAGTTCTATTTTAACCTGTACTGGTGAGTTTTATTTTAACCTGTCGTGGTAACTTGCTCAGTTCTATTTTAACCTAACACGGTCAGTTCTTTTTTAAAAACCATGGTTGGTATATTTTAACCTATCATGGTCAGTTCTATTTTAACGTAACGTGGTCGATTCTATTTTGACGTAACGTGGTCAGTTTTTATTTTAAGGTACCATGGTCAGTTATATTTTAACGTAACAGGTCAGTTCTTTCTTTAACGTAACATGGTCAGTTCTATTTTAACGTAACAAGGTCAGTTATATTTTAACCTATCATGGTCAATTCAATTTTAACGTACCATGGTCAGTTCTATTTTAAAGTACTATGGTCAGTTCTATTTTTACGTACTATGGTAAGTTCTTTTTAAGAACCATGACGCTTAGTTCTATTAACGTGTTCAGTTATATTGTAACGTGCCATGGTCAGTTCCATTTTCACGTATTATGGTCAGTTCTATTCTAACTTAACATGGTCAGTTGTATTTTAAAGTTATTTGATCAAAGAAATTTGAACACAGCAGTCAGTTATATTTTAAAATTGAACTGTATACTCAAATTTCAATGTAATATTTTCTGTCTAATCTAAGTTTTACTTGCAATGGTAAGTCGTATCTTTGATTGTTACTGTTACGTTTTACAAATTAACTTTAGGGGAAATAACTAAAAAAGTGATGCGATAATTCACTTGACTTTTATCCCCCTTTACTTGAATCACTGAAATTTTTTTTTTTTAAAGAGTAAGAGCTCTCATAGACAACCCTACCAATTTTAGTAAGAAATTTATGGTCTTCTTTTTATTATCAGGATGTGTGGAAGGGTGGGGGGGGGGGGGGGGGGTGGGGAGGGTGAGGGGGGGGGGGTCCAGTCTTCCCGCCGAAACAATAGGTATATAACACTGCCTTTGATTGACCTAACATTCTCAATCTATACACCATAAACTCATTAGCAATTTTTTTTTTTCCCAATTGGAAACATCGCGGATTTTTTTTTTCATACAATTTAAAGGAATTCAGCCAAGATTTTGTACATTGATACTTTTAAACTAAAGTTTTACAACACTTATTTTTAAAATTTGAGAAACAACAAGGGTATAAAACTAGTTTATTTAAAAAAAAAATGCTAATGTGTGAAATGTCACACCCCAAACGTTACACCAATGCTAACTCTCCCCCCCCCCCCTCGAGTAGAGTTTTCTTTCAGGGATCTCTTTACTGCCCCTCCCCCCCCCCCCCCCGTCCCACCTCTGAACAGTTTTTTTTCAGGGATCTCTTTACTGCCACACCCTTCCCCCACCCACCCTTAAATCCGCCCGCCCCCTATGAAAGTTTCAAGTGCCCGCTCCCGGGGACGACAAATGTCTGAAAGAAATACTCCCCCCCCCCCACCCGGAGTGGGACGTTATTTATGCACGTCCCTGTACACGTTCTCATTTGTACATAATCCCTTACACGTGTACACAATCCCTTACATGTGTACACAATCCCTTACTCGTGTACACAATCCCTTACATGTGTACACAATCCTTACACGTGTACGCAATACCTTACATGTGTACACAATCCCTTACACGTGTACACAATCCCTTACACGTGTACACAATCCCTTACATGTGTACACAATTCCTCACACATGTACACAATCCCTTACATGTGTACACAATTCCTCACACATGTACACAATCCCTTACATGTGTACACGATTTAACGGTGTTGTGCTATGTTGCAGGGCGTGAAGCTGTCCGTGATTTTGTTGACGCTCGGCTGTCAGACAACTCGATTACCCAGTACGGTGAGTCGTTGTTTGTTGTCATACACAAGGGGAGAGCATTCCCGATCTGCGGGAAGGGAAGTAACTCATGGTCTTTGAAATTAGTTATCATTACGATTTTTTAAATATTCATTTGTAATAATTTTTGTTTATTTATACCTACAATTTATTCATCAACACGGTTACATAAATTTGAGTGTTATAATGACTGAACGATTTTTTTAAAGGAAAAAAACAACAACAATAACACACTAACACCAGAGCCAACTATTTTAACATATTTACTCTGTCCGTAACTTTATTTTGTGTTCTAGACTGTTGATTTTAGATGATAAACTCGGTTTTGAATATTTTAAAAAATATGGCTCGTTAGACACTCTACCTCCCCCCCCCCCCCCCCCCCCTCTACACACATCACCCGCACATATGATAACCCCACATCCCTTTTAACTGTTCCAACGACCCCCCCCCCTCCAAAACATCAGTTTCTAATCTATATTCATTTACTTATTTACCTATTGTTAATGTGTAATTCACTATTGTAAACGAAATCTGTGTAAAACAACAAATTTGTGTGTGTGTGTGTGTAATTACTCTACTGGTTATTCATTTTTCTTTTGTATTTACTATGTTTATTGTACAGAATGAGATGAAATCCATGTAAACCAGCTTTGTTTTCGACTAATCTTCCACCATTTTTTGTTGGCAAACATGTTACAAACAGCCTCTTTTCAATTTTTGAACCAACTAGCTTTAAATCCAATGTATCTTTTGTATTCATTTACATATTTCGCTATTTATTTACTATACTCTGTACACCAATCTAATTATCTTGTAAATATCCGCCCAAACGGCGTGGAATGTTACTGTATTTGTTTTAAATTGGAAAATAAAAGTATTTAAAAAAAATTGTTCGGATCATCTGGCCCATTATTCGAATATTCTTGATACTAAAAATATTTTACAAACATCATACAATAGAAAAATCAGCAGTAAACAAGCGAAAATACATACGCTCAGGGGCGTAGCGAGGGGGGGGGGGGGGCGGGGGGGTGCGGACCGCACCGGGTGACACCATTTATGGGGGTGACACCAAGGCAAAAAATAGCAAAATATATAGAGAAAAACTTGAGGGGGGTGGGGGGTGCAAATCGAAAGTTTGAGGGGGGGGGGGGGTGCAAATCGAAAATTTGTCCCCGGGAAGGGTCGCTACGCCTCTGGGGGGGGGGGGGGTGACACCATTAGGTGCCGCACCGGGTGCACCGGGTGACACCCGACCTCGCTACGCCACTGCATACGCTATATATACATGTACGTATACATATTAAAAAAAATAATAAAAACTAAATAAAGAACGTTGGGAGGACTGCTATAGCTTAGATGTTTGAAAGAGAAGAATGTTTGATTTGATGTGTCTCATTGTAATCATATAACTTTTCCGGTTGCTTAAAATTTGTATCATTTTAATTCTCTGTAATCCCAAATTTATTTCAGCTCTACTTAAAAGACCAAACCCCCCTCAGCCCACCACGCCGATGGAAAAAAAATCCCTTGAATCATCATTTATTTTAATTACACATTTGCATTTTCAGTTCTTTTAAACAAAAAAAATCGTAATTAGACGTTTTGTTTTAGATCTATGTATAAATAAACCATCTTAAATGAATGAAAGTAGTCTACAATTAAGAAAGAAGTACTACTATTGTAAATCTGTATCAGTCCTCACAAGCCGATGATGAAAACTGTAATACTAAAGCAGCGGCGTAGCGACCCTTCCCGGCGCCCGGGGACAAACTTTCGATTTGTACCCCCCCCCCCTCAATCTTTCGATTTGCACACCCCCCCCCTCAAGATTTCGATTTGCACACCCCCCCCTCATCCTTTCAATTTATTTTTCCAACCCATTTTGGCGCCCCCTAAGGTCGGCGCCCGGGGACATGTGTGTCCCCCCCCCCGCCCTCCCCCCTCGCTACGCCTCTGTACTAAAGCGAACATGCAAGGCAACAGTGTTTCTTCCAGACTTTTTCGCATAAGACAACAAAAATAAACCGGGAGTGATCACCCCTAAACTTTCTCGAATATTCTTATATAAAAACAACAGGGGATGGGAACTCGGGATATAGTTATGATTTTTAATCCATTTTAAATACTTAAACTTTTTAAAATAGAATAGAATCTCATAGAAAAAAGAATTGCGCACCAAGCGAACGCCAAATAAAGATGTTTATAATAGTGCGCAATATTATTAGTACTTTATAAATTTACATGCGTTTTTTGAGAAATCGGAAATAGCGTAAATTAGTACTTCCGGTCAACGGAAATTACTCAAAATTTGACAGAAGGTAGAGAATTAGATCTTTTACTTACGTGTGAAATTTCATTTATCTATCTGAAATAGTACTCAAGTTATAGGCTTTTGGAAAATTCAAAGTAGAAAAAGTACCACTTCCGATTATCGGAAATCGCTCAAAAGTTGATACGGATCTACGATTTTGATAAAATACTTATATATAAAATTTCATAAAACTAGCTGTAACGGTACTCAAGTTATCGTCTTTACACACACACACACACACACACACACACACACACAGACACACACACACACAGGTATACGGACAAGATTGCAAAATTATGTTTTTCCGTATCAGTGAGGTGTAAAACGTCGAGATTTGTAAAAATCTCGGTTTTTTTCTTTTTGCACGATTACAAGACTTTCTCTATACTTCGTATATACGAGAAAGTAAAAGTGAGAAAAAAAAAATCTGACGCTGCTCTTATTTTCCTTATTTTTCCTTAACTTATAGCAGCACTGTACATAACCGAGCTAAAATATACCTTAAAATATCTCTTTAAATTACTAGACAAAAGCCCAATAATTTTTTGAGTGGTTAAACTACAGAGATAAATGTAACTTTTTTGTTAAGTCATTAGACAAAACTACATGATAAATTTAGCTTTTTTATTCGTTCAACGGTTAAACCCAAAAGGATAAATTTAGCTTTTATATTCGTTCTGCGGTTAAACCCTAGGGATAAATTTAGCTTTTCTGTTATGACGGTAGTTTTCTGTTCTTACATTGGTTAAACCTACAGGATAAAGTTTAGCTTTTCTGTTATGACGGTAGTTTGTGTTCTTACATTGGTTAAACCTACAGGATAAAGTTAGCTTTTCTGTTACGGGTAGTTATGTTCTTACATTGGTTAAACCTACAGGATAAAGTTAGCTTTTCTGTTACGGGTAGTTATGTTCTTACATTGGTTAAACCTACAGGATAAAGTTAGCTTTTCTGTTACGGGTAGTTATGTTCTTACATTGGTTAAACCTACAGGATAAAGTTAGCTTTTCTGTTACGGGTAGTTATGTTCTTACATTGGCTAAACCTGCAGGATAAAGTTTAGCTTTTCTGTTACGGATAGTTGTGTTCTTACACTGGTTAAACCTGCAGGATAAAGTTTAGAAATGTGTGTCTCCCTCAGCGGTTCGTTCAAGCCGTGCTGGTGACCGGTGTCAACGAATTCCCTCCTTACTTCAACACGTCAGAGATACGGATGGCTGTCAAAGAGGTAACTGTCTGTCTAACAAGTGTCTAATACTCAGTGTTTCTTCCAGACTTTTTTCTCCGGGGAGGGGGGGGGGAGCGGCACTTGAAATTTTCAGGGGGCGGGGGAGGCGGTAGACTTTCTTCGGGGGGGGGGGGGAGGGGGGGTGGACACTGTTAAATGTACATATTTTCTATATAAATTCCATTTCGTTCGGGGCGGGGGGGGGGGGGGGGCGGTAGACTTTTTTCGAAGAGATGCCTGGAAGAAACTCTGGTGTCTAATAGGCTTGATTCACACACAAGGACATGTAAATACCTGATGTGGTATGGATTTTACCTCATCGGGTTTGGATGAATGGGGAAGCTTGTCGTAGTAAAAAAATCGGAAGGGTGGTGGTGGGGGGGGGGGGGGGGGTCTCAATTTGTAGGCGAAAATTTACTTCCGAATAGACTTTTGACTGCTTGTTTTTTTTCAAGCTCGATAAAGTAGAGGCCTTGACACAAAGTTATCCTGAACTTCAGATTATTTTTTTTTTATCTTATGGATGGGGGGTGGTATGTGTGTTGATTTTTATCGGGAGCCATATTTCCGACAGACCCATTTATCTGTTGTCAACACATACATATTTTATTTTTAGAGAGTTATTTTAACTAAAATATTTTGTATAATTAGCACTGGAGATTTAAATAAACAAGACACACAAGTATAAATCCACCCCTTCTATCAAATCACAGATGAAATAACTGGTTACGAGTGCATTTTTTAAATTGAAATAAATAATTGTTTCGTTTATTTAAAAACTGCTCCACATTTTCCAATCACCAGACAGCCCCGGTAGGAAAAACGTTGCTCAGTCTGATCACGTGGTCACGAGACGATGACGTCAACTTCTCCGTGAGAGAGATCGAGGGATTCAGCCTGACTTTTGCTGGAGCACCTGATCAGGTGGTAAATGCCAGAAGTTTCTCACTATACATATTGTATCTCTACTTCCTATCTGCCCACAGCGTGTAGAGTTTGTTTAAGTGTTCACTTGACGAATTGTCCGTGTTTTCATTTGTCCTATGTCTGGTGGTGGGTTGTACCTTTCTCCGTGTGTCCCTTTGTCCATGTGTCAATTGGGTCGTGTGTCCTTTTGTCCATGTGTATTTTTGTCCGTCTGTCAATTTGTCCGTGTGTCCCTTTGTCCATTAGGTCGTGTGTCCATTTCTCCGTGTGTTCTTTTGTCCGTGTGTCCATTTGTCTGTGTCCTTATTTATCTATTCTTTTCCTGTGTTCATTTGTCCATACGTACGTTTTTCTTTTATCCCATTATCCTATTTATCTGATTGTTCGTGTTTCCTTTTGTCCGTGTGTCCATTGATTTGTGTGTCATTTTGTTTATGTGTCCATGTCTTCATTAAGTGCGTGTTTTCAAAACGACTTTGGTTCATATACTCAAATGTTCATATGAAGATGTATCTTAACTCCTCGGATTCTCGATAAAATCACGTAATAGATATAACTGTTATCTAACCATCCATTGAGCAGAATGACAGCGAAAAATTTCTCCAACTTACCAATGTCTACAATGGCGACATCGCCTTGAAGGTCGGTCTGGATTTTGAGGCGTTTCCTGCGGGACACAAATTTCTTACTGCTGGCGTGGTAGTAAAGGTGAGGGAAACATTTTAAACTGCTGGTATTCAAGTACATTTAAATTTTAAACTGCTGGTATTCAAGTAAACTTAAATTTTAAACTGCTGGTATTCAAGTACATTTAAATTTTAAACTGCTGTTACTGCACTATAATCATCATCATAATTTTTTCCCCGTTCGTGCCCAAGACAAATGGGGCAGATGACGTAGAGCTCATCTGTTTCATTGACCGCGGCTTATGAAGGGATAGTGTATTCAGCACTATGCTCAGCCGCCTTTGTTTCCATAAAATGAGTCAGTTACTCATCATTGCTGAGTAGATTCAGGGACGTCTTACATTCACGAATCTGAACCGAGATCCGAACACTAGCAGCCGAACGCTCTACCATTCGACCACATCGTCCCACAAATTTTAAACTGCCAATATCACAGAGCAATAATTACCTCATAAACGCTAAATTATAATTTGCTGCGATTCTCGCAAATTACCTATCCATCTTTAACTGCTATTACCACAGCACAATGATTGCAGTGTTTCTTCCAGACTTTATTCTCCGGGGGGGGGGGGGGCTTTTGAAAATTTCGGGGCGGGGGGTCAACATTTTTCGGGGGGGGGGGGGGGGGCGGACACTAGTAAAGATGTATGTTTACTTCGGAGCCCCCCCCCCCCCCCCCCCCCCCCAAAAAAAAAGATGCCTGGAAGAAACTCTGAATGATTGTCTTAACATTTTAAACTGCTAATATTGCAGGGCCATACATATCTCAGTTAATCAGCTAACAATAGCACGCATTGTTCAGTAACCTCCTCTTCCTTTTTCAACAGGATACATCTGGGCTGACAGGGGAAGCTACTCTAAGACTTGACGTGCTAGACGACGATGATTTGCCTCCCTTGTTCTACTACCCAGACTGTGAAGAGCCCTGCAGCCCCTTGTACCAGGCCAGCATCAGCCCAAGCCATGTTGTACGTCTTTCTCGCTTTACTTCCAGCGGTTGCTATGGAAACCTGAAATCTGTCTAGGAAATACACTACCTAAAAACTGCTAAATCAGCAAAATTAAAAGCCTATAAAACTTGAGCTTATACAATTGATGTTAAATGTCATTATTAGGCGTTATATCGATTATTGTAGTATAAGAGTGTCCACCAAAGATTTTTTTTAACAGACCATTATTTATATCCCCTTGATCCCCTTGTCAATCCTCTACCCCCTCGTCCACCCTCCACCCCCTAGTCAACCCTCCAGGCTCGACCCCCACACCAACTCACTCGTCCACACTCCAGCCCCTCGACACCCCCCCCCCCCCTTGATAACCCTCTACCACCTCGTCTTCTGACGCTACAGCTACCTATTCTAATGTATTTTTTGTTGTATTTTTTTCCAGGGAGAAATTGAATCAATAACACCTGGACCTATAGCGGCTAAAGACGGGGACTCTCTCAACTACACGGTGACATTCTCCCTTGTTGACGGTAAGTGTCGTCTGTCATAGGTAGATGTCGTCTGTCATGGGTAGGTGTCGTCTGTCATAGGTAGATGTCGTCTGTCATAGGTGTCGTCTGTCATAGGTAGGTGTCGTCTGTCATAGGTTGGTGTCGTCTGTCATAGGTAGGTGTCGTCTGTCATAGGTTGGTGTCGTCTGTCATAGGTAGGTGTCGTCTTTCGTTGAACCTGTCTGTACCTGACATTGAATAGGTGTGCATATGACCATGAACTATTTTGTATATGACCTTAAAACGTCTTTGAACCGTGTGTTTCACCTTGAATCATTTTGTATCTGACCTTAAATCCTTTTGTATCTGACCCTGAACCATTTTGTATCTGACCTTGAACCCGTGTATCTGACCTTGAACTCGCGTGTATCTGACAGGACCCCCAAACTTTGAGAAGTGTTTGACCATCAACAGCAGCACGGGTCAGATGTACGTCATTCAGGCCTTGGGTCAGTTCTACACGCAGAAGGAAATACTGGTTGTTGTACAGGTAGGTGAGATGATGAGAAATACTGACAGATGGCACTGACAAGTGGCACTGACAGATGACACTGAAGTATGACACTGATAGATGACACGAAAATGATACTGTCACATGACACCGACATATGACAGCGACAAACGACATTGTCAGATGGCACTTTCACATGGCCCTGACAGATGATATAGAAAAATGACACTGTTAGATGATACTGACATAAGACAGTGACAGACGACACTGCCATGTACCATTAACAAAAGGCAATGAAAGAAGATGGCACTGACAAATGACACCGACATATCACTATATGATACATTAACAAGATGACAGGCCGGCAGGGTGTCGTCTGTCATAAGTAAGTGTGGTCTATCAGATGGTGTCAGATGGCACAAAACACGTGACATATGTCACATGGGTGACTGACGGCTAAACAGTCAGAATAAACATCAACGACACATAACGTTATCAAGACACCTTAATATCACTGACAACTAACAGAACATGATGAACCCACCTGTTGTAAAATTGTGTATACCAAACTCACCTGTTCTAAAATGTGTATCAAACTCACCTGTTCTAAAATATGTACACCAAACCCACCTGTTCTAAAATGTGTACATCAAACCCACCTGTTCTAAAATATGTACACCAAACCCGCCTGTTCTAAAATATGTACACCAAACCGACCTGTTCCAAAATTGTGTACACCCAACTCACCTGTCCTAACACTGTGTACACCAGGCGACAGAAACCTCCCCGCTACAGCACCAGACCAGGACGACCCTCCTGCTGGTGGTGGGGGAGGACCCTCCCACCTCTGGACTGACCACCCTCATCCTCCTGCCCATCACTCTAGTCCTCCTCCTGCTCGCTGTCGTGTGTGGGCTCTACTGGTGGATGAAGAACAAGAGACCTTTCCTGCACCAGATCGTCCCTGCCATAATGACCGGCACAGGTAGGTTATGTACACTTTTAGGTCAGACAAAAGACCTTTCCTGTGCTAGATAGTCCCTGCCATAATGACCGGCACAGGTAGGTCATGTACACCTTTAGGTCAGACAAAAGACCTTTCCTGCACCAGATAGTCCCTGCCATACTGATCGGCACAGGTAGGTCATGTACATCTTTAGGTCAGACAAAAGACCTTTCCTGCACCAGGTAGTCCCTGCCATAATGACCGGCACAGGTAGGTCATGTACACCTTTAGGTCAGACAAAAGACCTTTCCTGTGCTAGATAGTCCTGCCATAATGACCAACGCAGGTAGGTCATGTACACCTTTAAGTCAGAGAAAAGACCTTTCCTGTGCCAGATAGTCCCTGCCATAATGACCAGCGAAGGTAGGTTATGTACACCTCTAGGTCAGACAAAAGACCTTTCCTGTGCTAGATAGTCCTGCTATAATGACCAGCGCAGGTAGATCCTGTACATTTTTAGGTCAGACAAAAGACCTTTCCTGCATAGTCCCTGCTATAATGACCAGCACAGGTAGGTCATATACACCTTTAGGCCAGACACGAAACCTTTCGAACCTTGTGTTTTGGAAAATCTGGCAACTGCTTTTCAAGCAATCGTCGCAGACGTCTGTAATTCATATTAGTCATAATTGGACATTTATATTTCTGTTTCTAAAAGTTTAAATTACAGAACTAATAAATAATCCGTTTTTATGACATGTGCTTTACAACTGATCTAACTATTTACAGAATCAACAGACCAATGTATCAGTACTGTCTCCGAGTATTCCTACATTGATACCATCTCCGTCCATGACAGAAGAAAACAGGTAGGTCAGTTGTCACAGATAGGTCATTTGACATTGGTAGGTCAGTTGACACAAGTAGGTCATTTGACATTGGTAAGTCAATTGACACAAGTAGGTCAGTTGACACAAGTAGGTCAGTTGATACAAGTAGGTTAATTGACACAAGTAGGTCAATTGACACAAGTAGGTCATTTGACACAAGTAGGTCATTTGACACAAGTAGGTCAGTTGACTGAGGTAGGTCAATTGACACAGGTAGGTCAGTTGACTGAGGTAGGTCAGGTGACACAGGTAGTGTCATGTCGAAGACGGTAGTGACATATCCATGAAGCTAGGAGTTTATCAAAAGTTTATTTTGTTCATGTCATTATTTCATCTTCAACATTACGTTAATATCTCTATGTAAAGTATCACTAACAAGGCTTAAACTTCTCTCACCGCATGGAATTAATTTTCTCCGTAATGATGTGGCATTAATTAATTGTTCCTGGCTAGGTCTCGTGTTCTAAACTCGTGGAGGATTGGCCAGCAGAATCCAGTACCCAGCAGACGCTGCACGTGATGGATCACAACAGTTCAAACGGTAAATATTAGGGTTGCTTTCAGACATTTTGTTCGGGAGAGGGAGGGGGAACACATGACACTTTTGGGACGTGATAAAACGGAGGGGGGGGGGGGGAGTGGGGGTTAAATGGTTTAAGTATATAATTTTTATTTTCGTTAAGGGGATGATTTACCAAAGGGAATAACTATATATAATTGGGGCGGGGGGGGGGGGGCTTAGGGGTCAAAATGAGTCGCTACGCCTCTGATAATCAAAACCATCTTTGGCAAACTTTGAAACAAGGATTCTTTCAAGAATTTATTCTTCCAGGGAGCGGGGACTTAAAACTTAAGTGGGGGAAAGGGGTGGGGGCAGATAATAATTAAAGTGTGTATTTTCTATTCAATTTTTTTCCTATTTCGTCCTGGGATTGGGTGGGAGGGGGAGAGGTGCGGTAATCCCAGTGATATGCCTGAAAGAAACACTGTTCTAAACGTGAAACTATAAAGTTGAATGAAATACATACACACATATATATATATATATATATATATATATATATATATATATATATATATATATATATATATATATATATATATATATATATATATCTGAAAGAAACACTGTTCTAAACATGAAACTATAAAGTTATATATATATATATATATATATATATATATATATATATATATATATATATATATATATATATATATATATATATATATATATATATATATATATATATATATATATATATATATATATATATATATAATGATATCAAAATTTTATATCTGTGTTGTTGTTTTTTTTATCTGCACCAGAATCTTCCAGACCACGGCCTTCTGGGCTGGATATTTACGACCAGTTAGAAACCCCAGCATCACGTGACGGCTCGTGGAGCAGGCAGACGTCCCCCGCCCCCAGCAAGTTCAGGCTGACCGTCGACCCTCCCCAGCCGTCAAGTTCAAGGTCGTCCCCCTACAGCCCGCTGAGGGACGAGGACGAGGGTAGCTCAGACTCGCACCGGGTCCAGCACAACAACCGCCACGCCCACCACCCACTTCCGGTTCCGCTGGCCGTCCAGGAACAGCGTCTGAGCAGTATAGATTTTAGGTTACATCACGACGCGAGGGACGGGCCCAGGGGGGAGGCCCCCCGGAGCGGGGACTACGCCCCGGATGTGTACGACGCCACGGCGGACTACCAGGAGCTGGAGGTGGATGCTGGGTTCTACACTGACGTCATCAAGCTCAAGCGTCAGAGGCACGTGACGGAGATACCCTTGGATACGCTGGAACCGCGGTACTGGACAACGGTCGAGGCGCTGGACTCGGCGGAGTCGGACATCTAGTGAAGCCGGTTGTCGGACATCTAGTGAAGCCGGCTGTCAGAGATCTAGTATAGCCGGCTGTCGGACACCTAGTGAAGCCGACTGATTCGGACATCTAGTAAAGCCGGTTGTTGGAGATGGAGTGAAGCCGGCTGTTGGATATCTAGTGAAGCCGGCTGAGTCGGATATCTAGTGAAGCCGGTTGTTGAAGATGGAGTGAAGCCGGTTGTTGGATATCTAGTGAAGCCGGTTGAGTCAGACATCTAGTAAAGCCGGTTGTTGGAGATGGAGTGAAGCCGGCTGTTGGATATCTAGTGAAACCGGCTGAGTCGGATATCTAGTGAAGCCGGTTGTCGGAGATCTAGTGAAGCCGGTTGTCGGAGATCTAGTGAAGCCGGCTGTTGGATATCTAGTGAAGCCGGCTGTTGGATATCTAGTGAAGCCGGCTGAGTCGGATATCTAGTGAAGCCGGTTGTCGGAGATCTAGTGAAGCCGGCTGTTGGATATCTAGTGAAGCCGGCTGAGTCGGATATCTAGTGAAGCCGGTTGTCGGAGATCGAGTGAAGCCGGCTGTCGGACATCTTGTGAAGCCGGTTGTCGGAGATCTAGTGAAGCCAGTTGTCGGACATCTAGTGAAGCCGGTTGTCGGACATCTAGTGAAGCCGGCTGAGTTGGATATCTAGTGAAGCCGGCTGTTGGATATCTAGTGAAGCCGGCTGAGTTGGACATCTAGTAAAGCCGGCTGTCGGACATCTAGTGAAGCCAGTTGTCGGACATCTAGTAAAGCCAGTTGTCGGACATCTAGTGAAGCCGGTTGTCGGACATCTAGTGAAGCCGGCTGAGTTGGATATCTAGTGAAGCCGGCTGTTGGATATCTAGTGAAGCCGGCTGAGTTGGACATCTAGTAAAGCCGGCTGTCGGACATCTAGTGAAGCCAGTTGTCGGACATCTAGTAAAGCCAGTTGTCGGACATCTAGTAAAGCCAGTTGTCGGACATCTAGTGAAGCCGGTTGTCGGAAATCTAGTGAAGCCGGCTGAGTTGGATATCTAGTGAAGCCGGCTGTTGGATATCTAGTGAAGCCGGCTGAGTTGGACATCTAGTGAAGCCGGCTGAGTCAGACATCTAGTGAAGCCGGCTGTTGGATATCTAGTAAATCCGGCTGTCGGTTAACTAGTGAAGCCGGCTGAGTTGGACATCTAGTAAAGCCGACTGAGTCAGACATCTAGCAAAGCCGGCTGTCGGGCATCTAGAGAAGCCGGCTGTGTCGAAAATATTTTGTGAAACTCGTTGAATTGTACAGCTAGTTTGGTCAGTTAAAGCGGGGATCTAGAAAAGCCATCTAAATTGGATATATAGCTTAGCCGGCTAAATCGGACATATAGTGAAGCCGGTTGATTCTCACATATAGTTAAGCCGGTTGAATCTGTCACCCAGAAGCCTGACACCAGTTTACAAAAGTCGTACAGGCAAATCTTCTCAAATCAAACATGTTTATTATTTACACAATGTAATGAACACGTCAACCAGCCATTGCGAATCTTGACCAATAAACAACACGTTTTCCCTACTAAAACTTGTCATTGTTTTTTAACAAACCAGTGTATAGGCCTACATCACACAATCTTGCTCCTTGACAATTATGGTCAAGCTATTTTGTGACCAAATTATAAATGAAATTACTAGTAGATCCATTATGATCAATTCTGCGAAAAAAGTCAAAATGATTTCATCCTAACCCTAACCCCATGGGATGTATTATCTTCAACGAAGAGTCTAGCTACCTAAGATTTGCGGGTAAACCTATGTCTAATCCAGTGGCGTTACACGGTCGGGCAGTAGCGTAGCGAGGGGGGCGGGGGGGGGGGGGACATATGTCCCCGGGCGCCGACCTTAGGGGGGGCGCCAAATTGAAAGTTTGAGGGGGGGGGGGGGTGCAAATGAAAAGTTCGAGGGGGGGTGCAAATCGAAAGTTTGAGGGGGGGGGTGCAAATGAAAAGTTCGAGGGGGGGTGCAAATCGAAAGTTTGAGGGGGGGTGCAAATGAAAAGTTCGAGGGGGGGGGGGGTGCAAATCGAAAGTTTGAGGGGGGGTGCAAATGAAAAGTTCGAGGGGGGGGGTGCAAATCGAAAGTTTGAGGGGAGGTGCAAATGAAAAGTTCGAGGGGGGGGGGTGCAAATCGAAAGTTTGAGGGGGGGTGCAAATGAAAAGTTCGAGGGGGGGGGGGTGCAAATCGAAAATTTGCTCCCAAGGGGGCGCCAAATTGAAAGTATGTCCCCGGGCGCCGGGAAGGGTCGCTACGCCTCTGCGGTCGGGTGTCACCCGGGCGGTAATTGGGAGTGTCACCCACGCCCTCTAAAAACATTTTTACATTTTCGGTTTGATGTCACCCATATTTTGTTATCGTAAATTGGATAAAATGGATTATAAAACTGGATTACAAAACTAGATAGTAAGTTATTATGATTTTTTGACATGGTGTTCTAAATGGTATCAACCGGTGCAGACTGCCACCCCCCCCCCCCCCCCATGTGTCGCCACTGGTCTTATATATACGAACCCAATAGTTTGGGGTTTCATAAGCTCACATATACAATTGATAACATTGCATCACTCAATTTCAAGGTTAAGGTTATAGATTAAGGTTTGGGTCAAGTTTAGTTTAGCTAACTACATCATTGAGACTACAGAAACAATTACCCCGAATACACCCCAAGTGTAAAAATAACCCATTGGGCTAAAATAATAATCCAAGCTGAAAGCACTTGAAAATCAAATTGGGCGCAAACTATTGAACGGAAGTTAATAAAAACAGGTAATGTTTCTAAATTAAAAGAATAAAACCACAAGTCGCTAATACATAACATCAACATTATAAGATCAACATTTAACAAACATGTATTAGGACTGTCTTGAATGTAGCGAGACACTTCACGTCCGCCGTTTGTGATGTTCAACTCATTCAAATATCGCAAACGTACGAAGTAAAATATTAACTGATTTCCAAATCTTAGCACTTGCGGTTTAGTCTAGGCCTGCAGTTTACAATTTTAAACTAAACTTACTGAAAATAGTAACTGAATTCAAAATCTTAGCACTTGCGGTTTAGTCTGGGCCTGCAGTTTACAATTTTAAACTTAACTTAGTAAAAATGTTTTTCTTGTCATCATAAGCAGACCGACAGAGGCGTAGCGAGGGGGGGGGGGGGGCGGGGGGGGGGGGGGGACATATGTCCCCGGGCGCCGACCTTAGGGGGGCGCCAAATTGAAAGTTTGAGAGGGGGGGGGGGTGCAAATGAAAAGTTCGAGGGGGGGGGGGGGTGCAAATCGAAAGTTTGTCCCCGGGCGCCGGGAAGGGTCGCTACGCCTCTGCAGACCGGTCAGCTGAAATATCATTAACGTTTAAAACACATAATTTAATTAGTATACGTCATCAATGGTACTTGAAAAAAAAAACGCAGATGTTTATTATAAGGTTAGGCGGTTATGGTTACGTGCAAGTATGGCGGTTAAGGTTAGGGCTAGGCTTATGGTTTTGTGTAGCTATACAGAGGCGTAGCTAGGGGGAGGGGCGGGGGATACATATGTCCCCGGGCGCCAAAATGGGTTTGAAAAAAAATTGAAAGCTCATTTTAGCTGCAGCTTTGGATTATTAATATTAAAAAATATATGGGGGGGGGCGCCAAATTGAAAGTTTGTCCCCGGGGGATGGGGGGGGGGGGCGCCAAATTGAAAGTTTGTTTCCGGGGGATGGGGGCGCCAAATAGAAAGTTTGTCACCGCGCACCGGGAAGGGTCGCTACGCCTCTGTAGATATACTATACATAAAAAAGAAGCTCCGAATACATTATGATTATGGTGTTGTTGTCATCAGTGTCCTTGGGTCGGTAGAGGCTACAGCTAACCCTGACATACTTATCGCATAACCTAGCCCTGACCCAATTTAATCCTGAACTTAGCTGAATCTGATCTTCAAAATAAAATATATTAAAATAGTTTATAGACGTTTAACTTAACTAAAAGTGACTTAAAATTGTTTGTTTAGATTAAATAGTAATGTGAATATACAAATATTAATTGGTTAGAAATTAATATGAATAAAAAAAATACTTAACTTAAATTAAAGTAATAAGAATTTATTTAGCTTGAATTAAAATAATAATATGTTATTTACCTTTGATTAAAATAATAAAAATAGTTTAATAACTTAAATTAAAATAATAGTACCAGTTTATTTAGCTTATATTCGAATAATAAAAATAGTTTATATAACTTAATTAAAATAATAATAATACTATTTCATTTTGCTGAAATAAAAATAATAACACTAGTTTAATTTACTTAATGTCTATAAAAACAACTTTTGTATTCGTAGCATTGGCCTGTTGAGATGAGCATCTGAAGAAAACATGGAGTCGATTACTTTAGGCTGAAGCCCGCATGGTATCGGTTACCCTGTGCTAGAGAAATCATGGTATCGATGTCTTTTGGGTGGCTGACGGACAACTGGCTTCTACGTGGGCTGTTGACGTCTCTATTCTCTGGCTTGTAAGTCACATGTTTGAGTCATGCGCATTCGGTCGGTAGACTCTTCTTCTTCTTCTCCGTTCTTAATTTTAATGTTGGGATCCCCCCTCCAACACAATTAAGGACATGTGTCAACTGGTTATGCCCCATTGAGGCCATTGGCTCCGATTTCAGCCTGCTTTTCTTTTTGGATTTGCTTCCATAACCTTTGTCCAACCAAGAACAAACTACAAGGCAGCAGTTGTTTGATTTTAAAGCTTTACCGACTCGACCACGCCGATCCATCGTCGGTAGACGAAATAAGCAATACCCCTGAGTCAATTATTTAAGAATAGAAAAAAACCACTGAGTCATACGGGATTGTGTTCTTGCTATTTCAAGTTTATAAAATGTTGTTATATTTCAGCGTTATAGAATATAATGACCTTTTAGTTAAAAAATAGTTGTAAAAATTATTTATGATGAAAAGGAGAAACACGAGAAACCAGTTTTTCTGTTAATTTATACTTCCAATAATCCAGAATAGAAAATTTAGCCGCATTAACTATCAAATTTCAGTTCGGGGGCCAGTTTCTTCCAGGCATGTCCTTGATTTTTCTGGGCAAAGTTCCTCGGTCATCACCAACAAACGATTTTTCCTTGGACAAAAAGATCACCGCGGGCCGGATCCCGCCCGCGGGCCGTAGTTTGGAGACCCCTGATGTAAACAATCAATGGCAGTTTAATATTGCTGTTTAACATGCCCTTTTCAGACAGTACACATATAAAAACCATTTACACTGGGCTACCCTCCATAATGTTGTACAACATATGCTTGCGTACACTAGCCGATATTTAGTACTTCCTCTAAGTTCAACTTAGTTGTGGAAAGCGGTTAATTCTAGAACATTGAATTTTTTAAAATGTGTTGATTGTTTAGGGGTCGGCATGGTAGAGTCGGTAAAGCTCATGGTTGCTAAACCGAAAAGTCTCGAGTTCGAACCCTCGGGCAGATGAGGCTCGTTAGCTGGGGTCAGCCACTGTTCTAGGAGAGACAACTCCAAAATAAAACAACTGCTGCCTTGTAGTTTGGACAAAGGCTATGGAAGCAAATCCAAAAAGAAAAGCAGGCTGAAATCGGAGTCAATGGCCTCAATGGCTCATAACCAGTTGACACGTAATCCTTAATTGTGATGGAAGCATGGTTGATAAATTCGAAAAAAAAGTCTCAAGTTCAAACCCTCTGGCAGATAAGGCTCGATCCCTCCCAACACTAAAAATTAAGAACGAAGAAGAAGAAGAAGTTGATTGTTTTTTAATTATAATATTATTCTCACGTTAAAATATCAAGCATTTTAAAACAATTAAAAATCCTAGTTATCAATATTTGTAATTTTAAAAAATCCCAGATGCCAAAAAATGTAACTCAGTTTAAAATCCACCATAATCAAGATTTATAACAAAAAAGTATTGTCTACAGTGGTTTAATGTTTATAAATCCAAAATGCCAACAATTTTATTTTAACTCATTAAAGAAAATCCATCGATTTCAAGATTTGTACCAAAACATTATCGTCCACAGTGGCTTCCTGTTTATAACGCTAACACTGGACTACGCCAAGAAATATTGCCGTAAGAAGAAACATCAGGACAAAGTGGTAATATATGTGGGATAATAGGGGATAAACAGTGGTAATACATGTGGTGGGATAATGGGGGATAAACAGTGGTAACACATGTGGGATAATGGGGGGGGGATAAACAGTGGTAATAAATGAGGTTTAATAGTAGGATAAACAGTGGTAATACACGTGGTGTAATAGTGGAATAAACAGTGGTAATAAATGTGGTGTAATGGAGGATAAACAATGGTAATAAATGTGATGTAATGGAGGATAAACAATGGTAATAAATGTGGTGTAATGGAGGATAAACAATGGTAATAAATGTGGTGTAATGGAGGATAAACAATGGTAATAAATGTGGTGTAATAGTGGGATAATCAGTGGTAATAAATATGATGTAGTGGGTGGGGGTGGGGAGTGTATAAAATGTTCTTCAAGTAATCTGCATAAGTAAAAGTTAATGAGAGTAATTTACAAATGTTAATTAGCAATCCAACATAACACAATTGTGTACTTGGACATCACATTTGGTCGAGTTTTATCATATTTAAAGCTGGTTAAAGATATTGTTAAAAATGAGGTGATTTGAGTTGTTCACATAGTATTACATTTCGTCTCAACAGATAATATAATATAGATACAACACCGGAGCTAAGCTAAACACGACAGAACAACAGATAATATAGATACAACACAGAGCCTAAACTAACCAAGAAACATCAACAGATGATATAGATACAACACCGGAGCTAAGCTAAACACGACACAACAGCAGATAATATAGATACAACACAAGACTAAGCTAACAACAGATAATATAGATACAACACAAGACTAAGCTAACAACAGATAATATAGATACAACACAAGACTAAGTTAACAACAGATAATATAGATACAACACCGGAGCTAAGCTAAACATGACACAACAGCAGATAATATAGATACAACACAGAGCCTAAACTAACCAAGAAACATCAACAGATGATATAGATACAACATAGAGCCTAAACTAACCAAGAAACATCAACAGATAATATAGATACAACACAGAGCCTAAACTAACCAAGAAACATCAACAGATAATATAGATACAACATAGAGCCTAAACTAACCAAGAAACAACCAACAGATAGTATAGATACAACACAGAGCCTAAACTAACTAAAAAACATCAACAGATAATATAGATACAACACAAGACTAAGCTAACAACAGATAATATAGATACAACACCGGAGCTAAGCTAAACACGACACAACAACAGATAATATAGATACAACACAAGACTAAGCTAACAACAGATAATATAGATACAACATAGAGCCTAAGCTAACCAAAAAACATCAACAGATAATATCGATACAAAACAATCCCAAAAAAAAATCAAGCAGAAGACAATCTTAACTTTCGGCACGCGTTCTATTTTTAGGTACTGCTCCACGAGTTACTCAAAGGTCAAGGCCTTTTGGACTGGGAGGACGATACACACGTGGTACCCCCGGGCCGCATGCTGGGGACAGGGTCGGCACTGAACCGGCGACCCAACCTCTTCCACGCCTACAAGCAGTACGGCTGCTTCCTGGGCATGGGGACGGGTTACTACGCGGATCCAGTGGACGTTAGAGATTCGAAATCTTCCATCTGCGACGAGCCCGCGTCGACCGCGCCCAGGTGGTCGAACCTTCAGCTGAGTCAATCGGAGTTACCGAACTTTATGGCTAGCGATAGCTCTAGATCTCAATACACGCGCTACGCCAAGTCCAACATCAAACTGTGGAGCCAGCCCAGTGTCGCCATCCCGCAACCCAGCGAGGCCAAGAAAGACGAGGTCTACATGCGAATGATCAAGGAGTACCCTTTCATCGCGCCGTTTCTCAAGAAAACGGATTACCCGCGGGAAGCCATTCCCAAGATGACGGTGAAAGGTGACGAGAAGTATCCTACGCCGCGCGTAAGTAAGGCCAACAACGCCAGCCAGTCTGAACTCTTCAGGACGCCGAGCAAGAAAACGTCACTCAAATCCGTGAAAGAAGCCTCGAGGACTAGCTTGAAAGGAAGGCCGAATTCCCGCGGTCATTCGCCTCACAACACGGGTCTTAAAAATATCTCGGACAACAAAACGGTGTTAAAAGAAGACAAGTCAAGTCCCGTCGATGCTCAGAGTGTTCAAAATAACCCGGCGCAAAAAACGGGCGCAAAAGTGAAATCTTTCTCGCGGTGCAAATCCACAGACAACATCAGATCTTTCTCAAGATCGAAAACTCGGAGTCTCTCATCTTTAAAGAACAGCGCACTGTGTAAGAAAACGGAACAAAAAAGTGAACAGCGTCGTGAGATCGCCACGGAGATTACCGCAAGTTTCATTGAAATTTTCGGCTCCTCTGTCGATTCTAAGCCTCGTGGTGATGGCGTTGCCTCAACAACGTCACTTCCCAATAGCCCCAAACGTCGAACGGGCGCCAAAATCAAAACGGAGGATGAGCTGTGGAGAACATTGAAGCAAAGCTTTGAAGAGGCTGAACGGAAGTCTAAAATTCCAACGTCGAATAACAGACAGAAAAAAATGAAAGTGAGTGAAATGAATACCCAGCTCAAGAAGTTTAGAAAATTTCAAATAAAGAAAGCAATCAATGCTAAACTAGTGCCGACGGAATCAAAGAACCAAGAAGTTACTAACCACTCTCCTCGATCTAAGCGTACTGCTTGTTCAAGAAAGTCTAAAGATATTGACCACGCGTCTCATTCAGAAGACACTGAGCATGCGCCGAGGCTAAAATACACTGACCATTCGCCAAAGTCTAATCCTGTTGATCATACGTCTCAGTCAAAAGGTTCTGATAATTCACAACGGTCAAAAGACATTGACCATACGCCTAAGTCAAAATATACTGACCTTTCATCAAAGTCTAAAGATAGTAATCATACATCTCGTACAAAAAGTAATGATGATGCGCCAAAGTCAGCATATAATGACCATTCGCCAAAGTCAAACGATACAGATCATTCGTCACGGTCTAATGAAAGTGACCATACGCCACAATTAAAAGCTTCAAAGTTGAGGTCAGAGCGCACAGAAAATGAATATCTGGATCTGAAATCACCAGATAAGACCCCACGAGGGACCCCAATAAAAGAACTGACGTCACAACATACGAACCTGACGTCAACAACAAGATCCTCCGAATGGACTTCACAAGAGCAGCGCGTGACGTCACCAGCCATATTTTCCGGAAGGACGTCACCACAGCAGTCCTTTGCGTCACCGCCCAGATCTTCCGGGAGAACGTCACAGCAGCAGCACGTGACGTCACCACCACGGTCCCTCAATTGGCCTTCACAACAACACCCACCTCACGTGACGTCACCAACAAAATCTCCCGGAAAGACGTCACAACGGAGTCACTCACCGACCGCCCCGTCCTTCGAGACACTTACAAAAACGCGAGATAAACAATATCTCTGTCAAGCCCTGCAGCGAAGCCCTTCCGACTTTACTTCCGCTGAAGGAACCATTGATCCAGCATCGGATGAAGAAAACCCTGTGGTAACATCACCGAAATTCGTGACTAAGAAAGAAAGTATTTACGTTGAATACACTTTTGATTCGTTATCCCCGCGGGACCCACGCAGGGAAAAAAAACGCGCGATTACCACGTCTTTGGAGAAGGATCGCGAGGACACCAAGATGATGAAAACACGAGAAGAACTCACCATAGCGAAGACTCCAAAAACATCCCACAGTACAAGAGACACAGCGCGCAAAAAGCAGTTTTTGTGGAGTCAACAGCGTGAGATTTCTGTCGAGAGAAACCCGCCTGAGCCCAACGTTTCTTTGAAACGTTCATCGTTTACAAAAAAATCGAAAAGAAAACCAAGCGCCAGCAAAAGTCCAGACCGCCCTAAGCAGATCGAAGACAACCCTAAGAGTAAAGCTCTTACAAAAGGTGCCGATGAAAAACAGGATAAAGAAATTCTGCCTTCGGATCGACTCAAAGCCAAACGATTCATAGAGCAATCGGTGTCTCGCAAGATAGTTTGGAGTAAAAAGGGCAGAGATTCAAATAACACGGGTGAGATAGAAAAGGAAGGTCCACGCTCCGTAGCGCTTGCACATGAGTTAAAAAATCATAAAGATGCTAAGGGTATGTTTTATAAGGAAATATCAAAACAGCTTAAATCAGAACTGAGGCCCAAGTCTGACGCGACGAGATCTAAACCGAACCAAGATCTGAAGCGCGGGGTCAAGTCAGAATTGAAGGAAAAAGTGCACACGCAAGCTGGGCCCTTCCCAGACGATCACAAAAGCCGCAAAGAAACCAGGGAAAAAACCGTTAAGAAGGTGCCAAAACAGCCGTCGACTGAACGAAAGCCGAAAAAAGACGCGGGTAAACTCAAATCGAACCCAGAGTCTGTATCAAACAGCCTTGTTAACGTAAGGGACAAAACATTTTCGCAACTCAAGAATGTAATTTACAAGCAGCCAGCAAAAGATCGAAATTCACCAGAAAGGAACCCCAAACTGCCGCCCAGTACGCATATCAAAGACAAAGTCCAAACACCCGATACGTATATCACCAAGAAAACAGATGTCAAACTAAAGAAAAGAGTTTTCGACACGAATACCTCTCTCTTCGATGAGCCGACTTTGAATCGTGTCCCTAGCATCCAAAATTATAGAGTCCTTATAAGGAACGAAAAGGTGTTGGACACTATAGTTCCTCTCGTAACTTACTCAAAAATCGAAACAAAACAAACAAAAACGAAACGCAGGTCGCCTTCACCGGAAAGGCTGAAAATAGAAAAACTGACCTCCGTTCCTAACAACGAATCATCGGACGATTATTTACCCCGAGTTAACAATACGAAAACCCCATCGTTTCATGACCTAGAATTAGAAATCAACAACCAAAACGAAAGTTCAAGTGAGATCGAGAATCAAAAAATGCCAGATTTAGTACACTCTAATCCACGCAACGCAGAGAAACCAACCGAGAAACAACTAGAGAATTTTTACTCGGACTACGCGATGAACACGTTTTCCTCAGGGCCCATGTGTGAAGAGGACGACAGCGATGTCTCGCAGTGTCCGGAAACGTCAGACTCGGAGAACATTGAAGAGTTCGGTGACCAGATGCGGAGAGAGTATTTCGACAATGTGGTCGCGCCACGACGCAAGCAAGACAAGCAGGTCGCGTTAAAGAAATCCGTGCTGGATGATGTCGTACGGGACTTACAAATATACCAGTAGGGTCTTCATCATAACCTGCGGGCTGGGTTTTTTTTTCAACATTAAATTACATGTTCTAGATCAGTAGGGTCATCATCATAAACTGGGATTTTTTTCAACATTAAATTACATTTTCATACAACTATTGTGCGGCTTTTTTTTTTTTTATTTTGAAATGCGTGTTTATTGATGAAATATAATAGAGTAACTATAATAAACAAATCTAGTCTTTCAATAGGTTTTTTTTTTGGAGTTGGTTAAGATGTTTTTTCCCCTTGTTTTGGAGGGGGGAGGGAGGAGTGTTAAGCCTTCATGTATCTTTTTAGATCGATCCAGAAATATACGTATATACATTCGGAACATAACATTTTATTCTATAACATAGTTAAAAATTACTAATATCCAAATATTTATTATTTGATAAAATTTACATTGTCTCTTAAATTGTTTTGTTTGGGTTTGGGTTTGGTTGAGAGGGTCCACCTACGAACAAGACAATACTATATATAGTTAGGCCTAGTTACTAAAACGATAACAGGAGGGAAATATTTATGTCTATTTCTGATTCTGAAGGCTATCGCTGACATAACACTGACCCTAATCATAACCATGTCCCGGTCCTGACCTTAATTATACACTAATTATAACAACAATACCAACAGAAAAACTTCTATTCGATGTTATATTATTCTGCCTGTAGTGCAAGTGTACTTTAAAATCGCACTTTCCATTTGATCCACTAATATGAAAAAAGGGGGAGGGGAAGGGTATCAATCAGAGGCCAACTATCAACTTTGCGGACCCCCCCCCCCTTCCTGTCATTTAAATATGTAACTCAGAAAGGTTTGGGCGCTTTTACCAGTCACTTTTCTTTTTTATTATTATGATGTCACACAATTAATGTAGAAAACAGTTAAAGAAATCCCTTAAGCCAAGTAGCCGTTTATTTTCTTAACGTCGACTGAATAATTCAGTTACATTGCTGATGATGATTCTCTTTTTAAGCATGTACCAAATGTTTTTCTTAGGTCAAGAGATGCGAGCATTTTAAATAAAGCTTCTGCAACAAACTGACATTGGAAGGATCTTATGTTAATCCGACAAAGTCGAGTAGGGGACGGCATGGTCGGATGGTAGAACTTACGCCTGCTAACCCGAAAGTCTAGAGTTAAGATCAAGGAATCGAGCCTGTAAGACATTCCTGAGTTCACCCAGCTCTGATGGGTACCTGACTCAAAATAGGAAAACCAAGGCGGCTTTGCAAAGTTCTGACCACATAACCCCCTCCCCAGAGGCGTAGCGACCCTTCCCGGCGCCCGGGGACAAACTTTCAATTTGGCGCCCTCCTCGGGAAAAACCTTTCAATTTGCACCCCTCTCAAACTTTCAAGTTGCACCCCCCCCCCCCCCACCATAACTTTCAATTTGCCCACCCATCCAACTTTCAATTTGTTTTTCCAACCCATTTTGGCGCCCCCTAAGGTCGGCGCTCGGGGACATATGTACCCCCTCCCCGCCCCCCTCGCTACGCCTCTGCCCCTCCCCCGGTATGCCTGGGGCACGAACGGGAAAAGATTATGATGCGTAATGAGCAAAGGCAACTAATTATTAATAACTCGACAACAATTATCCTGACCACTTACACGAATGATGAAGCAGAGGTAATACTACAGCAGACACATCTTACACAGACCACGTGGAACACCGCAACATCCCACTTCAGAAGAAACTGTTAATCAATTTAATGGTGTCTGCACATAGGCGTAGCGAGTAGGGGCGGGTGGGGCGGGTGGGGCGGCTGCCCCTGGCGCCGACCATAAAGGGGCGCCAACCATAAAGGGGCGCCAAACCGGGTAGAAAAGATTATTAAAAGCTCATTCTCAGCTGCATTACTGAATTATTCACAGTTTAGGTTAATTAGCTTCACGGACTTGTTGTCTACATCGAATGTGTGACATCGTAATAAAAAGTGACTGGTAAAAAGTGCCCCGACCTCTCCAAGTTAAAAAGGGGGGGGGGGCGTTTTTTCAACAACGTTAATATTTATGTGTAAATGGGATGGGGGAGGGCAAAATTGATAGTTTGCCCCGGGCGCCGTATCTGATCGCTACGCCTCTGTGTCTTTATTGACCAACAGCTGCCGAAAACATTATAGGCGCCTTCGCTGACCAACAGTTTAAGACAGAAGTCAACCTCAAGATAAGCGCATCTATTTCACTTTCATTTATTTAACTGACTGATCTTGTTTATTTTAACTCATTTTTATTTACCCAAAACGGCGGCAGTGTTCTAAAAATGGTCCTCCCCTGGATACGCCACTACATAATTGTTTTGGGCATACAGACTCAACACTTTTTTCACGCAGCAAATACCATAGCTTTATCTTATAATATAGACGAGCTAGCCCTACGTAGACCTGATAGAATTTAGATCTAAATATATTTTGTTTTCTTATAATATAGAGTATAGAGTTAAAATTCTGATTAATGTTTTTAATCTAATACTCTTTACAGAGTTTAGCCGAGCATTTTATATATGTTAAAATGTATTTCGTTTATTCCGCAAAATACATAGCACATACGTATATTAGAAAGATAAGATAATTTTGATAGAGCTTTTGGGTATGTTTTTTTTTCTTTCAAATTTTGTTTTAAATGAAAAGTTTTCAGTAGCCTTCTTGCTTTGAGAGTATTTGTTTACAAGCGGTTGCGATGCAAGCATAAACTTTGGTCCAAAAAACTACCATGACCGGATCGATAGCAGAAACAATGTAGGTTTCAAATAATTAGAAGAAATGTGACATTTTTTGTGATTTGTATTTGTTATTTCTAAACCTTTGTACATTAACATCTTTTTGGATCGCTATGGATCAAATCTAGATCTAGTTTTTGTTTTTTTAGAGTAGAAACTGTGAGATTCAGTGCACTCTTTGCACCGAAAACGGAAAAAACCGTGTCAAAACGAGCACGAGCTGCTAAAATAAATTAAATAATATAAATCGTTCTTCAAGAGGATCTAGACCTAGATCTAGGTTCTAATTCTGATATTTCAGTTGTTGAGAATTAAATAAGATTAACTGGTGAAATGGAAACTGTATTATTATTTTAATTTTTATAGTTTATGACTTTATGTATGTAGTATTAGTATTAGTTACTTATTAGTATTAGTGATGAAGGGCCTACAGTAAGCTATTGTACTTGTAGGCCTAGTATAAAAAAAAAACTGACTATATATAATAATAATATATACTGAGACTATACTGAATAAGTGATGCCACTGTCCTTTATGCCTGGTTTATGGCTATTTTCAGTAATTCTTAATCAAATTCCAGATTTTTATCATAGGGCCTTTAGCTACCTCCTCACATGAAATCACAAATGGGTTTGGCCATCAGTTTTTCCTACATGCAGGCCTATCAAAAGTAAACAAGGGGTTAAGTGGGCAGCTACCCCTGGCACCAAAATATCTTGGCTACTACTTCTGTGTGTGAATGTTAAGTGTCTATTCATTATTGTTTAAAACAGCTTTTTTAGAACATTATGTGTATTGTTATTTTAGTGTAAGCCCATACAGCTTATAATTTATATAATTTGTGTTTAATTGGTGTGTTGTTTTTTTTCATAGGTAACCGTTGCATGTTATTTTTATGCAGCTGTGATGAACAAAGATTTAGTTCATTGTGAAGAGTGCTTTTGAGTGAAACAACAAAGAATGCAGCAAAACTCATCAAAGAAGTCCAACAAGAAAACCCCACGTCGTCCAGGTACCATATCTCCGAGCATCTACTCTAATAAATTTGTTTTGTTTTGTAGTTTATCTGTACTTTTCACTGTGGTGAACACATTGTGTTTGTCTAGACAAACATGTAGTTTCTCAAATATCATATAGGCCCCGGGTGGGCGTGGTCGAGTCGGTAAAGCTCATGGTTGCTAAACCGAAAAGTCTCGAGTTCGAACCCTAGGGCAGATGAGGCTCGTTAGCTGGGGACAGCCACTCTTCTAGGAGAGACAACTCCAAAATTAAAACAACTGCTGCCTTGTAGTTTGTTCTTGGTTGGACAAAGGCTATGGAAGCAAATCCAAAAAAAAAGCAGGCTGAAATCGGAGTCAATGGCCTCAATGGCACATAACCAGTTGACACGTAACGCTTAATTGTGTTGGAGGCGTGGTCGAGTTGGCAAAAAGCTCATGGTTGATAAATTCGAACAAAGTCTTGAGTTCAAACCCACTGGCAGATAAATCTTGATCCCCTTCAACACTAAAAATTAAGAACGAAGAAGAAGAAGAAGAAAGACGATATAGGCCCACATGAGAAGGTCCATAAAATATCAGGGATGCCCACAAAGATCATTACAAAACAGGTCCATACAAATCTCTCATTCTGCGCACTAAATCATTAGAAAGCTTTTATATCAGTTAGCTTCTGTACCTTAATATAAAGTTGGTTAACACAACCTGATCACTGGTTGGTAGAATTATCATTGTTAATGCTACTGTCACACCCTTTTTATTACTTTAAAATATTGTCTTAGTTTTTAATGTTTGATTTTTATGTAATACAGAAATACTTGTTTTGGTTCCGAAGACTCTTTAATATGTCATAAAAAACTCTTTTTTAAATACATCTAGTGACCCCAGGGAAATCTAAAAATGGCAAAGAGCTATGGATGAAAGCATTGAAAAAGAGACAAACACGTATGTCATTAACGATAAGCGCTAAAACAACTAAACATTTGCAACTAAAAGGTGTTATTTTTAATAATCATAACAATAAAATTTCTTGATTTCACTTACTAAAATGAAGCTGCTCTGTTTTCAGTAACAATGTCTAATGCCTACCGACCAACCACCCCTCGACATAAAACATCCACAGAATATTTTATTGAAAGTTTACGCAAATCCGGTGTGGGTAAGCCACCATCCCTGTTTGAAATAAACTTGATCCTTCATGGGACTGTCACAATCACAATATTAGTGTAGATTCATATATTAACAAATTTCACTTTATTTTCACCACAACCATTCATACAAAATTTTATATAGATAAAAAGTTCTGATTTTTAAAAATTAACACACTATGAAATGGTTTCTTTTTTTTTTTAAACTGAAGGAATGAGAAGGGAGACTACTCTAACTGGATTACCACGAGCTAACAATGAACTAATGCCTTACATGAGTACACCCCATTATCTCAGGCAGTTCATGGGCACAGAAAAGATAGGACGAAATGATGATTTAACTGGTAAGAATGGTTATATGGGACGTTAAGTAAAGACACTCATTAGAGCTGAGTGGACTCAGTGACAGGTTAGGAGCTCTTTCCATGTATATAACATATAACAATCAGCTGCTTTGATGAAAATAGGTAACATTTTAGCCAAGTAGGTGGTCAGACACACTCAGGAAATATTTAGGGTAGAATAACAGCATCAGCTACCTACATTTTATTTTGAATAAATTAAGGTTGACAGCAAAAATCTGCAACTAGCAAAAAAAAGTTATTGAACTTTTGTTTCTTATCCTATAATTCTATATTTTTTTCACAGCTAGGCCTAATGTTGGAACTCCTGCTTATAAAACACCAGAGGAATACTATGATGAGGTCTTAGAACTTAGGAAGGTTTGTTTTATTTCTTTTAAAATTCTGGTTTATTTCATAATGCTTTTCTGATGATGAGCCATGTGGTAATGGGGGAGGGGGGGGGGGGGGAATGGGAGTGGTTAAAAATGGTACAGAAAAATCACCTAAACAAGCTATTTATGAATAACCCTTTATTATTTGCAACAGTTTTGACTTCCTGTCAAATTAAATATTCACATAATTTTATGTTGTTAAAGTCTGTTTAATTAGTAATAATTTTTCAAAAAAGTCTTTTTATCTATACTATTTAAAATACTTTTTTAAAAAGTTTTAATGGTTGTCAGTCAGTTTTGTAAAAGGTTTCTTTAATTTATAAATAACTTTGGACCACTTTGTAAATCTGTTACAAATTTAATCCCCAGCAAATTTCTGGTTTGGCGCTAGAAAGTTCAACAAACAAAACAAAAATTAGGCGACTAGAAGAAGAAAATCAAAAGAAGGCAAGATTTAATTTATTGATGTGGTTGTTTAAGTTTTATTGCTGCTTGTGTTTATTGATCTCTTATTAGTTAAGGCTGCCAAACTTAGATGATCAAAAGTGTTTATAGCCTATGCATTTCTTGTTTGATTTGGTACCAACATATAAATTTTTACTTATAATACAGGAAAAGGAAATAGAGGCTCTTCTAAATCCTGGAAAGGTTAGAACATCTAATAAATTATTGCTTAAAACTGGTCAATTTTTTTTTTTATCATTTACATTGTTTATTTATAATTGATTTTTTAACTGTAAACTATTTTGAATGTTATATAAATAGAAATAATTATGCTTAAGTAGGCCTACTGATTATAAAAAAGAAAATGTTTTAGATTAAAGTAATAAGTAATATAGCATGAGACTTGACCTTCTGTTTTACATTAAATAATTTAGCTTGAATTTTGACCTTTTATCTGTTGTAGAATGGTGAAATACGTAGAACAATGGCAGATAAAAATGCTGATTCAGGGGCAGTAATCCACAATTACAAACAGAAAATTTTAAAACTTGAAATGCAGCTGAAAGATAAAGAAGCAGCGTACAGGTAACAATTTAATAGTTATACATATTAATTATTATGCAGTAAACATGAACAAAGCTTACAGCATACATAATGCTAGTTATTTTTATAGTTGGAATTTAAAAAAAAAACAAGTGTGCTTAATTTTTACTTTAAAAAGTGAGTACAATTTTATTAAAACATTGATTAAGGTACTCTGTAAAAACAAAATACACTTTATAAATAGTAACCATAGTTCTGATATGCAAAAGCACGACTTGCACTGACAATGAATTTTTGTTCCAGCAAACTGCAAGGGGATTTGAAAACAACAAAAATAGAGGAAATGAGGGTTCAGCTGGAGGCTGTGTATGGGGAGGTGATTAGACTGCAGATGACAAAAGATTCAGATAAGACCAGGTAGGTCAAGGTCATTAGAAAAGTCTAGGCAAGATAAGGTCTTTTTAGACAGTCCAAGTCTCTAAGGTCTTTTTAAAAAAAAGTAAAGTCTTTTAGGTAAAATCAGGTCTTTTAGACAGTTTAAGTAAATAAGGTCTTTTTTAGTAGGCCTACCTTCTAGATAAAATCAGGTCTTTTTAGACAGTCCAAGTCATTAAAGTCTTTTTAGAAAAGTCTAGGCCAGATCATAGTCATTTTAGAGATATAGACATGAGAAGGTCTTTTTCAAAGCTCTAGACAAGACCATATTGTCTTTATATTAGAGATTCTAAAATCTTCTTACCTCCTTGTGTATTTTCTTCCACCTTGTTGATTTATTGGTTTGAATTTTTAAAACTATTAAACAAAGGAGTTTGACCTGTTTTATTAAAAAAGTATGGATATCTTTTGCAAATAAATTGTTGTGATTTTTTACAGTATAAAATTTTGTTGGTCTTATTATCTGTAAATATAGTTTTAAGTCGTTAGTTTTAATGGCTAAACTAACTTAAATTAACTTGGCATCAAAATCATAATTACTGAAAAAAATGTTTTTTTAAATTTTGAAAAATAATAATTTTGTCCAACACTTTTTGTACTAGTTGATACTAAACATCAGCTTTTTAAAACAAACTTCTAGGAAAGTAAAATATTCATTTATAAATTTTCCATCTCTTGTGAAGCAAACTTGTACTTGTACAAAAGTAAATTGTTCACTCACTACCTTCCAGTTCCACCAAGGAGTCAGCAGCCAAAGTGAAGGCTCTGAGTGAGACTGTGATCCGCCTGAGTAAAACCAATGAGCAACTGCAGATAGAGAACAAATCCTTGAAGGAGGACCTTCACAGGGCCATGGAGGATTCAGAGAAAGCCCAAAGTTTGTAGCCCATTATTTTTTATGCTACTCTTTAGTTTGTAGTTATCTGACAGAAATTGTGCTTCGTTAGTTTCTTCTCCAACATACTTAAGTATTAATAAATGCAGGTTATCTGTGTTTATAATATGTGATAAAACCTAATTTGTATCTGTAATTTAATTTAAATCATAATTTTTTTTACTGTTTTACTGGTATATCAATGAATATATAAATTGATATGAAAATAAATCTTATATATATGAAAATATATTTTCTAATTGATATCTAAAAGTATATTTTAATTGGTGTCTTACTAATTACCAGGTGATTTTGCTAATATGAAGAAAAGGGATCAGACCAGTTATACAGACAAGGTACATATTTAGTTGATTACAAGACATGTCTTGTGTCTTACCATATATATGTAACAAAAACTTTACTTAAATGTCATACGATTTACATGTGACTAAGAAACCTTCTAAATATATGTCATAAACATACATGTAACAACGAAACCTTACTTAACATATTTCCACTGATAGATATTTAACTAAACAAACCTTCCTAATGCTACACATTTTTTGTTTGTGTTTCAGAGAGTTTCAGACAGAGGAAGGGGGGAGAGAGATCAGCTGTCAAGTAGAAGTAGACATCAAGGTAACCATAGCAACTGTTGTTACTGTCTGTCCAACAGTCAAATATTTGGTTAGATGTAGGAGGATAATTTTGTGTTTGACTGACTTGTCTCCCTTTACACAGTATATGCAAGTCAATTGTTATCTAACAATGTATATTTAGGTAAAATTGACCTGAAAGGAAGTTTAGAGGAACGGTTGCATCAGCTTGATCAAAGGGAGACAGAACTTTTGCAACAAATTGATGATCTAAAGGCAACTCTTCAAAGAAATTTACAAGAAAAGCAGAAAAAAGAGAGGTAAATTAGTGTTGTTTGTAAAAGTGAAAAGCTATTTTAGTTTTATTAATTACATGTTAGTAATCCATAATATTGAATATATATGCTACATAAATTATTTATAGGAAATTTAACTTAAAAGTAAAAAATAAGATGAAAAGACTGAATGTGACTAAATTAAACATATTTCAAGAAACAAAACTAAATAGTTTATTCAACATTTCATGAAAAATTATAGACCTATGTTTATTCTATTAATATTTATTTCACTCACAGTATGTCATCCCTCCCACCAACACCAAGAAGAAGACAAAGGTTAGAAAATTACCTTCGTCTATGTCTTAATTAACATAGTTCAAAGTCTTAGTACTAACGTTATTGAAAATAAATCAGCCAATCCTATTTTTGCCAGTTGATTTTTTACATTTTTGTTTGATGTTTCTAGCTCAGCCAATCATTTTCAATCTGAAGATGTTGTAGATGGTAGACTTTACTCAGAGCCAGGTTCAAGGCCCAGCAGCTCCAGGTCAAAATCTTCAGAAGTTGAAAACTTCAAACAAAAACATGCAGCCAAAAATATTCAGCGTCAGTGGAGACAACACAAACAGCATCAGGTAGATCACCAGGTAATTCTTGACCCGATATTTTGACAAGATGATATTTTTAAAAATCTAATACTAACTAGATCAGGTAGATTGTTATACCTGGGTTCTATATGTGTCCCGCAGTTATGTAGTGAGAGGGTAGAACTACTTGATCCAATACTATATTTCAATACCACTACAATTTGATTATGTTTAGCTATGCAATAGTGCATCTTGAGACACGACGACATCAACGCTTACTAATGATTTGACAGAATGACATTGTTTGCTAATTCCATTTATTGCACTATAGAAATAGACATCGGACAGCTTGAACAAAAGATACTAAGACTGGACAACCTAACCCTAACATAACATGAACAAGACTAACTGAAGCTTCTTCTCCGGCAACAACGAACTCACCCTAAAACGTCACTTTCTTGCGTACCGCGTCACACTTTCACTTGTTCAATATTATAGCTTCGCACCAGCATTCATGCGCACCAATTTGTCTATTCAAATATACATCATAGCATAGATAACCAGGCAATTCTTGACCAGATATTTTGGCTAGATAATATTTTTAAAAATCTTGCACAAACTACATCAGGTAGATCACCAGGTAATTCTTGATCAGATATTTTAGCTAGATAATATTTTTAAAAATCTTACATAAACTACATCAGGTAGATCACCAGGTAATTCTTGACCAGATATTTTGACAAGATAATATTTTTAAAAATCTTACACTAATAGCATCAGGTTATACTTGACCCGAAATTTTGGCTAGATTATATTTTTAAAATATTACACAAACAGAATGAGGTAGATCATCAGGTAATACTTAACCAGATATTTGGGCTAGATTGTAAAAAAATCTTACACTAAGTAAATATCCCTTTAACCTGACACTCCAGAGGGCAGATGAAGTAGAGTTCATCTCTTGGTCAATGATTTTTCCAGTACAGCTTCCTAACACCTCTGCTTCCCTAAGTCTAATACCTCAACTTGATCAGTGAACATTTATCAGACTGGGCTAGGAAAGTAAAATATTTGGGTTAATAGTCCACACCTTCCTGATCCATAGGCTGTACATAAACCCTTACTAATCAGTTGGTATTTTAACTAATTAAAATTACTAATTATGGTTACCTATTGACCCCTAAGATTTTAAATTCTATTTCCAACAGATGGATGATGAAGTAGAAGCCTTTAAAGAAAATTTGGCAGCCAAAAGAATTCAAAGAGGGTGGCTGGATCACAAGCAACATAAATATAATGAGGAACTGGATGATGTGAGCTATTCATTCAGTCCACAAAATTAGCTTCTAAATTTGATGAAAATGTGACATGTGTTACTGCCCTTGCTCTATTTTTTAAACATCTTTAGTTGTTTTGATTCCTTAACTTTTGTATAAATACTCAGTTGTGCTTTGAAAATAGTTTTTTTAAGTAGGATACACAATATAACACATTACATTGTTTATAAACAAAATAGTGTTAGTAACCTAAAAAAAAACTAAAGGCAATTGCAAGTACTCTTCAGTCTTCTTCAGCACAGAACACTGATTACAGTAGAAAAAGTTCTACTTTATTTATACTTACTTCATTTATTTCACTGCAACTACATTGATCTTTATTACATTACATTATCATGTGAAATATTTTCAGGCTGCCTATATGATTCAAGGCAGTTTAAAAGCTCACCATACAAGGAAAAAACAAATGAACCAGTGGAGTTTCAAGTACCGAGATGTTGATGAAGAGGATGATGATGATGAGGATATTGACCTCATACAGTCCACTTTCAGAGGTCACAAGGCCAGGAAGCAAGAGCTAGGCAACTTAAAAAACATGTGGGTTTCCTGTTGTTGCTTTTTGCTCCAAGTGGTCAGATTAAAAAAAAAATTATCTGGCCACATGTTGAAGTTGGTTTTTAATTGATTTAATGTTACACACGAGTCAATTTTAGCATTGATATATTGGGTTTTGAATTAAATTTAAATGCTTGCCATACGTACTAGCTAGTTTTAGCTTGTTATCTGTTTTGCATAGCTTAATTTCTTTAATACCTTGAAACATACTTAACTTTTGATTATATTCAAATACTATCATTAGTAAATAAATAAAAGATTTTACTGAATTCAAAACTGTTAAATTATTGACCTGTTTTTGTATGATGTACGTAATACTATTTAATGATGACAGGTTGTTTTAAGTTTGTGTCTCAGCTGAATCTAGCAACAAATAAGTAGCTAAAGGATAGTTCTCACAGCACTTTACCAACTATTTTAACTACCATGCCAAAAGTAATGATTGGGCTCTAGTGATATCTTATTACCATACCATACCCACATGAGTTCATTGTTTTAAAAAATATTTTTACTTAGGTTGTCTAGGAGAGAAGAGTCAAAAAGTGCAGGCAGTGTCAGGAGTTTGTCACATCAGTCCCTGTCTGGTGCAAGAGGAAGTGCCTCTAGAGACCCTTCACCTATGGGGAGTCAGATTTTAGGAGACTCTCTGAGTCGACGCCCATCATCCGCTTCTTATAAATCCAAGGTAATTCTTTCACTTTAGTTTGTTAATGTGTGGGGGTTTTCAAGTAAATATATCACACATAGCTGTTGTTTGGGGTTTTAAATTAAGTAAATACATCATTTATGACAGTTGTAAAGTTAAATATCACAGAAGGATGTTATATGGGGTTATTTAGTAAACGTGTTACAGAATTCTGGTATATAATTAAATAAGTTAATTTGCAAATTACTTTTTTTTTGAAAACGCAAAAATAAACAAGTTTAATTTCTAAATGTTAATTAAATTTTTTTTTCCTAGCGCGGATCAGTCAGTCAAGTTTTTAAAGCCAAATACAACGTCCAACCATCCAACGATGATGATGATGACATCATGTTTTGAAGACAAAAGTTCAAATATTTATTTCATTGTACAGAAAACATTTTGATCTCAACATTCTGTATGACAGGCTGTGACATGTGACCTTTTAGTGTATCGACCTTTTAACATTCAACCTTTAACCTTGTCTAAAACAATCTGCTACTTTACCCTCAATTTGACATGCTATTATATAAACCAGCTGTCTAAAGCAAAAGCTATTGAGCTTAATAAGCTGATAGATTTATTTCCCTTTAGTTTCTGTGATCCAACATTTTTCTGCACTCAACAATGCACTCTTTTTTTTTTAAACCTCTTAAAATACAAAATGTAGGCTAAAACAACAATTGTAGCTAACATCAGTGGCCCTGCAGTCCTTTCTTTCTGACTGGTATGTTTTCTGATTTGTTGTACACAAACTTCCCTTCCCAATAATAGACCAGATGCCTTGTTATTTCAATCAGTTTACCAGACAGCTCTACTATATAGAAATATATTACAAGGGGAAGTAATGTCACCTAGCAGCTCGTTCACAGCTACTGCTAGTAAACATTTCAGTTACCTACCATACTCTTAAGGACACTGAATCTGCCTCAAGTGTTTGTGTGTGAATAGTCTCCCTTCGTTTGAGTAAAATAACCAGATTTTTAATACCTTATTGCAATAAGTTTTAAAAACCATCTAGATTCTAGATCTACATTTTCTGTTTTACTCAATACAATGGTTATAATTGTTATAATATAATCCATCACATCAAATCCAAAATGGTTTAAAGTACAGTAGATAATATAATAAATACTCTTAGTCATAATTATCTAATATTATTAAGAATCAGTACTAGCCTTGTTATATTAAACTTTAGTGTAATTTTACCAATAAATGTAATTGTTCATGTGATATTGATTTGTAAGTCAAGTTCGTGTAAATGTTAATGAACATTTTTTTTAGCTTATACCACTTGCACTTGTTATTATTTACAAATAAAGGACAATATTTTACACCATTTTATCAGGAGTTTGTCTTTATTTTGTAACACGTCTCTCCTGGAAATCTTAAAATCCCAGGAGAGTCCATTGGATGTGCTTGAGTTCACCCAACACTGCTGGGTACCTGAATTCCATTAGGTGTTTTGGCATAGTGCTGACCACTAAGTTCCTTAAACTGTCTTTAAATACTTGTTTTAATTTTAACAGAAGAAAAGCTATAAATCTAGAAAACTTTTTGCAATTTTCTAGTATAGATAGTGACACAACAAAAGCAAGCAAAAATGTCATGTGGAAACTAGTACACAAGAAAGAAATGAATGATATCAATATTTCCATTATTTTTAATTCCTAAGTTAACAATGGAATAGTCAGTAGTTTCCAACATATTACATACAGTTCTAATCTTACAATCTTTATTACTGACTTGTCTCAAGTGGAATTTCATTTGAGTAGGATTCTGTAGGACATTCCAGTGTCTTAGTCAATGTAGGACATTCCTCAGTCTTAGACTCTGTAGGGCATTCCTCAGTCTTAGACTCTGTAGGGCATTCTTGTGATTTAGATTCTGTGGGACATTTTTGTATCCTAGATTCTGTAGGACATTCCTGTGTCTTAGATTCTGTAGGACATCCCTGTGTCTTAGCTTCTGTAGGACATTCCTGTGTCTTAGATTCTGTAGGACATCCCTGTGTCTTAGCTTCTGTAGGACATTCCTGTGTCTTAGATTCTGTAGGACATTCCTGTGTCTTAGTTTCAGTAGGACATTCCTGTGTCTTAGCTTCTGTGGGACAACCTTTTGTTTCAGATCCTGTAGGGTGTACCTCAGATGATTCTTTAGGACCAAGTTTCTCTATTATTTTAGGACCCTGCTGCAGCTCTTGTAGGTTGTACTTACGCAGCCTGATATAATCAGGTGCTACCCCTATACAGCACACAGTGCACACAACTTCTACCAGTATAGCCACCTGGTAGTCATTCCATGAAAAAGTTAACCTGGAATTAACCTTCTCCACAGCCCGCGTGACAGCTGGAATTACCTGTGTTTTAGGACATGTGTTCCCATTGTTGTTCCTAGATTTAAACAAAACGGTGTACGAGGTGGGGGGATAATCACAAAAGATGGGATGTAACACAGTCAATGCAGTGGTTTCAATGTCATCTGTGTGTGCTTTGCAGGTGCCTACAATTGGCAAAATACGAGCTGCGTAACGAGCTTTCTTCAAACCATGCTGGGCTATATCTTCCATTATAACTGTCACCAGTTTTATAGGATCTTCCACAGTTGTGCTGATGAAGACACAATTTTTAGCATTGCTCAGTACATTTTGGAATCTTTTTTGTACTGGTGTTTCGGTTTTTAATCCTGCAACTTCTTTTTTTAGTGCTTTTTCCAGATCATCATCATCATCTTCATCATTACTGTCTTGATTTGTATTATTGTTTACCTGGTTGCTGTCTGTCATTACCTTAAGATGTTAAAAGAATGTAAGAGAGAAACATTAGCTTAACATACCTAAAAAGCAAATTTTAAAGGAAAAATAAAATAAAATTTAAGCATCTTCATAAAATTCTCTATATAAAATTACTAAAATGCAAACAGCCTATTGATCAGTATTTGTTAAAAAACTTTATGGATTACAATATTATAATTTTAGCAGCCATGATTTGAAATATGAGCAAAAGTTAACAAAAACTGATCAGTTTGAAGGGTATTTTAAATCTCTACTGACAAGTCTATTTGTTTTACAAAGTTATTTGATGCAGGAAGTAACTAAATATTATTTGTTGTACTTATACTTTTATTTTAAAAAAGATAAAACATACAAAATAATTTCTCTTGCTCAAAACACTATATTTTCAAATCTAAACAAATTTTAAAAGATCCAATTAAAAAAAACACAGCATTGCACTCTTGCAGATTGAACATGTTAGAATTAAACCAAAACTTGCGTTATGAAACAATTGAACTATATCTAACAAAAAAAAAACAGAACTTAACAACATTATCCCAGTTATCAGTATTCATAAAAAATAACTATACCTGACTTGGACCATATAACTGATCGGCATATTCATTTAGGATATTGTAGCACTCTCTGACTGCACTACTTTCATTGCTATTGCACATGACAAGAAATCCTTTCATGCCTTTTTGTAAAATATTAGCCCCAGGACGAGGACGCTTTGATCCATATGCAGATTTTCTATAGAAGGACTTGCTTCTTTTCTTTCCTTTTTTCTCACTTGACATTTTGCTGCACAGATTCTAGAAAAAAAAAGTAGCCAACTATAATATCATATTACATTTTATATTATATTTAATTTAGGCCTATAATTATAATATGACAAATTTGGTATAGGTAACTATAGGCCAAATACTTATACATGAAATTTCATCAATCTAGCTGTAAGTTTAACAAGTTATCATGTTCACAGACAGACAGATAAACAAACACAAACATAAACAAAATTGCAAATCTTAAGTTTTCCAACTAAGGGAGATTTTGTGAAAATCTTAAATCTGATTTTCTGCACGATTGCAATACTTCCTCTATTAATAAGAAAGTAAAAAAGTGATTAAAGTAAATTAATAAATTAAGTTGACCGGAACTCTACTAAAGTTTAGTGTACTAGATCTAACTAGTAAAAAAGTAATTAGTCTAACTAATACTAAATAGGCCTTAGGGGGTCATCCATAAATGATGTCACACTTTTTTTGACAATTTTTACCTCCCCCGTCACATATCGTTACAAAAAGCCAGACGCCCCCCTAAAATGACGTCACATCTCAGCCTACAACCCCCCTAAAATTACAGTTGAATTTTTTTAAAACATCAATATTTTTCAAAAATCTTGTCTGAACTCTGTCAAAATAGAGTATTTTAATCAATTCCTATTACAATTTATTAAAACAGTTTTCTAAAACGCGAAATAACGCCTACAATTCGGTTTCTAACATTGCTTTTTTATAATGCAAAAGTGTGACGTCGCAGCATCTGAACCATCCCCCCTCCCCTTCATCACACACCGTCACAAAATTACGGACCCCCGTACGAGTGTGACGTCATTTATGGACGACCCTTTAGCCTAGGCCTAACTAAGTTTAGTCTAACTAAAATTAGTTTAGAAAAATATCTATTTTCTAAAAACTGAGAATCTACTTGGAGTTAAGATTAAAGAGAGTCTACTGCTGCTTAATTTAGTTAAATTTATTATACAAAACTAACGTACTTCGTACACTACACCAACACGGTCCACAGGTATAGCAGACTGTTAGTAGTGTAGTTATTTAGTTAAGTCAGCAGCTAAGTGTAGTAGTACTAGAATCTAGATCTAGTGTAGTAGTAGTAGTAGTAGTGTTACAGTACTCAGTACAGAGAGACTCAGTATTAGTATTACAGTGTACTCTGAGTGTACAGTTACAGTTCAGTACAGTCAGTACAGGAATACAGTTACAGAGTCTGTAACAGACTTATTGATTTATTAATATAATAGATTGTTTTATTTGTTATTACTAGATGCGGCACATCATATCTATCGTTCTTATGATATCATATTGGAGTTGGACCAATGATTGGTAGATCTAGTTCTATTAGTTACTTTAGTTAGTCTATCTTTTTCTAAAATCAACTAGATCTAACACTTGACCAGATACATACTTTAAGATTCTAACTAAACGTACCTCCTATTACAGAAGAACATTTGTTTAGTGGCTAGTGTAATTTTCTAAATGATTGAAATACGAAAGGTACAGAAGTAGATTTCTAGATCTGGGCGATAATTAGTGATACTGGTTTCCCCCCCCCCCCCGTAAACGCTGTAAACATAACTGTAAAGGTGCGCTAGTGACAAATTAAAAGTTTAAATGATCTCGAATCGCATTTTCTTTCTATACTTATGATAAATGTAAATATAAATCGATATAGAAAGAAATACGATTCGAGATAATTTAAACTGTTATCTATAACTGCATAATTTATACAGCGTTATTCTATTGAAAGACTAACAAAAAAGTTAATCAATGACAAAGTAAATGGTTTTCTGTTCAAGCACATTTTTATTGTATTTTTTGTGTGAAAAATTGTTACAGATTGTGTGTGTAATCGCTTGTAAATACAACTGAAATTGCACCTACGCCTTTAAAATAATAAATATGGCTCCGTGATGATTGCGCATAGGAAATCCAAGCACAATGCCTGGGCAGTAAAGTGAGAAGGGTAAAATGATACTTTCATCTGATAGCTGATAGACCCAAGGAACAGGACGCTACCTAGAATATAACTTGGAATCAGAGTGTCGCAGGAACTACCGAAAAAAAACAACAACACAGGGCTGATAAACCAGTCGTCATATCGCCTGTGAGGTTCCACTTTTGTTTAATTTAGGAATTTTGCTATCCTATAAGGGTTGCTGTACCCAGCTAACGAGTCTTATGTGTCTGAGAGTTCGAACTCGAGACTGTGGCTATGGCAACCGCATGCGTTTACCCGCCCAACCACTCCGACCCTAAACTCCATTAAAAAGCATATCGCATTAGTTTCAAACCGCGTAGTTATTGTGCGCAATTTACAAACGTTAATGAAAAATATAACATTATATATTTAACAGTAATTTAACAGTATTTAAGTGAATACACAATTATCCGAATGAAAGGTGTGTTTTTTTATGCACCGGGAATCGCACTTTTGTCTGACACTTAAAAGATGTAATTAGTGTTTTCAAATGCGATTAAAAAATAACCTGTCAGTTTTAATTTATAACTCATGCATAATTAAACTCGAATCAAGAAACACATAATATGGGTGCCAGTGTTTCTTCCAGACTTTTTTCTCCGGGGGGGGGGGGCACTTGAAATTTTCGGGGGGGGGGGGGGGCGGTAGACTTTCTTCGGGGGGGGGGGGGCGGACACTGTTAAAAGCATATATTTTCTATATAAATTATATAAATTTCATTTCGTTCGGGGGGGGGGGGGGCGGTAAAATTTTTTCGGGGGGGGGGGGGCGAAACTCTGATGGGTGCAAGCAGAATATCGCCTCGGGATGTATTAATAACATTCTTTTCATGTTTAATATGTTCTGAAAATGAATCATCGTGGTTTTCATAATTGTATATTAGCGGTAAAAATATATTGATCTGATATAAAGCAAATTTCAAAGTATTGAAAGGTGTCTACTCAAGACGGATCGGGCTTGAAAAAAAATTAATACGAGGTCGTCTATAAATGATATTACACTGCTTATTGGTGGTGGTGGTGGTGAGACATATATTACAATGTGTTATGAGCGGGCGTGGCTCTAGCTGTTTTTTTTTTCTTTAACGTCGAAGAACTGTTTTGAAAAGATTTTTAGAGCTATCAAAGGTTTTTACTTTTACTATTCATCTCTAGTAGGTCTTAATTTAACTATAGCCTATAGCTTAAGAAAATTAATTATATACTTTCTTACGTTTATTGGGCACATATAAAAAGAGTTATAAATAGACCACTAGTTTTTATATAGATCTAGATTCTAGATTGTACTATTTATTTCGATAGCAATTCGGTAGTTTTCAAAAATGCACAGCAGTTAGTATATACGGTTTATAGATCTAGTTATCGTTTACAAACGCTGAGTATCTCAGTGTTGGAAACAGAAACAAATTCCTATATTTTATCGTAATAATTTACACTCAAAGCAAAGTAAGGGCAATTATGTAACAAATTTATTAAATTAAATATTTTCATTATGCGCAGAGAATTTTGTTGCCAAAGTTGTGGAGGATTTGACAACACAATGAAAATGGGTTAGTTAGCCGGAGCCGGCACACTCAACAGCAGACTGCAGCAGAGATTCAGGCTGGCAGTCTCCTCTCGTCAAACAAAATATTATTGAAAATAACACTAACTGAATCTAGATCTAGAAAAACCTAGTAATATTAGACATTATCAGTCTGGCATTCTCGTCAAATACTCGTACGATTTTAAGATACTTATTACTTACTTAAAATACTTAAGGCTACAACTACACTCTTCTTTACTGTCTTCTTTATTACACAATAGTAAATAGAATCTAGTAATTAGTACACACACTAGCCTACAGTTTTAAAATTCGAGTACTTGGAAGAAGCTTCTTCCTCCATGTGTGCAGGCCTTTAGACGGTGCAAAACTCAATGACCTTAGTGCATTGGGCTTGGGCTTAAGTTTAAATTAAGTTATCATTTTACAGCTGTGGAATGTGATCAAATTACCCATGGCATTTAGTATTTAGCCTTATTTTTCTGACAAAACTATCTGTACAGCCTGGTCAAACAGTTGCGTTTCGGGCAGGTTATCAGGGGTTGAGGGTTCAGTTTAGTTAATACCCTAACCCATAGTAGGGCCTAGGTCTAGTAAAGAGTTCTAATCTATAAAATCTATTTAAATTTACTATTTATCGAGTAAACCCCTGACCCATCAATCAAGAACAACACATAGGCCTAAACAATGTATGTTTGATGACAAGAAAAATCAGGTAGCTTTAGCACTATGCGCATGCTTCTTCCAGCTACAATCAGCCTTTAAATTTTTTACTTTATATGAGCTTGTGTTGTAAGAATAGCAGACTATTTTTTCGGTGGGGAGATTGTGCTGAACTTGAATTATTAACTCAAGTGCCTTAGTTAAAAGTAGCATTTGGATTGTCCAAATGACACCACTTCATTCTTGATATACTAGTACTACTAGGGCATGGTGCTTTGCAGGATTGTCCTTGACAGGCTGCTGGGTTGATTTATTTTTAAGAGAATCACGTATTTTTTAAATCTAAGATTGGTTAGTAGATACTCATGAATTACTTAACTCTTTGTGGGGGAGAGGGGAGAAGATGTTTTAAATAGGGGGAGGTACATGTTAGGAAAGTGGGATGCATACTTTGACAAGTTGAAAAGTTATTTTTTAAACTGAATTTTAGCAGTTATTTTGTATTTTAAAATATTACAAACTATTGTAAAAATAATATGTTTACGTAATAGAGGTACCTAAAAAACAGCTGTTTCAGTAAAGAAAATTTGCAGTTGTGGGTGGGGTAGGCTTTTTAGATAATGTGTGACAATGGTAATAGGGATGGAGGTGTTGCAAAAATAGCATCACATCTTTTATGAAGACCCCCCCCCCCCCCCAAATTCAATGCAAGTGAAAATTTTCTGCAACTATTGAGTTTTTATTAGGCCTAAATACATCTTCAAGTTTATAAAAAAGTCACATTCTTTAAATACCTTGCTTTTTATTTCATTTATATTTTTTAAAATAAACATTAAATGGTGTATAGAGTTTAAAGACATGTATTGTTTTACAAAAACCTTTTTCCTTATTGTCTTTTTCTTTTGTACACAAGTAAGATGTCAGAGGAAATGAAATCTTGTACAGACTTGTATGCTGGCCCTCAAGAGTTTATGGAGGCTGGCACCAGAGGCTTTCTTGTTACTACCTTACCAGGAAAAGAAGAGTTTGCTATTGATGATGCTATTGATTTGTTAAGACAGGCTTCTATCAAACTTTATGGAGGGATCAAGGTAACTCTATACATTGAGTGGTTTAAAGAATATACTATTTTAACTACATGAACATATTTTTATTGGCTAATGTTTAGCTGAATCTATCAAATGTACAAAAATGAGGAATTTGTAAATTGAAATATGTATGGTAAAGAACATGAGCACAAGGATAAAATGTTAAAAATTATTATAAATGTAAATAATACAAGTCACCATTCATACATTTAATTGAACACAAAATTATATTCTTTTAGAGTTAAAATTTAGCTGAAATAAATACAATGATTATTTGCAATAACCTTGAACCATTTCTAATTATTTGCAAGTGATAAATATATTTTTCTCTCTCTCTTAAAATGTCTAGCCAAAAGGAAAAAAGTTTGACCTTAAGTTAGGGTATGTGAAAATTGATTTCATGGATCCACAGCTTATCAAAGTGTTGCCTACTCCAGAGGGTGAAGAGACAGAAGAGGTTTGTTTTATTTCATTAGTTGGCACATAGGCTTTTAAAAAGGTTAGGTTGCACATAGTAATTATTAATGTGGAAGAATACTAGTCAACATATCTTTCTATGTTAAAAATATTAAAATGATGTATTCTTCTATTTACTACCAATTTGATTTTTATATATTTTAACCAATATTAATTTTTACATGCATAATTTATTAATTAACAGGTGGAAGATGACATAAAAACTGAAACAGAAAACAATGAGTCAACCCCAGTTGAGGAAGCAGACACTAAATCAAATGAAAAAAGTTCTGAGCCCAGTGAGTCTCAGCCAGCAGAGATGGACACAGAACCATCGAAAGATAAAGAAACCAGTGACTCAACTGACATCAAAGAAGAGTATACAGAAAAAGATGACACAATGAAAGAAGAGACAGCTAAGGATGACTCAGAGAAGGGTGATGCATCAAAGGAAGATAAAGAAAAGGGCGATACAGAAAAGGATGATGCAGCAAAAAATGATAGCGACCAAAAAGCTGACAGCGATAAGAAAGAAGTCAAGAAAGAAGAAGTTGAAAGAATGCGCAGTATTCACAAATTCAAAGCCTTTCGTACAGAAATGCGAAATGTGCTGTTCATCAAGTCAAACATTCCTGATCCTATGGAGTTAGCAGAGGCTGCTATGGAGATCATTATAGAGAGGAAGAAAGTTACTGGAGATGCTGTTTGTCAACTGCTGCCAGTGCTGGGTGTCTGCGATTTCAACAATTTTCAGGTTTGTTTATGCATTCAGTTTGTACTTGTAGTATATATAAATAAATAACATCAAATAAAATGATTGTATTACAATGTGAAGTTTATATGTTTGTTTCTGATCAGATTTTTCACTTTCAAATCTGATATTGATTCTGGTTTCATATTTGCTAATTAAAGGGGACAGCTATTTTGTTGAACATCTATTTCGTAAATTAAGTTTTATACTCTGAAAAATAATTTGTACTTTATTGTAGAAATACTAGACTGATTTTAAAATGTATAAGATGTTTTAAAACGTTTTTTTAAAGGCAAAATAAGCTATTTCGTTCTAATTTTTCTAAATTTCAGCTTGAAGTAATGACTCGTCGAGTGTTAGCCCACATTTTTACTGAATCTGAAGAGCCAAAGTGTTTCAGTGTCATGCTGTTGGATAAATTATCAGAGCCTGGTTCAGAGTTGTTAGCGGAGATTGTGCGCAACACTATTTGGTCCATCAACCCATCAGCCTGGCTCTCCTCACCCCTGACTGAACCAGATGTGATTATAAGGCTGGAGTTGATTGGCAGTAAGCTGGTCTTAAGCTGCCTCAACACGTGTATGCGGTATGTATAAATCTCTAAATGGCTCATCATTGTTGTTTAATAAAGTAAAAATCTAAAAATTCTAATCATGATATTATGATACTTTGGAAAGTAAAGTCTCTTTATGTCATATTTGTGCAAAGTTTCAATTTTTCTAATATTTCTATAGAAAAAAAGTTTTCAATGAAAAAAATTTATTTATTAGGAAATTAAAAAACGAAATTTCCTATACCATCTGTCAATATTTACATATTTGTATTGCAGCTATCGTCATTACAGTCCAACTTTACTTGTGGAGCTTGGAGTGGGTGAAGCTGAAGACGATGATGGAACATGGACGTCCACCGAACAAAGGAAGCAGCAAGAAGTCTGGAGGCTGGCTAAAGAAAAGCTCAAAGAGTTGGAAAAACAAAAAGAAGAAGAAAGGAAGAAGGAAAGAGAAAAAAGAAAAGCCGAAATAGAGTCCAGGAGAAAAGCACGCAAAAAGGATGACGAAAAAAATAAATCCAGAAAATCCAGTGAAAGAAAGAAGAAGTCAGATGAGCACAGAGACAGCGAAGAGAAAGATGAGAATCACCAGTCAGAAGATGATAAAAAACATGCATCGTCTCACAATTCAGATGAAGAAAGAAAGGAAGTTTCACCACCAAAAAAGAAACCAAAGCTGGAGACAGAGGAATCAAAAGAAGAGGTAACCTCAGGGAAAGAGGGAAGCGAAGAGGAAATGCAAGAGGTGGAGGACAATGAGACAGAACATTCTGAACAGACAAAAGAGTGAAAGAATCTGAAAGTAATTTTATTGTTAGATATTGTTGCATTTTTGTGTCAAATAACTTTGAAACATTTTGATATTTTGTCATGTGACATGGTAATACACAGAAAATATTTCTTAATTTATTGACTTGCATTGTGTTACAGTTCATTTCATAACATAGTCAAATGAATAGTAGCATAAACATATGTAAAATTTATTAGATGGCACTCATACTGAAGGCTAAAAGTAAATAAATAAAAATATGTGCAATTAAAATAACAAGATGGTGTAACAAAGGTCAAGGTTACAACAAAGGTTTCAATTACATTCCACAAAGGCACTTCAACACAGTTTGGAAAATATCACATTAAAATAAAAAATTCACACTACTTTTCACTCTCAGGAGACTTGGTCGCTCTTCTTTTCCAATGGTTTTTGAACTGGTTTTTAGGAGATCGATTGAGCCTGACCTGAGGTGGGCTTAAGGAAACTGTGTCATCCTGCTGCAATAAAGTTCTGGGCGTGCACGGCTTTAGTTTACTGTTAGGGAGTAAAAACCCCTGACCGTTTGTGGAATGTTGAAAGTTTTTAAAACCAAGCTGTGGATCAGGCAGGGGCCTTTCGTCATAGTGATAGGGCTCTGTGGTTTTCTCTGGAAATCTTTGATCACAGTGATAATAGGGTCTCATCAGTTTTTCATGTTTGCAGCTCTCCATGGCGATGTATGTGTGCAGCAGTAGAAGTGGGAACCGTGAGGTGAAGTAGGTAACAAACTCATCAGGGACAGTACCCAGACTCATCTTCACTGGCTCTGGCAGCTGTCTGTAGTGATGTTTCTGTTAAATGGAATCACAAAGTGATCATTTTTGCTTGGTAAAATTAAAATGCATTGTGACATTTCTGTTAAATGGAGTCACAAAGTGATCATTTTTGCTTGGTAAAATTAAAATGCATTGTGACATTTCTGTTAAATGGAGTCACAAAGTGATCATTTTTGCTTGGTAAAATTAAAATGCATTGTGATGTTTCTGGGTATAGACAGCCTACATATTACTATATTTTAATCAATTAAAAATAATTAGTTTTCTATTACTTCATAATATTATATCTGTTCAATAGATCATGCTACAGTAATCAAAATTCAACAATATCTAATGCATCAAATACTTACTTTGTTTCTCATTGCTCTCAATAAATCACGCACTGAATCACCTCTATAAGTTCTAAATTTCCTTAAATCTGAAATAAGTGAAGTATTAAATTAGAGCTAAAATAAAAGAGTTATTACTTTGGAATTAATAAGCTAACAACTTTTCTAGGCTAACAACTCTAAATTTCAGATACTTTTATAAATACAAGTAAAAATAATTCTGGAAAAATATCACCCAAGTTAAAAAGACTTTCTCAATTTTTATTGATTAAAAGCTTTTATATAAAAAATTATTTTTAATATCTTATAGATTTCCAAAAGAGAACTGACAAAATTTCAGATTAAGTATTTGCTCCACAGCTGCTGTTGCGGCTATTACTATTAGATATAAACATGGGAGACAAACCTTCCTGTAAATATTGACAGATGTGTTTCCTCCAGTCTCCACGAGTTACTACCATGCCCTGTTCTTCCAACTTTTGAACCAGCACACAGTCTTCCTCTTCTTTCTCTACACGGTCACTTACATCCTGTTGGCACCAATTTTTAGTCTTAACACTAATATGTAAATCTAACAAGTAAGTTCTAACTTCAATTTTTAGTCTTAACACTACTATGTAGATCTTAACAAGTAAGTTCTAACTTCAATTTTTAGTTTTAACACTACTATACTGCACTTAACAAGTAAGTTCTAACTTCAATTTTTAGTCTTAACACTACTATGTAGATCTTAACAAGTAAGTTCTAACTAGAAATGATTTGAAGACAAAATTCTGTCTTTCTATAATTGAGTTGAACAACAAAGACATACTCAGCTTGATCACACTAATCACAGTAACATTTCACTGACCTGGAAGAACGCTAGCTGTGTTGATTTTGACCAAAAGAAAGGATGTTTTAATACAGTATCTGCCAAAGGACGCTCATCAGGAGAATGAGAAATCATTTTGCCTATAAGTCGGCTAGCTGTGCAGTTTTCTGGTAAAAAAAAATAATATACAACTTGAGCACCTATTCTGGGAAATAAATATGATAAAAGACAGACAGTATGTATAGGTTTCCATTTGATGAAACTGATTCATAAAACTGAAGCTAACGGAAAACAGCATAGCAGAGAACATGAAACAAAAACATGTTCTCGTAGAATAATTTTAAAATTCTACATGCAAACAAATATAAGCAAAAGAAAATATAGTTTTACCGTCTCCTTGCAATTGTTGAAGATTTGATTCCCCAGTTAAAATATTTGCTTGCCTTCTTAAATTATTTCCAAATGGATGGTGGCCTTTTGTAAGAACATAGTAAAATACACATCCTGCAGAAAATATGTCTACAGCACACGTCTGCAAAATTTAAGAACAGAGTATTTAAACCAAAAAGCAAAATATCGATTTTTTAACATGTAGGTAACACCAGTTAAGAAAATAAGAGAACAAAATATTAACTTGTGAAACACTAGAAATTAGAAAAAATATGTAACACTTCAGTAGCATTTAATAATGACCTGTAACACTTTACAAATAAAGATCTAAGGTAACACATTACAAATTAATCAGTAAAAGAAAGACTTAAAGTAACACTATTTACAAACACAAAACAAAGTCATACAGTAACACTTTACACACATAAAACAAAGACCTACAGTAACATGCTTAACAAACACAGAAACTTCAGTTACACTTTAAGGTTAACACAACACAAAGATCTACAGTAACACTTACACTTAACAAACACGATGACCTATAGCAATACTCTATGGAAAAAAAAGACCTCGAGTAACCCTGTTCAAACACAAAGACCTACAGTAACCCTGTTCAAACACAAAGACCTACAGTAACCCTGTTCAAACACAAAGACCTACAGTAACCCTGTTCAAACACAAAGACCTACAGTAACCCTGTTCAAACACAAAGACCTCGAGTAACCCTGTTCAAACACAAAGACCTACAGTAACCCTATTCAAACACAAAGACCTACAGTAACCCTGTTCAAACACAAAGACCTACAGTAACCCTGTTCAAACACAAAGACCTACAGTAACCCTGTTCAAACACAAAGACCTACAGTAACCCTGTTCAAACACAAAGACCTACAGTAACCCTGTTCAAACACAAAGACCTACAGTAACCCTGTTCAAACACAAAGGCCTACAGTAACCCTGTTCAAACACAAAGGCCTACAGTAACCCTGTTCAAACATAAAGACCTACAGTAACCCTGTTCAAACACAAAGACCTACAGTAACCCTGTTCAAACACAAAGACCTACAGTAACCCTGTTCAAACACAAAGGCCTACAGTAACCCTGTTCAAACACAAAGGCCTACAGTAACCCTGTTCAAACATAAAGACCTACAGTAACCCTGTTCAAACACAAAGACCTACAGTAACCCTGTTCAAACACAAAGACCTACAGTAACCCTATTCAAACACAAAGACCTACAGTAACCCTGTTCAAACACAAAGACCTACAGTAACCCTGTTCAAACACAAAGACCTACAGTAACCCTGTTCAAACACAAAGACCTACAGTAACCCTGTTCAAACACAAAGACCTACAGTAACCCTGTTCAAACACAAAGACCTACAGTAACCCTGTTCAAACACAAAGGCCTACAGTAACCCTGTTCAAACACAAAGGCCTACAGTAACCCTGTTCAAACATAAAGACCTACAGTAACCCTGTTCAAACACAAAGACCTACAGTAACCCTGTTCAAACACAAAGACCTACAGTAACCCTGTTCAAACACAAAGACCTCGAGTAACCCTGTTCAAACACAAAGACCTACAGTAACCCTATTCAAACACAAAGACCTACAGTAACCCTGTTCAAACACAAAGACCTACAGTAACCCTGTTCAAACACAAAGACCTACAGTAACCCTGTTCAAACACAAAGACCTACAGTAACCCTGTTCAAACACAAAGACCTACAGTAACCCTGTTCAAACACAAAGACCTACAGTAACCCTGTTCAAACACAAAGGCCTACAGTAACCCTGTTCAAACACAAAGGCCTACAGTAACCCTGTTCAAACATAAAGACCTACAGTAACCCTGTTCAAACACAAAGACCTACAGTAACCCTGTTCAAACACAAAGACCTACAGTAACCCTGTTCAAACACAAAGGCCTACAGTAACCCTGTTCAAACACAAAGGCCTACAGTAACCCTGTTCAAACATAAAGACCTACAGTAACCCTGTTCAAACACAAAGACCTACAGTAACCCTGTTCAAACACAAAGACCTACAGTAACCCTGTTCAAACACAAAGACCTACAGTAACCCTGTTCAAACACAAAGACCTACAGTTCTTTCCTCAGAGCTGAGCATCTCCGGAGCAATCCACCCGTCTGTACCAGCAGCGCCGGATCTCCGAGAGAAAGAGTACCTCCCAGCAGCAAGTTTTTTACACAAACCAAAATCAGATATCATCACTCGAATCTCATGTTTAGCATTGGGTTGAGATATGAGAACATTTTGAGGCTTGATATCTCTGTGGACTGGAGTGAAAATAAAGGTAGCATTAAGCATCTATAGACAGAGCTTCATCCCAAGCCATGTTAACGTTAAGAATGTTTTAATTTCCTACTGTAAAAATTCCCTATTGAATTTTATTCAGACACAAAATTACGCTTAGATGACCAAGACTGCACAATTATACCTAGACAGACCAAAATTAAACTTTTAAAATATGGCTGACCCTTACTAAATTTTTAAAAATTTGGCTAACAAATCCACAAAATTGTACACAGATGATCAAACCTCATACATGAGAGATGAACCGACTCTACATAATTTATTTCCCACTGATTAACATAACCAATTAAATTTTATTTTACTGTTACATAAATATTTATGACTTTATAAGACATAACAAATCAATAACATTTTATTTGCTTAAACAAATCCAAACTATTTAAAAAATGTTTGAGACTGACCAATGTCAAGTGAATGAAGATGGGCGATGCCCGACATAGCCTGATGCAGTATGTCCCTTGCCTGCAGTGGCACAGGAGGAACGTACTTCCTTTCTATATAGTCATGGAGAGTGGCAACACACAGCTCCAGGGCTATGTAGCGAAACTGACTGTCAGATTCCTGGTGAAAAAAAAATATGATAAAGTCTCATGTCAATAAAATAAGTTTTTTTTCTTTTTCTTTATATAGACTTACTTTGCAACATAGGGAAAAATACTTTTTAATGCAAACTGCATTGATTACTGTATTTTAATATTAAATTTGTATAAATAAAAAAATTTACATTAAAAAAAATTAATTTCTGTACAATCTGAATAAACAAGGCATCTTACTTATTTAAAACAGAGTATCTAGTATGTGTGTCTACTTACCATACAATAGTATCTAATAACATTAGGATGCTGGTCAGATTCTCGTAGAAGCTCCACTTCTCTGTCAGCAAAACTAAAACACTCGGGCAGCAGTCTTTTCACAGCCACACTACGCTTGTCAAACTGTCCACTAGAATAAAAATATCAACAATACATATAAAAAAAACTAAAACATTCGGGGAGCAGTCTTTTCACAGTCACTTGTCAAACTGTCCACTAGAATAAAAATAACTCAACATATAAACAAACTAAAACATTCTGGGGGCATTCTAGAATAAAAATATCAATTCAACATACAGTCAGTTAACACAGATAAATATAGAGACCCAGAAAAAAATATAATATCAAGTCTGGCGGCTTTTATAAAAACTTAAAGCAAAACTGACCTGTATACAAAAGTACCCTCACAGCCATGGCCCAAGACCTCTTTTGGATTGAAGACAATTTTACCAACTTTTGTCCAGCCGTTGGGGTGGATTTGCACTGGTAATAAACAGTAAAGCTAGAGTAACGCTACTATTTAATGTTCATACTCAGTAATTGTTTTAAAGTACACTGTAAATGATGAATTATTTATTTGTTGTAAATTACAAAACACAACAACGCTGTGTATATAAAAGGTAGTTATTATAAACCTTATTTTTAAAATTTATTATTACCACACATACATATGTAAAGTAAATTTTTTAATGAATGATTTAAACTAAACTTACTATCACTAATTTCACTGTTGTGATCAGAATTCGTTTGACTGTGTTTTTGTTGCTCAATGTGTTGTGCTATGCTCCTTAGTGATTTTTCATTTTGCTGAACAGAAAAATGCAATCCAAAATAAAGTCTATTTCTTATTGAAAAATTTTTTAGAGAAGATAAATATGTACAAAATAAAAAGAAATAAAACTCATAACAAGAAAAATGTGATGAAAAAAAAAATAACTTACTTTCGAGGTGTAGAACAGGGCCACCAGCAGTATGACAAGGAAAGCACACCCAACTCCCACAACCAGGTTCCCTTCACTCATAAAGAATATTACCCAGAAGCCATCAGTGTGGTTTGTTTTATTCTCACTGGTAGTGGGTATAATTTTATCTTGGCTGTTGTCAGGCAGCTGGTAGGTTGGAGATATCCTTGACACTATTTTCTCTGGGAGCTCATGGTAACCTGCACAAGGGAAGGAATATTCTTTATTATCTTCTCCTGTATTTATAGAAAGAAATATAGTGTGAAACTATTAATTATACCTATGCGGAAATAAGATCCATTAATGAGAGAAAGGGAGACTTAAAAGAACAAAGTTTTATCAATAAAGCCAAACAAGTAAGAGACGTGATTATAAATAACTTTCATTCTTGCTAAAAATAAAATTGATTAGAGATTAATGATTATGATTAAAAGTAAAAAAGCTGAAATGAAATGTACCCATCATGTTAATACAGCTAAACACTTGTTGAAAGCCAACTATTGTACCTATCATGAGTACAGCTCCACCTCTTCTGACAGTTGTGGCTTTGATTACATCAATATGGGAATGTGTATTTATTTCTGGACTATCATAAGTCTTTTCTGGGATATTAGACAGTGGTCCCTCGATTTGAGGAATATCTGGCCATTGAGCCTGAAATAAGGTGTAAAGGTTATACTTTTCACTGTACCAAACATTAACTGCAGTTTTAAAAAACAAATTTTGTCTCAGTAAACTTGTTATTGCATTCTGTCAGGTCACAATTTTATGAGAGGTGTAGTGAGGCATTTAAAAACAACAATCTGTTTAAAGAAAACAAAACACTTACAGCAATTGTTCCTGTTGTTTCATCAACTAGTGTGATGATAGCATATGCACCATGTTGGGATTCCCCAACATATAGTTTTGGGCTAAGAGGATAAAAAAATAGCATTTATAAATATCAGTAAAATAACAAAACAATCATAATTTTTATTTTACAATCTAGAGGTGAAAACAAGCAGATGATTTGTATGAAATCCTGCAACATTGCAACAACTTTCTATATATACAGGCCAGACAGGATGGTTTTATAAAAAGACCCAAACTTACTAAAACGTCTGCCTGAGATTCAAATCCAGAAATCTGTTCTTCCACTGTGTGGACTCCAACTGGCCAGTTAAATGGTCAAGAGTGTCTGCAGCAAAGATGGCAAACGGCACACGCTGAAGCCCGTCTAGATGCATCTGGTACATGGCCACAACAGGGGATTCAAAATCTTTCTGCCACAAAATTTCTCCTACAGAAAATAATGCAAAGACCATGAATTAAAAACACAGAGGAAGGTTCTTTTTAATGAACATATAGTTTATTAATACTAAAATAAAAAATAAAAAACACTTAAAAATAATTACTCCAATACCTGTATCACTATCCAAAGTAACGGCCACTCCCGTCGAACTAGACACAAAATGGCGAAAACCTGAGAAATGAATTTTTTGTTTTTAATCCTTTGCACTAATCTGATTCTACAAACAAATACTAGGTGTCTGTCAATTAATGTGTCTTCATTCTATAAGTCAGTGGACAGTTAATTCTCAGTCATAGTTTTGTTTACACTGTGACTTCAGAAGATATGTAAGTCAATAATTCATGGGCCATGTTCTAGAACTTGGCTGATTTTGTTTTTTTCTAGGATTTACAATAATTTCTGACACAAACAGAATAAAAATCACAAATGTAAGAAGAAATAGCTGACACCAGGAGCAACAACTGTCATCGTAATCTTTGATATCAAGGGCTACAACTGTAAAGGCTTACCATAATCCCTAACATCAGGAGCCACATGAGAAGAATAATCCATGTATGTTGCATTCCAACTGAAAATAAATAACATATAAAGTAAAATTGATTTAAAAAAAAAAAAGAACAGTCTTCTGAAATAAAAGAAACTAAAATATCAAGTTTTTTAAAACAGCCAACTGAAATTTTAATGTTATAACATTCTAAACAGGTAAACTAAAAAGTTAAAAGTTATCTCTCTCTTTTTAATAGATGGCTACTGATATAAAAAACATTTCTGGAAAAAAAAACCTTTGGAATTCATAACAATATTTCACTGATTTTTTTTTACTTAGGCTAGCCCTGCCTGTAAATTATGAAGCTAGGTAGTAGACTTTGACACATTAGCTAACTGAAGTCTGAAATCAAATCATAATGCAATGCATTCCTCAGAAAATATAAACAATTGAATACATAACCCAATCACCACAATTTTTAATGTTGCATGAAAAAAAAAACCAAAATGATAAATGGTACCAGTCTGGTACCAACTGATGAGCCTCACCTCTCTTATGCCTCTATGTTTATCTATTAGTTTCAATAACAAAGCAATTCAAAGAGTGAATAAATAAGCAAAAAAGTTCATTTTAGAGAATATAATAATGCTGAATTGATGTACCTTCTGGGCCAAAAAAAAAAAGTTTAAAAAAATATGCAAAAACAATCTAACACATAATAATTTTTTTATATTATTACATTTGAAGTATACATTATGTAAAGTTCTGAAGCATCAGTTCAACACAGTGTAATACAACCATAGAAATGATGAGACCTACTCCTCTTCCGCTTATGTGATTTGAATTTTATTACAACACATAGGCCTACTCATCTAGCATAGAGAAAGCGTTAGGTAGATTTAAGGTCAATGAAATACACTGACAAGGTTAGATTCAGAAAATAATACAAGTACAATACTGTATTCTACCTTTTAGTTCCTGTCTTTCCATCAAACATCATTATAGAATATTCTAAAATAAAACAAATATCACATTGAAAGGAACATTTAGTTAGTATTTGATGATAATTTTATACAATCTAAAAAGAATTTGTGAATTTTTTTTTTGACTTGAAACTCTGATAGACCAGTTGAATCTGGTCAATGTGGGGCTAGGACATTAACCCCCCTCCCCATGGTTACCCCCCTTAGAATATGTCTGAAACCTATCCAACTCCTTACTTACTTATCCTTGACGACCTATCCCTACATAATTTGGGGATAATTGACAGGGAAGGGGAGGTAATGTCCAAATGCAGTTTATGGGTAGGGGGTATAAAAGAACCAGAGGGATAGTACCCTGCTCCCAGTAAATGTATCCTGTTATGGCACACAATTTTTGAAAAAAAAAAACATCCTTGTTGTTAAGTAACGCCACTTTTAAAGAAAAAAAAATGCAGTTTAAACCAAATCAGAGTAAAGTAAAAATATATAACATAAATAAAATTATTATCACCTGTTCGGCCAATGTACATCAGGTTCTCATTGGAAGAGGGACAGACTTTCTGGGCACCTTCAGAGGACAAGGTCTGAACTTTGGCACCAGTAGTTGGGTCAATGGCTATCCACAAATCCCTCTTGGATCCTAAATAAGGTTTTGAAAATATTATTTCAGCCCATTTAAAAATTTCACTATCAATATTGTAAATAGTGGGCCCAACTTGGAGAGGAATTGTTATGTCCCTTTGCTCCATAAGAAGTCCACAGGAATGAAGATGATTGTAAATTGTAACTTCAGTATTCTTACTTACCCTGTAGTTTATGACATGAGATTATTACAACATAAAAATGGCAAATATTTACCTGTATAAAAGATGCCCTCTGAACTCTTGCACGGAGCAGCCGTGACGAGTTCCGGAATAGTGAATGGAAGTTTTTTGATAGGTTCTCTAGAAGCACTAATGGCATACAAACTTCCATCTCTAGGGTCAGGAAGAAAACTAGGACTGAAAGAAAATACATTTGTCACATTATATCCAAAGATTAAAACTAATGCTGTGGATAGAAAAATGTAAACAAATCAAATGTCAGATATTTTCTGAAACCTAATGATGACATAAGAACGCCTAGAATATTATACTCAGTAGTGTTACTAGATTAAGGTTGAAATCATAAAAAATGAAATATGAAGGTTCTTTTTACCCAGCTGAAAAATCGAGAGGAACTCTTAAAACTGGATCTGTCGACAAAAAAAAACAACCCACATTTATTAGAATCAAGAATGATCTAATGTTATTCTTTTAGTAGTTAAAAAACTCTGATGTAATATATATTTAAATGTATATATACCTACTTAAAGGCATATTAATTAATTCATGTTAATGAAGATGTTTGGACATAATCTTATAATTTTTATCACTGCATTCTTTCAATACTGATAAATGTCTGACGTCCATTAGGGTAAATTTTAAAAAGACAAAGTATCTCGTATTAGGCCTATATCATTTTTAAAATAAAAAAAAAAACCAAAAAAAAAAAAACAACAACTATGAAATGAATAAGTTCTGTACCTTCTTTAAGAGACCAAAGAATTTTCCCACCACTGCGACTGACTGTATAGAATGAACCACTGAGAGTTGACACAAAAAGTACTGAGTCTTGTTTGCTTAGTTGATTTGTGATCTGAAAATAAAATGCAATTCTTGAAAGTTAAATATTATTATAGGGTTTTTTTTTCAAGATAAGCCGCTTCACTCATCTAAAAAGTGCTTGCACGGAAAGTTAAGCCCCGCCACTTTTTGCCAGCTCTATTTAATTTGAATATGCATGCATTCTTGAGGCTTAGAGTTAAAGTTACCAAAATGTAGACCTCTTCACTATTTATTATTTTTAATTCATAATAATTAATTCTTAATTATTATTATTAAACTATTAATGACATGTCCCAATTTCACCCTCTTGAATAAAAACTAAAAACATAAGTTTCATATCCTCTTTTTAAAAATCTTTTTTAGGTGGCGGGGGTCAACTTTTTGGCAGTGCTTATCAGGAAAAGATCCTCATTATATTTAACACAGAATGTTTTGATCATGAACACATTGCAAAAACAATTTTTTTAAAGAGCAAAATAGTATGGAAAAATATAGTATATAGTAAATATTATATCTAGATAGTTTTTCATGACACAAATCAGAGGACATTAAACAGTCCATTCAGTTAGTCTAGTTACCATGCTGGTGTGATTACCTCTTGTTCTCTAGAGGAAGCTGAATTAGCAATGTGTATCACAAAGAATACACATACAATTTTCCAATGCCTCATAGGTGAAAATAAAAGTGTTCGAATATCAAAACTGAATAAAGTAAACATCATCATTCTTGTTCATTGTCCACACAAGTCACATTAATTATCTCCACTTGTTTGAGAAATTACAATTTTTTTTGACCATATACTGCATAGCACAAATCAAAATTTAAAATATCTAGGCCTATATACTAATTCGTCTGTGAAGTTCTATAATAAAAAAAAAACAAGCTGAATAAAATTACTAATTTACTTGTAATATTTTTACACTATTTATTTAATTATTAATAATTAATACATAGAATGACATATCTTAATCAAGATCTCAATATGACTCAAGCCTTGCTCTAGGTCTAGAGTTGAGTGTATAATATAAAGTATAAGGTACTCTAAAGCTACCACTCTTTTAGCAGGATATAGTTGAAAACTAACTAAACTAATCTAACTACATTAGTTTTAAGGAGCAACCTACAATATTGAGAAGGCGGCACACGACATTAAATGATTAAACTAAGCCAGGGGCAGCACGTGGCGCCCCTACAGTAGTGTTATCAGGGGCTGATGACAGCGCCACTCTACGTCCCTGACACTCAGGTGGTGAGTGATAAACGGTGATATTACGGTGAGTGATTAACGTACACTCAAGGCTTTCATACAGCATGCCTTGGGGCAGGGCAGGTAAACCCATGCCCCGATAAATATGATCCAAGCGCAGGCATTGTTTACATTTAATTAACTCAGTTTTAGAAAACAAGATCAAACGTCTAAGGATATAGGATTGGTAAAGCATTTATGTAAACCTCCTAATATATTTCATCATACTTTATTTGACTTTTATGCATTACAACACCTTTCATCTGATCGCCATGAAACTTTGTTGAGAATACTCCTGAGGAGGTTTCTGTGGAAAAAGAAACTTTCATTTTGCATGGGTGGCGCCCTGGCAGGGTGCAATTTAGCGCCCTGAACTATCTCATGAGCGCTATGGCACCTACGTTTGTTTTAAACAGTGCAATAGATGGGGCGTTATAGTCGCTCATTATAAAAATAAAAGTCGGATGCGGACATTGTTCATCCGAGTGCTATGAAACTTAAGGGAGTTGATGAGTATACTCCCGAGAAGGTTTCATCAGGGGAAAAAATTCTATTTTGGACAGGTGGCCCCCGCCAAGGTGCGATTTTGCGCCCTGGTCTTTCCTGTGAGTGCTACCACCTCATTTGCTTTAAACAGTGCGAAAGACCATGCTTAAGATGGAGTATTAGAGTCATTCACTAAACATAATCAGACACATCACTCTGCGCCCGACAGGGTGCGATTTGGCACTCTGGACTATCCCTTGAGCACTATGGCACCTTTGTTTGTTTTAAAAGATTGCTCCTCTACATGCCTAACACCTGGACGGTCGCCAATGTGTGTTCTACCTCATTATTATATAATCTAGATCTAGAATCTAGAGAATTAGTAATGCAATGATGAAACCCTCTTAAAATATGATGTCATACTTTCTTCTGTGAAAGTGGCAAATATATAGTATATTATAGTAGTAGTACTAGTCTAGTAGGCCTAAACAATCATATTGTTGGATATTGACTATGAATGAGATCTGTGAAGTGGTAACAGACGGAGACTAGAGTAATCCATGTGATAGAATGTTACACTCCAATGTGTGCGCCCATCACAAGTAGACAACGAAACGAGTGGTTTGTTGATGAGACGCGAGTGTGAGTAATGAACTAAAACTAAACAGACAGCTTACTTCTCGTTTTTAATAATGACATATTAATTACTGCTACGATAAATAAAAACGTATGCGTACAGAATTTGTACTCGTTTCATAATAGATTAATAACCACAAAACATATTTCGGTTTAGCTTTCAAGATAAAATGAGACATTAGTCTGACGTAAACAAACACTATCGACATGTAACATTAACTCCGTGTCTAACAGGAAGCTAAATAAAAATAGATTCTGGATCTAGGTCTAAATTGTTTGGATTTTGTTGACATGAACTTACTGCTCATTTGAATTGTGCTACACTAGGCCTAGTTAGAGAGAGTAGGCCTAACCAACTACATACTAGAATCTAGATCTACATTCTAGATCTAGATAGTCAGACTAGACAGAGTCTAGATCTAGATCTAGATTCTAGTAAAGTTCAGAGTACATAATGAATCTAGAATCAAGATTCTATCTGATTTTTAATAGGAAACATTTTGAAATCCATTGTTAAAAATAAAAATGTGTTGGCTTTTTTTTAAAGTTACTTGTTCTTGTAACTTTTAGTTTTATAATGAAGAAATAATCTTTACTTTTTTAAACTAACCTAAGAACCAGATTCTACTTCTAGACACTGGAGTGACTAGACTAGATTAAAGATTATGATTAAAAGATTTCTAGACTAGATCTAGAATAGTAGAATCTACTACGAGTCTGGATTGTAGATTCAGTCTGCAATATTATATCCGCCCATCCCCCCCCCCTTTTTCTTAAGAAGTTAATGCTTTAGTTTAGTAGTTTAACTGTTTAGATTAAAAATAATAAATAGATCTCAACTTAATACTTAATAATAAGGGGTATGTGTTAAAGACTTAATCAGTACTTGTATACTGATACTCAAATATAATTAATATATTTACTACAAATAGCCCTAAGAAGGCTATTCGTACTTCGCTATTTTTAGCCGACCAATCAAATTTATTTTTAAATTCACTATCCTGCGCATGCATGCATAATTATTTTTATTAGTTTGTTTATGACATTCAAATTTTGTATCACATCGTAACTGTTCCGGTGGTCGAAGTGGTTGTGCATTGGCTAGTTTGTTTTCGAGGCGTGGGTTCAATTCCCTTTGGCTCAGAGTTTTTTTTTCTAATTTTTGCTTTTTTTAAAAAATTTTATTTAACGATTAGGGTTAAGCATTAGGGTTAGGTTTAGGGTTAGTGAGATCTAAAAAATAATTAGTTCTAGATCTATACAGTATGTAAAAGATGAAACAGGGAATTCAAGAATCACAGAAAAAATGCCTCACGCTGATTGGTCAGAGTACGAATAGCCTTCATAGGGCTATTTGTAGTTAAGTACGAATAGCAGCAGCCTATATATTATCATATATATTATATAATATATATCTACTAATCAGTAATGAAGGGTAATGTTTGTTAGTCAATGTCATACCAGATTGGTATCTGACATTGACTTGAGTGATAAAAAATGCCATGCCCATGGCACAGCAATAATACAATCTTAAAAAGAATAGTAAATACTAGGCCTACCAATTATAAATTAATTAAATTATAGTAGGGCTTATATGTATAGTTATACCAATGCATGTAGGGAATGAGGTGTAAATGTTAAAATAAACAAAAAAATAACTAAACATAAAAGTCTTAGGCCTAAATAAAATATATAAATAATAGGCCTCAGAGGCGTAGCGACCCTTCCTGGCGCCTGGGGACAAACTATTTGATTTGCACCCCCCCCCCTCAAGATTTCGATTTGCACCCCCCTCAACCTTTCAATTTATTTTTCCAACCCATTTTGGCGCCCCTAAGGTTTGGCGCCAGGGGACATATGTGTGTCCATCTGTCCCCCCCCTCGCTACGCTACTGATAGGCCTAACATTAAATAGAAGGCCTAAGTTAACTAAGTATTAGTAAATGCAAAGCGCCTACATAACACACGAACTATACATATAACATACACTCTTTCCACCTGTTCCACTGACACTAGAGATCTAATAGACTCTTCAGAAAATAGATGTGTTAGGTCGTTAACAGTATTGTAATTTTATCTAGTTTTATGGTTAGAAACTAGTGATAGGTGTATTGACAGTATGAGTATTGTATTATTTGTAGGACTGGAGTTAGGGATAACAAAGCAAGTTATATGTGTGTTAACTACCAGTAAACTAACACTCTTTTTTTTTTAAGAAGATTCTATTATCATGCCATTATTGGCCAATGGTATAATAAATTCAATTATCTTTTTGCAGTTGAAAGATGAGCTCCAAAAAAGTTGTAAAACCGGCCAACCCTTCAGGGTTGTCAAAAGGAGGTATTAGTTTATCTGGCTTCAGTTTCAAACAGCTGGAGAAGGAAGAAGAAGAAGATTTAACAGAATTTACTGGGAAATATGAAAAAGTTGTTGAAGAATCTCAAAAAAATTTGAAAAAAAATCATGAACGCTCTCCATCTACTTCTTCCATTTCATCTACTTCTTCTGGACAAGGAGATTCAAAAGGACTGGACAAAAACAGTTCAGAAGTGTCAAGTGATTCACCTAAAATTTTACAAAAACCACCCAGCATTCTTTCCCTTGACACTTCTAACTCTCCGCTAAAGAATGCTGCAAGGGCAAAGCTTGAATCTTCGAAAGAAATATTTTCAGGGCTAAAGGGTAAATTAACGGAGAAAATATCTCGTACGATTGAAGAGTTTTCTGGTGACTCTAATAGCCCAAGTCCAGATAAAGAAAAAACAAAAGCATTCCACTTGCAAAAAAGCAACAGTTTTGGGCCCATTGAAAAAGTAACTAATACTCAGGTACATTCAGCATCTCATGAAACAATGACAGTACCAAATTCATCCATTAAAAATCCTGAAGAATCAAACACACACTTGGAAAGTAATATCACCACGTCTATTATAGAACAAAAAAATTCTAATGACAAAGAATCTCTGGCTTCCCAGTCAGATTTAGATAAGACTTCAGAGGTAAGCTTAACATTCCCAGAAATTGTTGAAGATCACCCTTTAGCCTTGAAGGAACCCGAGGACAACTTTGAAGATGCCATTGAAGCTACGACGAACAACAGCTCCAAATTAAAAGCAGCTGTTAGTAATGAATCACTAGAATTCCATGATCCAAGAAATGAGGATTCCCTTGAGTTTAAAGAACATTTCACTAGTGAACCTTTTGAAGACTTCACAGGACTTCACACTTCAACAGAGTTTAGGCCTCAGTCTAGAATACGACAACTGATTAAAAAAAAAGAAAAAAAAACATCGGTCATCGCTACAATGTCCGGTTTGCACTCGACACCGGACGAGGAACTGGCAAAGATGTGGGAACCAAACAAAAGTGAAAAACCTGAGAAGACTGAAATTAAAGGAAGTAAACCAAATGAAACAATAAAGCCAGCAGTCGCTGAATCTTCGTCCAAAACTATTCTACGACAGTTGAGCCTTGAAGCTGCCTTGCCATATCAAAAGCTGGTATCTGTGATAGCCGCACTGTTTGCTTACATGATTATTCCTTTGCCGCCTTATATATCAGGACTATTTATGGGAGCACTCGTCACAGCCTTAGGCGGCTGTTTGTACATTTGGCTGATGAAGCCGCCCCCTGTTCCAGAGCCAGTTATTCTCCCTCCTGTTGATCAAGCACCCATTCCTGAAATGAAATCAGTTTCTGAAGGGGATGAATTTTCATATAAGGTAGGATACATACATCTACTACCTGGTAATACAAGTATTTTTTTAGTATCATAGTCAACCAATGAATAATCTATTTTTAGTCTCTATAGTTTTGTTTAAAAAAAAGCAAATAACTATCTACCACAATATAAGTTAACTAAGGCAACATTCTACACCAATTAAGTGACAACTTCAGTTAAACCTAATGAATATTAATTAGGATATTACTTAAGATAAACAATATGGGAGACAAGGTATTCATACATTAGCAATACCTACCACTAAAAATTTGAATATTTATTTTTTCACAACTGTTGAGTCTGTATCAACCAAGTGGTGGGATTTCCAGATTAGTATTAGGGTTTAGTGCTTTTGTTTGTAATACCACCATTAGTATTATTATATAATTATCAGTTTGTTTGTCGTGTTAAGCAGCATAGTAAAAAAAAAAATCCCCTTAATTTTTTTAATTTCATGTTTTGGTCCATTTACCTCCCTTTAAATACATAATAGGGTCTAGATTATTTTTGGAAAACAAAAAACCCTGTCAGACATGAACTGCTATTTTTAACTGTCCTCCTGCAGGGCTGGATGAATGAACTGACAGACTACAACTTAAATGACTACCACATCAACCGAACGCATTCTGTTTTTATCAGCCTGGAAGGCACGCGCCTGAGAATGCAGCGTCCAAAGAACCCAGTCCCTAAGCGTGCCATGTGGGACGAGCAACCTATCAAACCTAATTTCATCCACCAACGTCACTTTGATCTCAATGGTGCTAGTGTCTATTTACTTCCGGAAGGTCTCGTTAAAAAAAGAATTTGGAGTAAAAAATACCCAATTTGTATCACCCTGCCTAATAGTAAGAAGCCGGATAGTGAAGATGTTAAACTCAAGCACACTTCATCTGAGCCTTTGATGACTCATAAAAAAGAGGATCTCTCTGACATGGGCTTTGAGATCATCACAGAGGACAAGTGTGATCACAATGTGTTGTATCTGTTCGCCAGGACTGGGAGGGAGAAGGAGGAGTGGTTCAAGAGATTCTTTGCTGCTGCTTCCGCCAGGCCTTTAGGTAAAACTTTTTCTCAGCTGCCTCTCACAGCCACTGTTAAAAGCTTTAAACACTGGTAATGAACAACAGCTTTCAATACTTAACAAACAAAACGTACTTTCTGCTATCACTGTTAACAGATAATTAAATAATAAACAAGACTTTACAAATACACCCACCCACACACATATATATATATATATATATATATTTGTATATATATATATATATATATATATATATATATATATATATATATATATATATATATACATATTTGCACTTAAGTGCAATAAAGCTTTGAATACTTGTACTAGGATTTAAAGCTTTATTAGTACTTAACAAAGAAAGCTTTAACTACTAGTATTTAGCAAAGTTTTGAATACTGATAGATCTACTTAAAAGATTTTAAATAATAATAGTTAACCAGTTTTATATAAACTACTGGTAATAGTAAGAAAAATATAGGACAAAAATTAAACGGGCAATATGGTCTGGTGATATAGCATGATTATTAAACTTAAGAAATATCTTCACTTATATCATTTTATTAAAGTGTTTATAAAATGGTTTGCAGGTAATCATATTCTAGAGATGAAACGAGCCGTATCCAATTGTTCAGGTACACAAAAAAAACCAGTAGAGGCTCGACATAAGCGAGAAGGTTCAGTAGATTCAACATCGTCTGATACTGATTCTCCAAAAAAAGAGGTTTAAACTGATATTACATTATCATTAACATAGTGATTCAAAATTTTATGAATAGGTTAATTTTTGTAAAAAAAAATACCCAAGTGTACGGGACACTTTAGTATGATCAGACCACCTCTGTTCAGCTTAAACTTTAGTTGTTGTCTCTTTAGACTGTAGATATTGTGATTGTGCCTGTTTGATTTGTTGCTAATTATAAAAAAAAAATCTTCTGGTTTTCTTAATTAAAAACATGGTCTGTGTAGGTATTGTGGCTGTGCATATTTGATTTATTGCTAAATAAAAAAAAAATCTTTTGGTTTTGTGTAGGCTGTAGATATTGTGATTGTGCCTGTTTAATTTGTTGCTAATTATAAAAAACAAAAAAATCTTTAGGTTTTCTTAACAAAAAACAATGTCTGTGTAGATATTGTGGCCATATATATTTAATTTGCTGCTGCTAAGTATAAAACAAAAAAATCTTTTGGTTTTGCTAATTAAAAAAATAATTGTCCTTGTAGGCTGTAGATATTCTGACATTTGCTCACTACATGGGGAGGCTGATGCCAGCTGGGTCTGATGCTTCAAGCCCCGTACATTCAGCAGGAGAGAAAAACAAGGATGACAGTGGCAATACCTTGGGTTCAAGGGTCAGCACATCAGGCCCTATCATTTGTGATAGCCAGCTGTTCTGGGTCAACGCCTTGATTGGACGATGTTTTTTTGACTTCTTGCGTGATAAATGGTGGATAGACAAAGTGACTGAAAAGCTCCAGCGTAAACTTAGTAAAATACATGCAAGTAGTTTTTCTTATTCTTCAGTTTTCCTGTACTTTTAATTTCAACCGTCAAATTATTTATTTTTTTGTAAATTAGTATGTGTTATTTAATAACAATAGCTAAAATTTACATATATTTTTTAATCATTTAACTAATGTAACTACAAACTTACATTGGAATGGAATACATTTATTTTGAACTGCTAGTACTTTGAGGTAGGGGATAAATAGGTTAAGATAGTGAGAGATTTGTTCTAATAATATTTAAATATTTTACAATTTTTTTTTATTGAAGTTCATTTTATGCTAGTATTAGAAATTTATAGACGTCACCTTTTTCTGTTGAGCCTCTGTTAATTAAACTCGTAAACATACTTGAACTGACTTCATACAAATTATAACTTGCAACAGGTGCCATACTTTATAGAAGAGCTGCAGGTCACTGACATCCACATGGGCTATGAGGTTCCAGCCATTCGTCATGCAGGCAAGCCCTATTTAGATGAGCGAGGGTTCTGGATTGACATGGACATTACCTACTCTGGCAGCTTTAAGATGACCATTGAGACCAAGATCAATTTGATGAAGTTGAAGAAGTCACCTCACGTGTCAGCAGGGAAGGGTCATTCTGTTGACCATGCTAAGTAGGTTTAAAATCCATTGCTATATCACCTTGTTGACCAAAGTAGGTCTAAATTTCTACTGGTTGGTGACTTTTTTGTTGACCATGCTAAGTAGGTCAAATTTCTATTGGTGGCAGACATTTAAAATATCAGATTTGAAAAGTGGCTAAATATTTTTTTTTTAATATACTCCTCTTTTATTTTAATTAAAATTCCAGCTTAAGAATGTGAGATATTTTTTGTTTTATCTATCTCCAGATCTCCTATTACTGATTCTGAGGAGGAAGACAGTGCTGAATCCTCTACTGATGAGGAAGAGGAAGCGCCACCAAGTAATGAAGAGAGGTAGAAATGATATGTTTATTTATATATCTATAAAAGTTTTACTGTTATTCAAAGTTACAATTATAGTTTATTATCATTTGGATTTGGATTATAAAGAAATTATATTGAAAAGTCTGTCCTTTAAAAAAAATGTATATTAATTTCTCATGGACTATAAAGAAATTATGCTAAAAATTAAAACTAAAAAGTTTGTTTTTAAAATAAAAGTTTAAAAAAAAAGAAAATGTATCTCAGTTCATCCTAGTTTGCTTAATTGTTGAACTTATTTTCTCAGTCCCTCTGGCGGGGGAACCAGCAAGAAACTTTTGCGCTACCTCAACAAAATCACTCAATCCAAGTATTTTCATAAAGCCACAGAGTACGGAGTCATCAAACGTGCCATGGAAAATGTCTCAAACACACCTCTCACATTGACTGTCACAGTGAACAGTCTCATAGGGACACTAGCACTCAACATTCCCCCACCACCATCTGATAGATTATGGTAGTTTTATTTTTGTTTTTGTCATTTTTTTCTATGATACAATATACATTTTGAAAATAGGATGGGGTGGCTGGGTGGTAGGGCACTTGACTGCTATCTGGAAAGCCTTGAGTTTAAATATTGCATTTGTTTTAGAACATCCTTGAGTCCCAGCTCTGATGAGTACTTGACCTATGTTAGGGAAAGTAAAGGTGGCTGGGCACCACACTATCCTTTCATATGCCAAGGTCACAGAAACAGGTGAATTCTGTCCCATGGATCGACAGGTCCAAAAGTATCACTTGAAAACTTTTGTTTTGATATGATGACTTGTGGGTTGTTTCTGACCTAGACCTACTTTATTATCAGAGTGAGAGAGTGTTAATATGAATTTTTAAAAAAAATAGTGTATTTTTCAGCAACAAACTCGACAGTTAAACAAATATAAATTTTTAAACAATTATTTACTCTTCTTTGTGTGATTAAGTTTCTTCTTGTTGTGACTTCAGGTATGGTTTCCGTAGGAACCCCCATCTCCGCCTCTCAGCCAAGCCACAGGTTGGTGAGCGCGCAGTCACCATAACACACATTACAGAGTGGATTGAGAACAAATTGGCCATTGAGTTTCAGGTAAAAAGATATTTATCAAACCAACATTGAGTCAAAATATTCAATGAATAATGTTTTGTGATTATGTAATTAACAACTATTGTGGTAGAGAGTTATAAATAATCCACATACTCATTTCACTAGCATTGTTAGTTTAGGCCCAAAACATAAATTTAAGGAGCTGTTAAAGCTTTGGAATAGGGCTAAAGTAAATATCGTTGATGTTATACTAACAATTATAAAAGTCTATAAAGTTCATCAAGTACCTAAAACTGTTTTTAACTAATCTGATTTAAATACGTTTAATGTTTCGATTTAAAAAATGTGTTTACTTATTTGTAGCGTGTGTTTGTGATGCCCAACATGGATGATCTTGTCATTCCAATTTTGATTCCTGGACCTCAAGGTGCAACATGCATCTCAAGATCAGTCTCTTTGTGATACCCTGAGGAGCACCCGGTCCCCTTGCAGTTAACTGCCCACGCAGTACAGCTTTTGGCTGTCAGTATTTTCATCCATCTTTGTTTTACCTAGTCAGAACTTTTTGTTTTATTAAAGAGTGAGTAGTCCCCTTTTTTTAAACTGTGAAACTACTATAGCAGCTACAGTAGAATCACACAGATGTTATACATTTTTTTAAAATGTAAAGGTCTTTTTATTACTTTTGAGTTGGCAATATCAGTGCTGTAAGGTGCAAATTTGCTCACCCAAAGGTAATGTTCAGAAATTGATTACGAACTGATCTTTAATTTAAATGTGTTGTGTCCACCTTGCATTTATCATTATCTGATGAATGCCAGATAAATAAAGGATGCTACTGCTAGACATTATACAGGCCATACTATGCCTTCATATGCTGTGACAATAAAAATAAAAAGATAAACTACTTCATTTTTTATTAACTACATACAATAGGGTATTTTACTTTACTTTTTATTGCCTAACTATAGCTATCAGTAAGTTGTGTTGCTCATTCTTAGACGTTTTACATTGTATGACTTTGAATTTCTTGCATGTAGTGCCTCAACACAAAACGTGTACCTTAAACACAGTGCTTTAATTTATTTTAATCGTTAAAACATTACCTGAGTCATTTGAAGCAATGCAAATGAGAACTAGCTAAAAGTTAATGCAAGCATAATTTAAAGCAGTGCACACGGTTTTGTGTGAGAGATGCCACATAATATGAATTTAAAATTTTATTTAAAGACAAGCCTGTGATTCATGACAATTTATTTTTATTTATGCCTTCAATATTTTGTTAATTTTTGTTGCAATATTTTTTAAATTGGCTTATAATTTTGTTTTAATGCATTTTTTCACATTCGTGGAAGAAAAAAAAATATCAAGCAACTTACATTAACATGGTTGTGAATATTATGATGTGATTATTTTACATGCTGTACTCTATCAATTTGTTGAGCCATGTGTACTCACTGTACAAGGGCTCATGGTTACATTGCTTCTGGTAAAAACTAAAAGATAAGGAGCTTGAATAAAAGTGAGTTAAATATAAAAACTATGGACTTCTATTTACCGCTTTAGCCATAGAAACCCCAGCTAAAAAAAAATTTTTACGCAAGAAATTATTTGAAAAAAAAAAAAAAACATTGTTTATAAAAAATTCCTGATTTATAAACCTCTTATGCTATGTTGTATAACAGAAATACAACTGTAAGTTGATTGTTGATGCTAGTCCTGTGATGGTGTTGTTACACATATCAGCAAAGAACCTTGAATGATACAACCCTCCTTCCCCCCGCCCCTCCTCCCTGTGAGTTCAGTAGTCATGTTGCTGACCATTAATCATGGAAATTAATTTATATAATGAGATGAAACTGGCTAAATACAATAAAAAGATTGAGTATATCAATTAAATTATTGTTCATGTTGAATTTTATCCATACTATGTGAAAACCAGTAATAAAATAGTGATCTCTTTCACTAATTGATGTTGCTATGTAAGTGTGTCATCTGTTTTTTAGTGCATATGCTAGTAACTAGCTTGGTATTACAAAGTTGGTGTGCTCTTATGTTAGCTTGATGTATTACTTTCAGAAGAATTTGTGTGATGAATGCTCTCATGATGAATTGTCAGTAAACTTTATACATTGCTCTTTACCAAGAGACTGCCATGTGTGTAGATGCAGTAATGAAAATAAATGTTATCAGCCATTTTCTGTTTCCTTGTTATTTGACTTTCAGTCTTATTTAACGCCTCAATTGTCTTGGTTAATAGGGACCAGATAAGTGGAAAAAAAGTAGTGTTATCCTATCATATCAACATGCTTACATTTTTTGTGCATGTTTAAGGGGATATGCGCGGAAAAAAATCACAAAATTTCTTGTTTTTCCTCATGATGGGTTTCTTGCACTTTTGGATACTTTGTCCATTTTTGTATAAAGAAAATAATAACTTTAAAGAGAAAAAAATATTTTATGTGTTTGAATTACGATTTTTATGACCCTATTAATTAAAAAATAATCAATTTTTCCCAATCTTACAAGCTCTCTTTGAAAAGTTTTATATCCGTCATTATATTGTATTTGACATCATTGGAAAGCTGGATTTCTCATGTATCTAATAAACTTAATTTCCTACATCTCGGAAACACCCAAAGCTTACAATCGGCTTTGCAGTTTACACAGATATGGTACTTTCATGACCTAGTTTTCGTTACTTTTGGCTGTTTTTCTCAGTTTGCATGTTTTTAACACTAAAAAGCCTACTACTTTTTTATTTATTAAACAATGCCAACCATATTTTCAGAAGTTGTTCTTTGTGCAAAAATACAACTTTTGTCACGAGGGAATTGTGATTGCTCTCATAGAAAAAAAGTATTTGGTAATTAATATGCACGTTTTGAAACTTTTGAATACTAAAAAGGGTACGATTTTTTAGACCTTGTAAAATTCTTACTAGTAATTATTTCAAAAAGTTGTCGTGACAAAAGTTTTAATATATACTGAAATATAAGCAGTTTAAATTTGATTGCTATAGGTACATAAATAAGAAAGCCTTAGTATTTTTAAAAGTACCGAAAAATTCAAAATGGCGGCGGTTTTTTGGGGTTTCCATGACAACCAAAATTGTTTTCGACCTTTTTTTTTGCTGTTTAAAACTTACTTTTAGATGCCATATATGATAAAAGTATTCAAAAGGCTTTAGATCTTAAACTGTAAAAAATAGAAAAAAACATAGCATATCCCCTTAATATCAATAAGTGTATATGAAACTATATAAGTATATATGTTATCTTGTTTATCCTCATCAATACCATGGATTCCCTGGAGGATTTAGAGAGTGGAGGATGTTAAGCAGCCATTTTCAAAAGCACTATTTTCACAAAAAGACATGAACAGCAACAACAACAAAAAATCTGTGACATACTGAGGCAGTGTGATGACGCAAGATTACGTCAGACATGTTTAGCAGATATAGGTTAGCAGAAACAGACTATAGGCCTAGTTGGTTGGGTAGAGAGGCCAATGGGCGCACAGGGCTGACCGGTCACGTGGGACGGTCAGCTGACCACTGAGGCGTGGGGCAGTAGAGCGATAGGCCAGGAGTTGTTAGGTAGCGGTCAGAGACGGCCGAGAATGTAGATAGTTAGGAGATCATGATTAGCTAGCGAAGGTAGAAGGTGTTAGGTTGTAGAATGTAGAGAACAGTTAGTGTTAGGATTGGTCATGGGAGTGCGTAGTAGTAGGTAGCATGTGGTATGAACAGTCAGTAGTAGAAGTAAATAGTACAGTGTAGATCAGTTAGGTAGAAACTTTTAATAAAGAACAATTATAGTTGAACTTGAACTGTGTGTTATTGCACTCATTCGTTTCGCATCATAAAATCCCCGCCCCCACAGGCAGTGATAACTGAACCACAAAGTAGCGAGGGATTACTGTACATGTATTACATTATCTCTAGTGCTTTAAAGTTAAGTTTCCAGATATAATACACTCGCTCACATTTATTTATAAATTTGTTCTCAGATCCTTACTAATTTATCTAACATTTAGAAGTATTCTCAGACATTTATTTAAAAAAAAAAACTACCTGCCATTTAAAAACTCTGTCTAATTATGCAAGATTTAATTTTAAAAAAAAAGGTAGCTGCTTTTATGTGGCTTTGTGAAGTAGTAGTAGTCATCAAAGTTTGTATCACCTTTGATGTACAATTTAAAAGAACTTGAATTGCTTATACTGCATTATAAATATATATCTTAATCAGCTATGGCAAAACGATTAAATAAATATCAAAGAATGTCCCTTTGATCTGTTGTCCCTGATGTTACAATTTAGGCATATTATTATATTATAACAGATCAAGCAGAAAACCTGAATTTCTAGTATCCATATCAATTATAAGTCATAAGTAAGTAAACGGTTGCATAATTTGTGAAGAGATGTGTCCTGGGGGGGGGGGGGGGGGAGTGAAGAAAACTATTAGTGGTAAATTTTAATATTTTAACCATGACGATTAGGTATCATGACTATAATCAGTGGTGTCGCTATGTCGGGTGTCACCCGGTGAGGCACTGTGATGTCCAGTAGTGTAGCGGGGGGGGGGGGGGACATATGTACCAGGGCGGCAACCTTAGGGGGCGCCAAAATGGGTTGGAAAAATAAATTGAAAGGTTGAGGGGGGTGCAAATCATAAGTTTGAGGGGGGGGGGTGCAAATCGAAATCTCATGGGGGGGATGCAAATCGAAAGTTTGAGGGGGGGGGGGGGGTGCAAATCGAAATCTCGAGAGGGGGTGCAAATCGAAATCTCGATGGGGGGGGGGGGGTGTAAAAAATCAAAAAGTTTGTCCCCGGGCGCCGGGAAGGGACGCTACGCCTCTGGTGATGTCTATCTTTAATCTGTTAATAATACAGTTGGATGTAGCATTGTAAAGTTGACACGTTTACGTCATAGTGTCACCCCCAACCCTATAATAATTGTACTTAATAATTTGTACTTAAAAGACTATTTAACTTCAATTAATCATTAATGGAACTGGCAAAACAAGCATTTTTCTGCTGTACATGACGAATTTTTTGTCTTGGTGTCACCCCTCAAAATGGTGTCACCCGGTGCGGTCCGCACCCCCCGCCCCGCCCTCGCTACGCCTCTGACTATAATAACACACTACTGTCAGCACATATTGTCTCCTTAAATATAGGTCTAGGCTTATTATTATAATAATATAGATCTAAAGTTCATTAAAATTGTAATGAAAGCAGTGACTCTGAATCTAATTCTAATAGTCGAGAGTCGTTTTGCGGCTTTTCTATGGGTTTTTTTTTTTGCATGGGGAGGGAACATTTAAGGCAGGAAAAGTGCCAATCCAATACTCTGATGCCTTTCCATTCGCAAATGTATAGTAACTAGACCAGATCTATAGTAGATCTATTAAATTTGTAAAAGAAAATCGCGATTCCCTCTTAACTATTTATTTACGGCGTCGAGGGCAGTATCTCAACTTGACACGCAAACATTTTTTCCCCTGGTTGTCAAGGGAAATTTTTACTAACCGGAAGCACTTCATAACTGACTGCGCATACTCCTTACTGTTACCTAGCGGTAGCTTCCTTAGATACCAGATCCGAACTGGAGGAGGTTGGTGGTAGCATCGCTATTTAATACCAACACCAAGGCATTGGTTTTTTTAAAGGTAAATCATTGCATTTTATAAAAACCTAATGTTTTTACACCTAGAATTAGAATAACAAAATTTGTCTGATAAATTACAGTAAAATCGAACTAAATTTTTACTAAATCGTGGTTGGCTAGACCAGCGGTTGAGATGTTGAGTTCAGAGTTGTTCAACCAGTTCTTTCCATTCTAATGATATAATCTAGTTCAATAAGTTCGGTTGTACTAGACTGCTACTTGATCTAGACTCTAGATCTACTAGTTATAGCTAGTTCTACTTCTAGACTATGGCGTCTATGGATTGGAATGAGTAAATGACCATGAATGTAAATAAAAATATGTAATATGTATAAAAGTATAATTGTATATAGATCTATATGAGTATGTAATTAATAATTATGAATGAATCATTGAATGTAACTCAGTCAACATCCTCATCTATTCTTTATTCTTAGAATTGGAGGAGAAGCAGATAATTAGTATTAATATTAAAATTTTAACAGGTTCGGCTTTGGCTTTTGCAACCCCATTGATTAACTGAAATAAATTATCATATTAATTCAATAATTATAATTATGTCATGGACGGTCATAACATGATACAATTCAGCTTTAGTCTTAAGACAAGAGAACTAAAATTATAAATATTAAATAAAATTTTGTTAATTAGTATTGGCTTTATCATCATAAGCCATGTAAGCACACATTTAACTAGAATTTTTATGGTTTAATTTGTCTTTCAAAGTAGGGTTAATATTTATTTTTTCATTAAATCTCATAGTAGACTTTATATTCCAAAGGGTTTATCCATAAATGATGTCACAATCATAAGGGGAGAGGGGAATCCGTAATGGTGTAATTTTGTGACAATGTGTGATAAGGGGTGCTAATACTGTGATGTCACACCCTTGCATTTAAAAAAAGTAATGTTAGAAACTGAATTTTAGCGATTATTTCACATTTTAGAATACTACGTTAATAGAAAAATGATTAAAATACTGTATGTTGACAGAGCTTAGTCGATGTTTTAAAAATAAATCTGCAATTTTAAGGAGGTTGTAGGCTGAGATGTGTCATCATTTTAGTTGGTGGGGGAGTCTGGCTTTATGTGACGATGAGTGACTGAAGGAGGGCAAAAATTTTCCAGAAAAGTGTGAAGTCATTAGACATTTATGGATGACTCCAAATGAACTTCGTTTTATTTCTGTTACGTATTTTTCTCATACCTGTAGTGATGAGTAGTGCATATATAAACTTAAATTAGTCCTAACATGGTTGAAATTTATTTTTGTAATAGCTATACTTATAAAACTACTAATATCTGTCTTTAATTAGTTTGTAATCATATTTACAAGTTAATGCACATAGACTTTACTATCTTTACTGTGCCCATGTTTATTGTTGTATATAGGTATTTGGCTAATTAATTGAAACAAAGACAGAAAATACATCAGTTTGTAAATTAAAAACCATAGTATAATAAATAGACATAGGGGTATGTGCACATGATCATGTGCTCTATGTTATATACAGTAATTACCCTGTGTTTTTGTATTGATCCATTGTTTATTTTTAAAGTAAATATTTTTTAAATGTATTATTCTTCTTAAAGATGGAGTACCTTGGTCAAACCCAAACAGCAACCTATTTGACCGGCCCTCGCCTTGGTCCATACACTCAGTTACCTACAATTGGAAATGTGCAAAGTACTTTCAAGACAACTGATACCTACCCAGCTCCATCCCCCATGAGAAGGTCACTGACAACCTTACCATGGAGGCCAAGCACATACTACCAGTCTGGAAAGGTTATTTTGAAATAAATTTTTTATATTTTTCACAATACAGCAATATTATTATTTCAATTTTTAAAATCCATTGAATGCCATATATCGGCTTTACAAAAAAAAATCTTTTTGTGACTGCTGAAATAATGTATAGATGTAAAAATAGAAAATGTCAGTGTATAATATTTTGTGGTGCAATCAACACAATTTTGATGTTTGAAAACATGAGAAGGTACAATGAAACATTAAAGCCAAACTCAACACTAACATTAACCTATATTATAAAAGTAAAATTAAAGCAAAAACAATTTTTTTTTCTCTCCGCAGATGAATCCTTCCATAGCAGTAACAAAAAGTCTAGCAGAACCCATTTCACAAAGGAGTCAGCTCACTGCATTAGATGATATGAAGGTCCCACCTGTTTTTGCAGCAGCAAGAAATGCTCTGTACACACGATTCACCCCCAATGACTGGTTGGCTTCTAACCAAAGCAACTATCTTGCTTCAGATAGGGTCAGAAGTGGGGCTGAACGTCTTCGTTTGGATACTGTCCGCTTATGCAGGTAACACCTTAATTCATTGAAAAATTAACAGCTAAAATTTTATTTTAAAAAAGGTATTAGTATTCATATGAGTGTTATGATAAAGGTGAAAGAACAGTTTTCATTTTAAATTAAATTGTAATGTATTATTTTGAATTGTTTTTTTTTTAAAACAAGAATGGTGTAACTCTTTTTAGGGAAACAGATGACAAAACAAAACGATCACAAAGTGAGGTTGGAAAACGACTTGGGGAGCGTATTGGGGACATCAATTTTTGGAAGAATGAGCTCACACATGAGACAGATAACCTGATCACAGAGACCAATCAGCTTCAAGAGGTAATCAAAAAATGTGTATCTAGACTGGCTATTTTAAGTCAGTCTGCTTATGTAGTCTACAACACTCAGTTAAAGGCCTGTACGGGAATCAAATGTGTACTTTCAGGCAAAGAGAGTTCTGGAGAAGTTTTTAGCAGAGACTGAGAATCCCTTACATCTTGCTCAAGAATGCCTGTACCACAGAGAGAAGAGACAGTCGATTGATCTTGTCCATGATAATCCTGAGAAGGCTCTGATTAAGGTATCTTTATATTTTATAATTATCTTATTTCCTGAGCAAACTTGTCTAATAAACTTAGAGGATGCTAAGAAATAATACAGCAGTAGGTAGCTTAGCACATGTAGTAGTCATTGTATGTATTCACCCCAAACCACACACATAACTTATTAAACAATTAGGATATGAAATTTTTGGGACATGTTGGGGGATGGGGGTGGGGACAAGAGGATGCACTTGGAATGCCATGTAATATAAGGGGTGGTGATCCATGAAAATGCTATAATTAATAGTGTTTTATGAGGTAAAATAACATATTTCTGTGGTTCCCAGAGTGTGGCTTGATATCTACAAAACCAATGAACTCTTGAAAAAGTTAATTTTAACAAAAAAAAAGTTTTTGATTTTTTTTTTGTCTCCAGGAAGTTGATGTCATTAAAAGATGCCAAGAAAAAATGAGAAACATGGTTGATAAAGCTAATGTTCAACTAAGGTTAGACTAGAAAGCGTAGTTTATTTTTTCATTAATAATTTTAATATTTCTTTTGTTACTAAAATAAAAACATTCTCTTTCTTTAATTATCACAATAAAAAAACTAACAAAAGACAGTTGAATATATTTAACAAAACATGCCTTATGAACGTTGGTTGAACACTTCACTGATATTTAAAGCCTATAACATCTGAATTATTTTTGTGACATTAAAGAAGATAATGATAAATCAACATACGCAATTTATTAAGTATTTTTTATATATATACCGTATGCAATTGTATTTGAACCAGACCCACTTTTTGATTTTGTCACCATCTGTGAAGAATACTTAGATGAAAATTTGTAGTTGGCACTATAGAAAATCATCACCATTGGCGTTTGGGGGTTAAACTTTCTTCATATGAAGTTATATATAGAATGGTGCATTATTTACAAAGAATACAACTTACTTTCAGCTTGAACCGAGCATCCCAGCATGAACTTGAGAAAGATTCAAGTGACAAGTTCATTGCCGAGCACCTGGACAATGCTTGCCATGGCCTGAGGAACACAAGCAGGGGGTTGTCCTACCATGATGGTGTACACAGGGTTGATAACAGGTAAATATTGTCAACCATATTATAACCTGTTCTTAGAAGTATTTTATGTCCCTTCTTTTGTTTTCTTCTTTAGGTTTGAAATCTCTTGATTTGTGAAAAAAAGATTGATTACTTTATATTTTAGGGAGGAAAAATAGCTTTTATCATTCATATAATAAATTATTAGCTGATTTTCTTTATGCGACACAACTCTAAGATAGATGTGCAACTAACCCTTTTGTAGCTTTCTTTCAACTTTGTGTATGCAGCTTATCTGTGCCAGAAACCTGGGCTAAATTTAGTAACAACAACATCCAGAGGTCACAGGCTGAAAGGGCTGCTACCAAGAACATGAGGAATGAGATAGAATCTGTGATTAACGCTTGCAACAATGAAATGTGGCAAGAGTGGAATGCTGTCAATGTGGCATTAAACCAGCGAGCCCAAGAGACAACTGATGCCAGAAACAGGATTCAAACTCACCTGTCCAAAGTGAGAATTTTGTTTTGTTTTGTTGCAAAGAAGTTACAAACACTTTAATGTTCCCACATATCATATAGTTTTTTTTTTTTTTTGGTTTTGCAATTATTTCTCCAATGCTATCTATGAACATAGTCCTTTCCTGATGTAAAAGTGTGTTGATTATTTAGTTAGAAAATGAGTTTATGCTAATTACCCCTGTTTCATTAAAGTTAAAGTCTAATAAGTTTTAATTTGTAGTTTAACTTTTAAAAATATGAACGCATATAAACAACCAAAACCTTAAAAATTTAAAAAACAGGTGCTGCAAGAAACTTTTGAAATGGAGAAGAATATTGAATTACTTAAGAAAGCCATTCAAGACAAAGAGGCACCAATGCAGGTTGCACAAACCAGGCTGGACACTCGCCTGCGGAGACCTAATGTGGAGCTTTGTCGGGATCCTGTGCAACACAGGTATATTTTAATGACATGTCATATTTCTTGCAACCGTGTTCTGTCATTTTAGTTGGTGTTATATGAAGTAATAAAAAAAGTAAAGTACCCTTTCAAACCTTATGGGCGACTGGGCAGGTGAAGTAGAGTTCATGGATTCTGTGAAGGGATAGTATGGTTAGCATTATGCACAGATACCTTTACTTTATATAACTTAAGTAAGGTACCAAGAACAGCTAGGAGGACTCATGGACATCCTTTGGACTCTAAGTCCAGGATCCAAACTCAAGACTTTCGGGTTAACAGTCATATGCAACCACATCATCTAATTTTTTTCTCTTATTCTTCTGTTGCTACAATAATTGAGCTGTTGAATTATTTTATTACAGACTTGTGGAGGAAGTCTATGAGATCACTGACTCAGTGGATAGCCTTCAGCACAAGCTAAGGGAGGCCCAGAATGCTTTGAATGCTCTGAATCTCACAAAAGCCACACTTGAACAGGATCTAAGCATTAAGAACAACAGCCTGTTCATTGATCGTGAAAAGTGTTTGGCCATGAGGAAGACATTTCCCATGGCTCCACGCATCGTGTCAGTTTAATGGCTGTTAAACAGATACGCACTCATTTTTACATTTTGACTGTTTTTTAAATTTAAAAAAAAATTGGTGTCATTTTTAATGTAAATTTTAATAGTTTTGCGCAATTTACAATAACATGAGGAGAAAATGTAAAACTTAAATGTTTAAAGACATCTACATTCATCTGTGATATTTTTGGCAATTAAAATTTTTTGTTTTGATTCCAAAACTTTTTTTTTACAAAAATTATGAAAGTGTTATTTAACAATGATAAAATTTTGCTAAATTGTTTTGCCATTTTACTTTAATATTTAAAATCTATTTTTGTCTGCATGTGTGGCCTTCATTGCTGGTTTATTTCATGGGAATATATATATCTATTATTAGCAACCATAATAGAATGTTCTTGTTACTGCTTCTTTTGTTAACAGAAACCAATAGTTATCATTTTTAAAAATGTTAACAGTATTATTTATACTTTGTACAGTCTATATAATTAAATTATTACCTAAATTTCAGAAGTTATATATGCCAAACTGTACACATTTTTTAGCTTTTTATATAAAGTAAAGCCAAGCATTATTTTAAAAATATTCGCTTACATTATCATAACACAGGTTAACCATCTTTTTTTAAAATCATAATTGAAGTTAATCAGTTGATTGAAAAAATTCAAATTATTTTTTAATTAAATTCTTTTTCTAATACTTTTCAAACTGGTTTAGGTTGTGTAAGATATTTTATTACTTAAAACTAAGAAGCATTTTACCATTATAGTACACTAGTTCATGGTTTGATTCTGCGTTTGGAATTGTTTTAGAAAAATCATTGTAGTTTTATTTTTTAAATTCAATTTTTTTATTTTTCAATGGAAAAAATTTGCTCCTGTACAATACATTTGTTATTTTTTTCCAAGGCTAGTGTAAGCTTTTTTTGCTGGAAGCTTAAAATATCAGTATTACTATACATGTTCATTTCTATGTCTTTTAAATACAGCTGTTGTCTACAACTTATCCTTCTACACATTTGATCTTTTTAATGAAATTGAATAATTATAACTTATGCATTTCTAAATCACACATTTTTGCACTGTAGTTTTTTTAATTTTTGAAATGTAGCCATATGTAAAACATTTACAGGATGAAAATGTTAATCTTGAGTTTAAATTTTTAGTGTTCATCAACTCACTATAACAGTGGAAAAATGATGGAACAATTACATCTATACTAGCAGCTGTATAGGACGTTCACCCATGAAGGTGGCTTAGTTTAATCATCCAAAAAAAAAATAATTCTGACAGCTGAGTCACCTTGCCTGTAAGACTAAACTTGGTTTAGCTCTGTTTATCATTGATGTAGATGTCTGACATTATTTCAGATGCTTTCAGACACACTTTCGTATAGTACCATAACTTTGGATACTGTTGGAGTTGTGGATAAAATTAGATATGCTCCGTATGCTGCCAGACAGCTTCAGATAAACATATAAACAGCCAGGAAAAGCTAATTATTTCAGAAAATTATTTGTGCTACATATCAAAAAATATTTGGTCTTTGAAACACATTTAAAAAAAAAACTATTAATTAAAAGAAATGCACACTTTTTGTTCCATCATTTTCAACTATAATTATTGATCAGTTTAATTGTATTTATTAATAACACTCTTTTACAGACTTAAAAGCAGTTTCAAATCTCAAAAGAAAACATTTTCACGATTTCAAGATTGAAATAAACTTTTTATAAACAATAGAATATTATGTTGTATTTTTTAGAATGTGAAGGCAGTGTGATCAATTAAGTATTTAGAAATGGCATGGTAGAATAGGCTGTTAGTCCAAAGTTCTCGAGTTTGGATCTTGGTACAGACTTGTGACTGATGGAGTTCAACTTGCTCTGAAGGGTACCTGGCTTACGCTGGGGAAAGTAAAGGTGGCTGGGGCATAGTGCTAAACCACCACTTCATATGCCGTAGTCAAGATACATGATCCCTACTTCATCTACCCAATGGATTGCTAGGTCTAAAAAGTAATCTTTACCTTTAAATGGTTTCAGTTGATATGCAATGTACATAGATCTATGTTTGCAATGAAATAGTTACATCCTATTAGATCTGCTTACTAGGACCATTTCCCCTAGGTGTTAGGTAAAAGGGAGAGGTTGAAGTGGCCTTGAAATTATTATTTATTTTACATTAAAAACAAACAAAACAATAATTTTAGATGATTATACTTATAATAATATTGATATGAATGTGAAAAATTAGCAGGTAGGTTTCAGTTTGCTTGTGTTAAATCAAATCTTAAGATTTAAATAGGATGAGGTTCTATCCAACCTGATAGAGTAGGTCCCTTTAATTTTTACAGATACTGGACATTAACAAAACACTTGGAAGTACTGGAGACTAACACATTTCTTCGGTGCCCCCAGAAAGAGGCCAACCTAAATGTAAATCTACCATCAATGGTTCTTCAAGAGAAAATTTTCATGCTAGGACTTTCTTTACCTTTAGTATTTTTGCTACTTCTTTGTAATTTTATGATGCATCAACAAAAAGAATTGATTTAAAAAGAGATTTAATAGGATATGAAACAAATACTTTTTGATAAACTTCATTTTTGTTGGCTGTAAATTATTTCTAAAACTGTGGTGATGATCGACTCTGTTTGATAGAAGATCTAATTTTTTTCTCACGCAGAATTCCTGCTTTTGCCTTGGCTTGTCTGAAAAATAAATGAATCAAGTGTTAACCATAGACATAATTTGTATGTTATAGTTTCCAGGTAAGACTTACAATCGTAAGTTAAAAGGATGATATATTCTGAATAAAAATAAGGCTAAAGGTAAAGATTCACTCAATAATTTTAAACAAGCTGGGCCAGTTTAAAATAAATAAGTAATTTTGAGTAATTTTACACTCTAACTAAATTTAAAAAAAAATCCAAGTGATCAAGTTACACTACCAAAATACAGAATTTAAGCAACAAATGCTGGCATTTTAAAATCATTAAACAGGTAAACACAAAAAAATAACAAAAAGAAATCCTGTAAAATTATAATAAGATAAACTATACCTTTCTTCTCTTAGCTCAATTTCCTCTTTTGTTGGTTCGCGAGGCTCAACTGCAGCACCATAAATCATTTTCCTAATTTTATTGAGGCAATCTGCCTGATTCAACATCTGTTTCCTTGTCATGTCTGACTGCACCACCAGGAAGCCATCTTTGGTTAACCTCCCAGACTCCTAGTTTAAATCAAATGGAAAGTTTAAAACATGTTTTGGTTTCTGTTAATAGCTGAAGAGTTAAACAATGCAAAGCAAGGTAGTTGATTTGAATTTAAAAAGATAGCTTATCAAACACACATTAATTTAAAACAACTTTCTTGAGCCAGTCATGGTTCTTTTCCCATTTGTGTCCATGGCACATGGGACAAATAAAGTAGAGTTCATCTGTTTCAATTACCTTTATTTCCTAATTAGAGTCAGATACCCTTCACAGTTGGGTGGACTCAAGAAGTCCTACAGACTCAAGCCTGGGATCCAAACTTGAGACTGTGGGTTAACAGCTGTGAGCTCTACCATCCAACCACACCGTCCCTTGAGAAAATAGAGTCAGTAAATAAAATACACTTACCTGATCTGCAAGTTTAGGTTTGATCCATTCTGGAATCCAATTAGCCGATTCAAGGTGAAATCTTATTTCCACTTTACTATTTACTGAATATGAAATGGTAAAAAAATGTAATGTTCACAGTAATACAATAGAAAAGATGTAGTAAAAACAACTACATTTTGAGTTGAAGAATTAGTCAAACTTTTATAGTAAAGATAATGTGATTTAAAGCTCTGCATACCTTTATTGACATTCTGTCCACCAGGGCCACTGCTTCTTGATGTGGTTATTTGTAAATTTTCTGAAAGGAGACAGTTACAATGGTAGAGATGGATCTTGAAATGGAAGTTATCTCAAAAATCATTTAACATAAAAGTCAATCGAGTTAAAATATTATATGTACTACTTTTTTGTATAACTGTAATTACGGTATTTTACTGATCAATTAATATTATGAACACACATAGTTTTAAACTTACCTATAGGGATGTAACCAGTGAAGGGTTCTTTCTTAGGCTGAAATGGAAAATAAATTGACCTTCAATGCTACTTTGTAATTTTAGTATGGATGATTTATAAGCTTACGCACACTCTAAATTGTTACTAATATTTTTAAATGGTTAAAAATATGGTATGGATGTTGTCATGTTATTGTGTTGAAAGTGGTTTGTTGAAAATAATACTATGTACTTGTTTACACTGTTTGATTCACCATAATTTAAGTGAAAAAGTTTGAGTTGTATGTGGTTGGTTTAGTCAAAAGACAGGTAGTGAGATTAGCATAACAATTCACTTTAAAATTTGAGATTTAGAACTACTTTACATATTGAGGAAAGGAGAAGTGGACCTTGATGTTATTTGGAGGGAGTGGAATTTTTTTTTGGTAACAACATTTGAGAGTTGTGTTGGGGGAAGGGGAGAAGGGTGGAGAACTACTAAAATAGTGTAACATCATATGAATAATAAAATCCTTAAATGTGATAAGCTATAATTAAATTTGGGATAGATATTGTGATAGAAGACAATTTCTGGTAAAAGTCTGCATATAAAATATCAAGTATGGAATTATTTTAGGTTTAAGTAAAACATATTGACTGAGGATGAGCTATGGGTGTTAAGTAATAAAGCCTGGTTCTGCACAGAGGGTTGATATTTTGAACTAAACCTTTAAATCCCTGGCAGAATGAGGCTCCAGCCATGCCCAAAAATAATTATTATGATAGTTGACTTAGGATTAGATCTAAATACTAAAATAAATAGTAAATAGTGAAATACTAAATAAATATTATATATGTTAGTCAGATGCGTATCCAGGTTTTCTTTGTAGGGGGAGCCAAAAAGACCAAAAAAAAGGCGCAGAATTTCTAACACATTCTATATATGTGTATTATATTTATATATATATATATATATATATATATATATATTTTTTTTTATATATAATTACTAGCTGTATGTCATTACTTCGCTACGATGTAAAATAAATTGAAAGTAGCACTCTGAAGAAATAAGAAAAAAAAACACAATGTAGGCCGGCAAAACAAAAATTGTATCAATCTAAACAAAACAAGTTAATAAAAAGTCTAGTGACAATTTAAGCGCAATTTCCTTAATTAATGTTTTAAAAAATGTGAAAAAATTATTAGGCCTAGCGAAACAAAACCTTGTAATTGTAACTCCCTATCACTCTCATATAAATTATAAATAAATTAATAGGGTACAAAAATAACGTTTGAATTAATAAGTAAAAAAAAAAGACAACTATATTAACCTATATCAACTGAAATAGTTTTATTTTAACGAGTAGGCCTACAAGATGCTCAGTTTTAAAAAGTAGTAAATATAAACCTAGGCCTACACGATGCTCAGTTTAAATATTCTTAATTAATTTTTTGTGACCGAACGAAAGGATATTTTTGAAAACTTTCTTCGGCAATATTGGTCTAAATTATGGCAGGAATCGATTGGTAAATGTTTCAAGTCGCTAAGTGGTCTGGTTGCCGAGATATGGACCAAAAACTGCATTTGTTCGATGTTTTTTGGCTTTTCCGGGAAATCCAGGAAGGAATTCCGGGAACTGTTTTGGCCCACAATCATCCTTGGAACTTGCTTAACATATTTGCTTTTGGAACTAGTCCTCGATATTGCTTCGTTGAGGAGGAGATACGACTTAAAGCTGCGGACACACATCCATCCATCCAGAAATGACGCATTATTAAACGCAATTGCCAGTATGGAAATGGCGCTAAAAAAATATATACACACACTACAACCAAAAACAATGAACGTAACATAATCTGTTTTGTAATTCTTGTAAAAAAAATTTCTTACATAATAATTCCTAGGAAATTATTTAAGACAAGTGAAATAGGGGAAATAATCACTCTCTTAATATAAATGTGTATATATCTACACATTTAATTATATATGTCAAAACAAATAAATAATTACTTTAGAATATAATGAAATTGTTTAACACTATTTGTGTTTAACAAAATATTTTTGTCTATAATCAGAATTTAATATATCGTCATCATAAATGCTAAAGTATTACTGCATAATGAAAGTTTTTAAAATCAGAGTTGGCATAAAACCACGCTTTTCGATAAAATAGAAATACATTAGGAATAACAGCCTGCATTTAACTAAATATTGGTCTTTTAGTTCAGATCATATATTTTTAATTAACTACTGCTTCTTTGTGTTCTTTAAAGATCAATTTTTAACATAGTGATAGGTATGGGTTAGATCACTGTGTTGATCAAACACCTTTTTACTGGTAATTGCAAAAACAATATTCACAGAGTTTTACGTTTAAAAAGCTTATTTTCTGGCGGCATCATACTTTGGTACATCATTACGCGTTTTTCTATATGTACTTAACAGATCAGTTCGGGGAGGGGGGTTCAACTTCATTCACCACTGTCCGGTCACGCCTTTAGATCAATTATCCAACCCAGTGTATACCCAGGTGTGACATTAATTGTGGTGGTGGGGTGGGGGGGGGGGGGGAGAGATAACCAACTCAGAGTGAACGTAGCGTCAGTTTTTAGATGACTGTTCTAAACATACATATATATTACACAAATATATATTACACAATTATATATTACAGAAATAGATTTAAATAAGTAGCAGTGGTATTTTGACAATATTTTTTTTACAGAGGGGTCCATGGGGGAGGGGGGTTGTAACTGTTTCATATAATTTGTAATCGTAATCACTATCGCCCAAACTGTAAGAATACTACTACTTTATCGTGATGGCGTTGTTGACCTTGTCAAAATTTCCCCACCACTACGCAGTTTGCTCATAGGTAAATTTAAATAGAGGTGCCACATCAGTTGTATTTGTTTCTGTTTTGTAATTTAAAAAAAAATAATCACATGATTCAAACTGTATATATAAAGTAATTATGTGTGAATTTTATGTATAACATTTTCTAATTCAATTATTCGTAAGCAAATGCATTATACAGTTGCCTTAAATTTAACACCCCTCTTGCCAAGTGGCACTAACCGTAGAGGTTTTTTAAACATTGCAATGCATGCATCGTAATGGTTATTTTTAGAATGGCAAACTGATGCAGCTGTTAATACGTGTTGTTAACGTAGACACTACTAGACTAGTACAATCATGTTTAATTGCTGCGTGAAAAAGAAATCTTGTGATTTATATAGATGTGCCGACCAACAATATTTTTAACAAATATCCCTTTTTAAAACTTTGAGTTTAAAAAGTTTCCAAAAAGACGCCACTTTGCTGCTAAAAATGGCGAGAGGGGGAGTGGCCACTCCCCCTGCTCCCCCCATGCATACTCTACTGATGTTAGTAATAATTTAGATCTAGGTGTAGTATATTTATTATTTAAGTATAATATTAAATATTAATAGTCCTAGTACAGGAATATAGTATACTGTCATTTCTCAAACTCAAGGATAAAATCTACAAACTATTAGTACTATTACTAATACTATACTAGTATTTCTAATGTCACCTCTTAAAACAATGGGGTGAAAGTAAAAGACTGTAAAAAGAAATGTAATTGTAAACATCAAAAATGCACCTTTTCAGCCTTTTCCTGTTGTTGACTTTGACTCAAAGTTTCTGTTTGTTCTAGTTTTCTTAAAAAATTAAGATTGCTGTTTGGGTATAATTTTTCTACATTCACTTCGCTTTTGTACTGTGCTGTCAATATTTTAACATGTGTCAAACACTTATGATATCGCTGAAATGAAATATTATTTTTACAAAGTACATTCGCATAAATTCTTAAAATATTTAAGTTTCTCATTGTGAAGGCAGTCTGCAGGAATGAAATATCTCACAAGAAATGAGAATTTATGATTGAGTAGCATCCCTTGATTTTAAAAAGAATTGCGATAATTGCGGTATAAATATCATATTCAAAGAAACATAAGAAAAATCACATTGTGGTTTCATAGCAAATGTTAATTATGTTAACGTAATAATATCCCCATTCATAGCTGCTTAACCGTAATGCATATGCCTAATGATTATGCATATTTTCGCCTCAGCGAACAGTAAATTAAACGGGCCTAGGCCAACATTTCGTCAATAAATGACGTCACATTCCCAGGGAGAGGGGGGCAGAGTTCGGATTTTTTGTGAGGGAGTAACACGTCACACATATGCACTCATTGGAAGAAGAGATTTTAAAATCTGAAATTTAATAGTTATTTCACATATTAGAAAGACTTGTTCAAAAGAACTAAAAACGAATTAATATAAAGCCCATCTATTGTTGACCCAGCTCCGTAGCATTATAATTTTTTTCTTGGGAAATCGCTGGTTAAAAAATGCAATTTTAGGCTGTTTGGGAGGAAGGATGACGTGTGCATTCGTTTTAGGTTTTTTTTTAAACGATGGGGAAGCAAAAATTGTCCAAAATCGTTACATTATATATGGACGATCCCTAGACATAAAATAATTGCGTTTATTTAGAAAAAATAGTTCGGGAGTTAGCGACCTTTTAACCGTGAGTTTAGAAATAGATCTTAACATTTTCAATATACTTTACTTTTACTTTAAATTTACATTTTTTGGACTCACTTAAATGAGTCTTGGGTGATTTTTATAGCCTTTAACAAGACCTGCACCATTATCAAATTATTGTCCACACGTTGAGTAACATAAACATTATTTTTTGTTTGCTAAGTGGTCGTTTTTATTTTTTAGTCTAGATCTAAATTATAATGTGCTTAAAGCATGATATTGCTAATAAGGTTAGAAGGGTACCTATGCCCCCCAGTGTTTCTTCCAGACTTTTTTCTCCGGGGGGGGGGGGGGCACTTGAAATTTTCGGGGGGGGGGGGGGGCGGTAGATTTTCTTCGGGGGGGGGGGGGGGGGCGGACACTGTTAAAAGTATATATTTTCTATATAAATAATATAAATTTAATTTTGTTCGGGGGGGCGGTAAAAAATTTTCGGGGGGGGGGGGGGGGCTTTGCCGAAGAGATGCCTGGAAGAAACTCTGATGCCCCCTCCCCCCAGCCATAGGTACACACCCCAGGTCCACTAATGTTGAAATGTTATTTCATGTAGGCATCACTATTACTATTTTAACAAAAAAAAAACGAGATTAGCCTACTAATGACAAAAAGACGTAAAGGGCCTATACTATACAAAAATATATCAATTCCCCCCCCCCCCCCCCCTTTATATTATAAATCTAGGAAAATGCAAGAGTGACCTTCCCAGTTACCGCTCCTAGAAACTCCCAGCGCTGCATTGGTGTTTTGTATTAAAATCTACTTCCGGATTTGTGTGTACACAGTAAACTAAAAATATCTAGCCTAAGCCTAGCTTTAGCTTGCTTATTCATTATTTCATGAACCAGTTTTGGTAGGCTGTGTAGGAAAATCCGTATTGCATAATTCCACAGGCTGATTTTATAGGTAATATTTCCTTATAAAAATAATTTTTCTATTTGATCTCCTATCTATCTAGATATAGATCTAGTGTAAGTGTAGAATCTAAAAATTTAGTATTTTTAGTTTAGTTGTTTAGTTAAGTTTAGTTAAGTTTAGTTAGTAGTTCAGCTGTGTTGTCCGGGTGGGGAATGGGGGTATGATTCATGACCGTTCAGTTCAGTGATCTGATTACCCCTTTCTCTAGAACGCCAGTGAACAACTGTCACTGATTTTATATATTTAATCACTCATGAACTCATGATGTTGTGTTATTTTTTATATATTCTAGAATCTACTAGATTTCTAGGCCTAGTACTTAAAAGTTAGAATCTAGTTAGTTAGTTACTGTTGGTTAGTTGATGAGGGTTGATGAGGAGGCCTATCACTATGAATATGATGATCATGATACTATCATCTACTTAAATCTACTAGATCTATACCTAATTACTTAGTAATTACTAGTAATTACTAATTAGGCTTAATAGATCTATCTCCTAGTAACTTTTAGGCCTAAGTAAAAAGTTCCCATTTCAAACCTGACGATCTATAACATATAGGGCATAATATAATAGGGCAAGTGAAGTAGAGTTCACTTGTTTCTGTGACCTCGGCATATGAAGAGATAGTGTGGTCAGCACTGTGCCCAGCCACCTAACTTGAGTTAGGTAGCCATCAGAGCTGGGTGGACTCAGGGACGGTCTATTGACTTGAACCTGGATCGAACTCGAGACTTACAGGTTAGCAGTCCAGCTCTCTACCGCTAGACCACTCCGTCCTTAGGCCTAAGTATTAATTATTATTTACCTATAGAGGCCTACTTACTTAGGCCTAACTAATATAGCCTACTTTAGTTTATTAATAATACTTCAGTTAACTTTTAGTTATATTAGTTAGGCCTACTTTAAGACTTCAAGGCATAACTGTGTATGCACAATAATAGGCCTAAACTCTTCTTAAAAAAGAGGTGTTAGGTAATCAGGTTACTGGTAGTTAACTAAATAGGCTACACTTAATAATAATGACTTACAACTTGCTTTTATATCAATACTAACCCTATCTTCTAACCATACAACTAGACAAGAATACAAAAATACTATTAAAAACCTAACACCTATTTTTGTTTAGAGTCTATAATTGCACACCGGCATCCTCAATCATCAGGCATAACTATATACTTTATATAGTTATATATGACTGGACTAAGGATTTGACTTTCTACTGGCTCTAGCTAGTCTGGGATCTGAACTAAGACTTTCAGTTCAGGTTAGCAGTTGAGCACTCAATCACCTGAGCCATGAATAAGGTGTTACCAAAATGAATACTTAAGTTTATTTGTGTTTTATACTAATTTCTAGTTTTTTTTTTAATGAATAGAAAAAACAAACCATGAGTTACCCTCCATATGGTGGTGGCTACCCCCCTCAGCAACCCGGCGGATATCCAGCTCCGGGTGGATATGGAGGTGGACCTGGTTATCCACAGCCTGGAGGCTACCCTCCTGCCGGTGGTGTAAGTATAGTATGATTGTATCTGATATAGTCTTGTCTTGATTCAAATCTATGGGGTGGTGTAACTGTAAGTATGATTGTATCTGATATAGTCTTGTCTTGATTCAAATATGTGTGGTGGTGTAAGTATGATTGTATCTAATATAGTCTTGTCTTGATTCAAATATGTGTGGTGGTGTAAGTATGATTGTATCACATATTGTGTCACATAGTAAGGAAACTTGCTATATTTTAACATTATATTCTATACAGAACAATAAATATGGCTAAACAAGGTAATAATTTCATGCTTGTATGCTTAACCTGCTGGTTTTTGTGTTTTGCTGTAATGCATGACATTTATTTTTCTGCCCTTCAACAGATGGGTATGCCAACCCCTGAATCTGCTTCTGCTGCTGCATATGGTAGTGCCCCTGGTGGTCTCCCATATGCTCCACAACCAGGTGGAGCACCAGGCTCTATAGGTTTTAATGTAAGTCTTTTGTAACTCTTCACATTAGAGATCGCTGCATTTTAAAATATTTCTTTATGTTTTAGATTATGTTCATAGTATTTCTAGATTATATGGCAATTTATATTCAATGCTTGAGTACTTACTTTCATATTTTGGTGTTGGTATATCTTATAAATAAAATATATACTTCTCTTGTAGTTTGTGATTTTTGTAATATGCATTTATGCTGTTTGGTGTTTTATTTTACCTTTCAAGTTTATGTTAAACCACATTTCTGTTCCCCATCCCCTACCACTCTGTCCCTAGATCACCCATATTATGAACTCCTACTTGGCAATATTTTCTTAACGCAATACAGCTTGTTTCTGTGTTTTTAACATGTATTGACTCTGTATCATTTTCTGCAGAAATTTACACATTATTAAAGCTAGACAAAGCACATTTGAGAATTGTCATTTATATTGGTGCCGATGTTTTTTCTCTCATGATTTTAACAGTGTCAGCAACAGTTACAAAAGCAACATTTCTTCCTGTTCCGTCCCATAGTCTAGATGGAGCGCCACCCCTGTACTTCTGATCACATTCCTCCGACCTGCTGTTCTCAACTGTTATCCTCAGTGCCCCATGTCAAACCCATCTATTCCACTGTTGTCTTTTCCATTTTTATTCTTTTGCTGCCTCATTTTCAATTGCCAGGCACTGTTTCTCGTAAGAAATATTTTTTTGCTATACTTGATGACTTTGTGGCATGTTTGTACCATTTTTAAAATTTTTTTTGGTCAGCTTGTCATTCTAAAGACCAATCACCTGTCATGTCAGGCATAAATTAATATGGTGTCTTTGTATGATAGTCCTAGTAACTTTCCATTTGTATTAATCATTTAGTAACATTCCATGAAACCTCATTTCTCCAGTTAGGATTTTATTTTCTAATTAAGCGGTCAGTGTCAATGTCCAAGTTTCTTACACATATAGAAATGTGGCCAAGACTATTTAACACACCAGTCAGATTTGTTTGTGTCCTTCCTTACTGTCCTGAGCCATGTGAGTGCCACTTGTCTCAAAATTCTGGCTATACAGTTGTAAAAATAAAATACAAGTAGTTGATCATACATTTCATTTCACATTTCATCTGTTTCCAAATTTAAGCTGTTAATGTGCTTAACATGCAACACTTATTAGTTCCATTTGATTTATAAGTGAATAATACAACTCAAGTCGTTAAGACATATTTCAGTATTACGATTAAATGGTGATTTATGAAGTATTATTAGGTAGGGAAAAAATTAATTCTAAAACCTACTTAATCCTTAATTTTACAGGATTTGGCTGATAAATAAGGTATGCCATAGTTGTAGATTTGCAAGAGACCAAATACATATCAGCACAGATATGAGAAGAAAATTTCAATACTTGTGTTGACAATGTCATTTTAACATGTAACGCAACTCCCTTACATCAGGTTGGCGGTCCACTACCAGGTCTGGGATATCCTGTCCCACCCTCCATGCCATACCCTTCTCCCCAGGTTTGTTGTCAGCGTGTTGTGGCCTTCTGGAGTGTTGCTTGTGATGTTTAGATCCATTTTCCCATGTTTTAACTTCAATGTTTTAACTTTAATCTTGATCAGTGGTATAAAATTTATTTAAGTTGTGCTATTTTATACCATCAATTAACTGTTTTGCTAATGTTTCATTTGTTTTGACTATCAATTAACTGTGTGCTGTTAGTAATGCTGTTCAGTTTTACTAATATTTTGTATTCGGCTGTCAGTAAACTGTGACGTAATTAATGCTGTTCTGTTAACCATAATTTAATTTGTTTTGACAATCAATTAACAATTGATGAAAGTAATGTTCTGTTTTACTAATAATTTTCAGTGTATTGTAAATAATGTTGTTCTGGTTTGCTTATGTTTTGTTTTGACCATCAATTAACTATGAGATGTAATTAATGCTGTAATGATGTAGTAATACTAATGATTGAAAGTAACTATTTCAAAAGTTCCATCAACTTTAGTATACAGCACTTTGTCTGTGTATAACGCTAGTGTTTTTAGATGGAACCAACATTCCCACTATGGAGAAAAAAAACTAGTGTGCAAAATATATTTATAAATTATATTTATGTGCATTGATCTCAAAAACATCTTATACTATGTTATTTGTATTTTACTAAATGACTACACTTCAGGTTTGCAACAGCTGAACAATAGGGAACATTGGATACAACTCTTTGGTCTTTGTAAATACATCATTATATCCTTGTAATAAAACTATGATTTTTTTGATGCTTCATTAACTTTTTTAAAGTACACTGTTAGCTCTTCATTATATAGATCTGTAGCTTCTTTCTGAATTGTAATTTTGGATGGAATTTCCTCCAACTCAATTTAGTCTTTCTTAGAAAATCTAGTGTTTGCGGTCCATTCTTAAACCTTTGAAATAAAAATAGGATTTTAGTCTATTTAAAAAACAAATTTACTCAATTTAGTGTAAAATAAAGTTATCAAATAGTATTTGTTGTATATGCTTAATGCTATAGCCGCAAATATAAAAATATGCCAGGTGAATGCTTTTTTTTTGTTTTAAGTTTGGTCAAACTAGTGTCAGATTTAGTTCAATAGAGATAAAGCCTTATCTTTGCATACATAATTATTACCTGGAATTTGCATGGTTATTTTTGTAGGGTGTCATTTGAGTACCACGGCACATAAATCTTAACTTTGGCGTGCTGTTTGTTTTTAAAATTCTAATCCCCCCCCCCCCACCACACACACAAGCCCGTTTTCATTACCAAAGACCCATTCCAGAAAAGTTTTTACTGTCACCATTAATGCTTTATGCTGCATATTTTAACACTAAAAGAAAGACACTAACTAACCTTTTCTTTGTACCTACATGATCACATGACCACGTTGGTCTGACAAGGGGATACCACTCTTTTTAAATTATTTTACTTTTCAAAAACATGTTAATGTAATTGGTTAGTCTTACTCTAGCTTTCCATGTATGTGTATATATAGATGTATATATAATAATAGTCTAGATGTTTTAATTTCTTTTTTTAATATCAACAATAAACAGTCTCAGGCTAGTTATTTTAATTTTTTAAAGTCTATGGTTTTTATAAGTTCTAGTCAGTCGTTAACATCCAGCACTTTTTATCCCCACAGAGTGGCTACCCAGCCCAGCCTGGCTATCAGCAGCAACCAGCTAGTGGATATCCAGCTCAGGGCTACAATCCACCCCCACCCGGTGGATACGGTGGAGCAGCTCCACCTTACGGACAGACACAGGGTTCGGCTCCCCCACCAAGTCAGTATGGAGCCGGAGTCGGAGGTCCAGCCCCGGGGTACGGCGCCCCTCCCGCTGCCGGCTATGGTGCCCCGCCCGCACAGGCGGGTCAGTACGGCGCCCCCGCATCACAGCCTGGCGGGTATGGAGCACCTCCTGCGGGAGGCTATGGCGCACCACCCGCGGGGGGTTACGGTGCACCCCCAGCAGCAGGGTATGGTGCCCCGGCCGGTCAGCCTGCTGGGCAGTATGGTGGTTATGGGGCTCCCGGTCAAGGTCAGGGTCAATACGGAGGAGCAGGGGGAAATTATGGCAATGTTCCAGGGCCTGCATCTTATAAAATATATGTAAGTATATCAAAGTATCCACAGATTATAAAAAATCTTACAGAGCAAGCTTTTAAAAAAAATATCTTTCCATAGATTGATTAATTAACAGTTTTATAAACATAATAGAAGCCTAGGGCTTTAGATTTAAGGCTATTCATCCTATAGTCTTGTTTGTATTTTCCTTTTCTCCCCAAAATGTACACAGTATGTTTAGAGAATCAGTTGCTTGCTATAAACCATATCCTTAAGTTGTATGTAATTTCCTACTACTAGCAGTCAACAATCCTATTGCTTTAATTTAAATATGTGTGGTCTGTCATTGTATTGGTTACCCCCAGAGAGATGTTAAGCTCGTAACAATAGCATAATCTTTGGTTTATTGAATTAACATGAAATTTTTTTAACTTTGATTGCTGTGAACATTGATAGCTGCAGGGATGTTGTCATGGGCAGATGAAGCAGAGTTTCCTTGAGCACATGAACCACCTAAATAAAAAAATTTCATGTTTAGACCTAGTGATCCATCATACAGATGAAGTAGAGTTGATAATTTTCTTGACCCTGGCACTATGCCCTGCCGCCTTTACTTTCCCCAAGGTGAGGTACCCATCAGAGCTAGGTGGACTCAGGGACGTTCTACAGCCACAAATCTAAACTCGAGACCTTTGGACGAGCAGCCCAATGCTCTACCTTTGACAACGCTGTCCCTTGAACCTACATTTCCCAGTAGAAATTTTTTTTAGTTGAAAGCAATGTCCAAGACAATAATTTTGACTTTACAGCTGCAGATTACAGTCCAGTCTGAAACTGTTTTTACAAATTTTGTCATCATTTATATTCCATCCCATTTACTGTCAACAGGAGGAAGGAACTTTGAAGCCATTCCCAAATTTTAACGTAGAACAGGACGTTCAAATACTGAGAAAGGCAATGAAGGGTTTAGGTATGTAGAGCTGTATGTTTAGCGTACACATATATGAAATGTTAACACCTTCAGAGTATGTTATATTGCTGTTTGAAATTTGATAACGTACCTTTTTTAATAAAATTGCTGCTTTATAATAACCTATTTTTACTTATGTGGTTTTGTTTTAAAAACGTTTCATTCATGGGTAGTGGGTCACCGTTCATGGGGTGAGTCAAAATGACAGTAGCTGAGAAATATGGGAAAAGTGTAAGATAAAATATGATTCAGGTTGATAAGGACTGTGAAATTGGTTCAAATAGATAAGGATTGTGATATTGGTTCATGTAGACAAGGTATGTGAAATTGGTTCAAATAGATAAGGATTGTGACATTGGTTCATGTAGACAAGGTATGTGACATTGGTTCAGGTTGACAAGGACTGTGACATTGGTTCAGGTAGACAAGGACTTTAATATTGGTTCAGGTACACAAAGAATGTGACAATGATATGCCATAATTTGAAATGTTTGTATTCAGGAACTGATGAGAAAGCTATCATAGATGTCCTGGGTAACCGCTCAAATGACCAGAGACAGAAGATAAAGCTGATGTACAAAACTTGTTTTGGTCGGGTGAGTTGATTCTCATGCATTGTAAATTTGAGTTCACCAATTTTTGCCATCGATCGTATCAATCTTCTTACAACTTATAATCATTATGTAATGTAATTAAACATTTTTTATTTGTTCCTAATACTTTTTAGGTTACTGTTGCTTATTTAAGAAAGATCAACTTACTTTTTTTGGTGTTTTTTTTTAATATTGTTTTTTTAACGAAATTATTTTTTAATTATCACCATTAGTTCTTTTTATCTAATTAAGGTTGCTTGGTTTTAAGAGTATTTGCACTGTTAAGCATTCTTGACATAAATTATTGATAAATGTTGATAGTATTACTTATTGGTAAAATTAAATTAGAATTATTGGGTTATTTTTGTAATAACTGAACTAAATGGCTTTGTATTGTATGTAGGATCTAGTGAGTGACCTGAAGAGTGAGCTTGGTGGCAGGTTTGAAGACGCCTCTGTGGCGCTAATGATGCGACCTGATGAACTTGATGCCTATGAGCTTCGCCGCGCAATGCGAGTATGTGGCTAAAGCTTTTTATAAATTAAGTGACTTACCTGACTTATTCCTCTTTACTCCTTGTGGATCGTAGGACCTCAGCCATAAGATTCCATTTTATCTGGTCACAGCTGTTAATTTTTACAACCTTTCAAGACATTCCTTCTGTCTTTAGTTCTTAGAGAAGACTCAGCGTCCAGGTGTGTCTAGGATGCCCTGGGGGTTCCACTCAATTGTCTTGTTACTTATGAAGGCTGAATAAAGTTTGGAATAAATACTAGTGGGTATTACAGAGGCATATCAGGAAATGTGTATTACACGTTTTTTTTTACCTTTTTAAAGAAAAGAAAAAAAAGGAAATTATATATGATGAAAACACAAAAGTCAACTAACATACAAATAGGGAGATGAATGCATACAGTAAATATCCTTGTTCTAATGTTTTCAAATGTTCAAGCATGTAACACAATACAAATTGTTCCAACTTGTTCTAATGTTTTCAAATGTTCAAGCATGTAACACAATACAAATTGTTCCAACTTGTTCTAATGTTTTCAAATGTTCAAGCATGTAACACAAAACAAATTGTTCCAACTTGTTCTAATGTTTTCAAATGTTCAAGCATGTAACACAATACAAATTGTTCCAACTTGTTCTAATGTTTTCAAATTGTTCCAACAGGGTGCTGGTACAGATGAGGCAGCTCTGATAGAAATCCTCTGCACCAGAACAAATGACCAGATCCATGCAATAACAGCTACATACAAACTCAGTCAGTTCTTTGTTTTTTTTTTTTTGGCTCTATCATAGCTACATACAAACTCAGTCAGTTCTTGATTTTTATTATGGCTCTATCACAGCTACATACAAACTCAGTCAGTTCTTGATTTTTATTATAATGTGGCTCTATCACAAACTCAGTTCTTGATTTTTTTCCCCTGAAATATGGTTCCATCACAGCTACACATAAACTCAGTTCTTGATTTTTATTTTATTATGGCTCTATCGCAGCTACCTAGCTATTGATTTTCATTATAGTTCTATCACAGCTGCCTACAAACTCAGTCAGTTATTCATTTTTATTTTATTATGGTTCATAACATCTACATACAAACTCAGTTCCTGATTTTTTTATTGATCTATCACAGCTACATACATTTCTTGAGTTTTTTCTGTAACATGGTTCTATCTTATACATTCAAATACATCTACTAGCATTATTTTATAAAACAACTCAATATTTTAAAATTGTAAGATAATTTTTTTTGACATTGGCCTACTTCAAGTAGACAATTAAACAGGTGAATCCATTACAAAATTAGAATTATTCTTTGATAAGTTTTGAGATGAGGTAGAGGTAGTTTGTATTTTAAAATATTTCCTGATTTTCAGTGTATGGAAGAAAGCTCGAGGATGACATCATTAGTGAGACATCTGGACACTTCAGGAAGTTGCTGGTCTCTATGTCTGTGGTGAGTTGTGGTGTTTTCTTAATGTTGGGATTATTTGTGTACTGATTTTAAGCTCACAGACTTGTAATGTTTTTAATTAAAGTAACACTTTAGAATTTCAGGAACCCTTAATCATAAAAAAATTTAGTCTGAAAACATAATTAGTAGAAAAAAATTTAATTTAATTCACAAAATTCAGTAAAACTTATAGCTGTTAGCAATGAATAATTGTTTTTCAATCATAGAATACACAAATAAAAAAACAATGTTAAAACTAATGCACATTGAGAGTTTTTAAATTTTCTAAGCTTCTGGTGATGGGTCAAAATGGATTTTAACTTTTGTTCCTGAAATTTAAGCCACGGGTCACTTAATAGTTTTACTTTTTGACTTGCAGGGAGGCAGACAAGAAAATATGCCAGTTGATATCAACAAAGCCAGAACTGATGCACAGGTAATTATTTTTGTGTGTGTGATGGCTTGTAAACATCAATCTCTGCCATGTAAAAATGTATTGAATCCTGATTTCATTACTTACCTAGAATAATGTGTAAGTGCATTACGTCATCATGTTTCTTGTTTACCTTGAACTTGTACCATGTATATTTGTATTAAATCCTCATGTTCCTTACTTACTTAGAACTTGTACCATGAATATGTGTATTAAATCCTCATGTTCCTTCCTTACCATAACTTGTACCATGTATATGTGTATTAAATTGTGACCATAACTTGTTCCATGTATATGTGTATTCAATCCTCATGTTCCTTCCTTACATAAAACTTGTATCATGTATATGTGTATTAAAATCCTGATGTTCCATCAACAGCGACTGTACCAGGCTGGTGAGAAGAGATGGGGAACAGATGAGAACACATTCAACATGATCCTGGCCTCTCAGAGCTACGAGCAGTGCAGGGCTGTGTTTGACGAGTACAGCCGCATCTCCAAGCATGACATAGAGCAGGCCATTAGGAATGAGATGTCTGGAGATGTGGCAACAGGGATGTTAACAATAAGTGAGTCAATGTTGCACATACTTGACCCTCAGTCTGTAATTGAGTCAATGTTGCACATACTTGAGTCTGTAATTGAGTCAATGTTGCACATACTTGACCATCAGTCTGTAATTGTGTCAATGTTGAACATACTTGAGTCTGTAATTGAGTCAATGTTGCACGTACTTGACAGTCTGTAATTGAGTCAATGTTGCACGTACTTGACAGTCTGTAATTGAGTCAATGTTGCACATACTTGACCCTCAGTCTGTAATTGAGTCAATGTTGCACATACTTGACCCTCAGTCTGTAATTGAGTCAATGTTGCACATACTTGACCATCAGTCTGTAATTGTGTCAATGTTGCACATACTTGACCCTCAGTCTGTAATTGAGTCAATGTTGCACATACTTGACCCTCAGTCTGTAATTGTGTCAATGTTGCACATACTTGACAGTCTGTAATTGTGTCAATGTTGCATATACTTGACCCTCAGTCTGTAATTTTGTCAATGTTGCACATACTTGACCCTCAGTCTGTAATTTTGTCAATGTTGCACATACTTGACCCTCAGTCTGTAATTGTGTCAATGTTGCACATACTTGACCATCAGTCTGTAATTGTGTCAATGTTGCACATACTTGACCCTCAGTCTGTAATTTTGTCAATGTTGCACATACTTGACCCTCAGTCTGTAATTGTGTCAATGTTGCACATACTTGACCCTCAGTCTGTAATTGTGTCAATGTTGCACATACTTGACCATCAGTCTGTAATTGAGTCAATGTTGCACATACTTGACCCTCAGTCTGTAATTGTGTCAATGTTGCACATACTTGACCCTCAGTCTGTAATTGAGTCAATGTTGCACATACTTGACCATCAGTCTGTAATTTTGTCAATGTTGCACATACTTGACCATCAGTCTGTAATTGTGTCAATGTTGCACATACTTGACCCTCAGTCTGTAATTGACTCAATGTTGCACAAGTTGAATCTTCAAGCAGTTATTGAATCCATGTAATACATATTTGACACTCAGCAAATGAGTCAATGTTGCACATATTTAACACTCCATGACGGATTAAAAATTACCTTTTTCAAGCTTGAGTTGAATATATATGGGGGTGGGGGATGGGATCTTGAATGTAGATTGAGGAATATTAGTTACTATTGTTAAATTGTGGGAAAATATAAAAAAAAACACCTAATTTTATTGTCCTTTTAAAATAGAAAACTCATCTAAAAATTCAGATTTATAACTTTAAAAATTTTCTTTTAAATTTTGGATTAAACACACATTAAAACCCCAAACCAGCTGTATTTGTTTACTACTAACTGTTGTGGAGGGCACATGTTTGATATGCTTAGTGAACTTTTGATGTGTTGCGAAAGAAATATTTCATAAATTTAAATAAAAAAAAAATTTCTTCTTTAGTTCGTATGATTAGAAGCAAGCATGGGTATTTTGCTGAACGTCTCCACCAATCAATGAAGGTAAGTAAATACATAATCACTGAAATAAATAACAAATATTTGTCACAACAATTAATGTAAAAAAAAAATTATTAATTATTTAGAACCAATAAGTCTGTTTCTTATTTGTTTACTAATTTAAAAATTCCTCTCTTTTCTTTTTATATGTGTACATTACAGATCAAGCTAATTTATGAAAACTTTTCTCACTAAAAATAATTTATCATTATGTCATACAAAAAGTTACTTTCTACACACAGTAAAAACATTGTGGTATGTGTAACCACCTTAATCCAAGATCCACCTTAATCCAAGATCCACTTTAATCCAAGATCCTGTTGCCGTGTGAGTTTGTTGGCCTGTTTTAACACTACTGTCATGTTTCAGGGTCTGGGTACAGACGACAGGACTTTGATACGCATCATAGTGTCCAGGTGTGAGGTGGACATGAAGCAGATCAGGGATGAATTCCAGAAAAGATTTGGGCAGAGTCTTGATGCTTTTGTGCGGGTAAGCTTTCTGTTAAACCTGGTCTAGTGATGGATTGCATGCTTGCTGAGCCGAAAGTCACGAGTTCAGTACTCAGGCTTGAGACTGTCAGTTGAAATCTCAACCAAACTCCACTCATACGCAATTCAGTTGTTGAGATGTACTGTGGGAGGAAGAAAAAGCCTGTTGCAAACCCACAGGTCTAGTGGTTGAGATTTTTGGTGTAAGAAAAGCTTCAATGCTGTGGAGGTCTGGCTAATGAGCATTGCTTGAGACAGTTTTGCCTAGATAAGAGATGGAGCTTTTAGAACTAACCCCATAACCTACTGTGTGAGTAGCTTTAGTCACATGTTAAAATAATTTTAACTTCTTTAATAATATGTGTAGATAGAAATAGTAGCAGGTTTTAGTACTAAATACTACTAACTACTGTAAAAATATTACAACTAGCATACTAATTACAGTTATATATATATATATATATATATATATATATATATATATATATATATATATATATATATATATATATATATATATATATATATATATATATATATATATATATATATATATATATATATATATATACATATATACATATATATATATATATATATATATATATACATATATACATATATATATATATACATATATACATATATACATATATACATATATACATATCTATATATATCTATATATATCTATATATATCTATATATATCTATATATATCTATATATATATCTATATATATTTATATATATCTATATATATCTATATATATCTATATATATCTATATATATCTATATATATCTATATATATCTATATATATCTATATATATCTATATATATCTATATATATCTATATATATCTATATATATCTATATATATCTATATATATCTATATATATCTATATATATCTATATATGTAACATATATATATATATATAAAATATATATAATATATATACATATATATCTATATCTATATATATATATATATATATATATATATATATATATATATATATATATATATATATATATATATATATATATATATATATATATATAATATATATATATATTTCTTTAGTGTGTAGAATAGAAATGTATTAGACAAAGCACACAATAATCTGTTTTCTTAATATTTTTGTCTATAAATCCCCCTCACCTCCCCTTTTTCTGATGTAACCTCACTAATTATTTCTCTTTTAGGGTGATCTATCTGGTGACTACCGCACATTGATGCTGGCTCTAATCACCCCTCACTAACGGAAGTTTCTCTTGTAGGTTGATGTTTCTGGTGACTACTGTCTCTTGATGCTGGCGCTAATAACTCCTCACTAAACGGCTCTTTCTCTTTTAGGGTGACGTGTCTGGAGACTACCGTATGTTGATGCTGGCTTTAATCACCCCTCATTAATCGATGTCAGGCTGCAAAGAAAATAGATCATCAGAGTCTAGAAGGGTTTTTTAATCATTTTGACTGGAGCATTTTCGTTGAAGAATGCCAACACAATTATACAAGTGAACTTTATTTACCAGTTTTTAATCTATATTTTCATATATGCAAATTTCTGAGTTTGTTTAATCCATGCGTAGATTCTGTATGGTAATAAATGTTTTGTTGTTTTAATTATGGTGTCATCATATTTTTTTTTGTAAAATTAGATGTAACTTTTTTTGGCTATTTTTAAAATTTGCTAACTAATTTTAAAATTATATTTTACTTGAGAAAGATAGGGCAGGGATGATAATGATGAATTATGTTTTTGTTGCCTGTAGACATTTAAAAAAATTATTTTTAAAATTATTAAAATTATTTTCACAATTATTGTTGGTAGAAATTGGGAAAAAAAGATTTTAACATAGTTATCTACCTTGAACCTTGCAACATATCTTACTTGGCTAGCTGGGTTTAGCAGCTGGAAGGATCTAGAATGGCAGGGTCACAAGTGTCAACAATGGTAGAACTTCTTGAAGCCAACCAATGTCAATTGGCTAGCTGGGTTTAGCAGCTGGAAGGATCTAGAATGGCAGGGTCACAAGTGTTAACAATGGTAGAACTTCTTGAAACCAACCAATTTCAGTTGGCTAGCTGGGTTTAGCAGCTGGAAGAATCTAGAATGGCAGGGTCACAAGTGTTAACAATGGTAGAACTTCTTGAAGCCAACCAATGACAGTTGGCTAAGCTGGGTGTGTTTTTTAATCCGAGATCTCAAGGGAGTTGCAGTGTATTTTATTAGATTTAGTATCCCTCTTCGTTTACAATTTCAAATTATTTCCTGATATTTTTACATAACTTAACTAACCAACACTTAATGAACAATGCAAAAAAAACAAACAAATCCATTTAATTAAACTAATGGATAGAAAGCAAAGAAGCGCATAAATATTTTTTTGACTAATGGCTTAGTTTTTAAAAATAATTTATTAATATAAGTGAAATCTTCAACAATTGTGATCCTCATCTTTTTACATTTATTTGTTTTGTCTATTTTTGCTACAATCACATTTATTCAATGCTTTTGTTCTATTTAATCCAACCATTAGAAGCTCAATGTGTGCTTGAATGTTCTACTCCATGTCAACTATACTATTCTCCGACACGGTCTTCAGATAATGTTTTCCTTTATACTTATTTGTACTGTATGTTAAATTAAATTAATCATATAATAACCCTTTTAAAATTAATGTTGTATATGCTATATAATATCAGATATATTCAATACTTTTTCATCTAAAATTATTTTCTTGCTCCCAAAAATTATTCATAACATTAAATAAATTTCTTACTGTTAGGTGTTATTACTTCCAAGTTTTAAATGTTAAAATTCTGTTATGTGATGTAGTGTAGTTGAAACATTTCTTTTTTTAGTGCCTTGCCAACTATTTCCAATGAACTAGGTTTGGTTGTATGGAGAAACAGTTTCCTTAAAGGCTGTGTAATGTTTATTTTGATTATTGTTGTTGAGTGATTGCTTAAGGAGGTGAACTTAGATATTCAATCTTTGTAGCTTGTGTAATCCAAGATTATTTTTTAATTTAGTTGAAATAAATTATAATAATTCTGCGGTTTTTTTTTGTGTATTAATTTCAAGAAAGAAAACTGGTCGGTGAAATAATATTTTATAAATGGAATTGTTGCGAAAGCTTATCTGAAAGCAAGCTTATCTTAAAGCGGAAGGAAGGGCAAGTAAGACATAACACACCCATAGGAGGGCTAGAAAGACATAACATACCCATGGGCGGGCAAGTAAGACATAACATACCATGGTCGGGCAAGTAAGACATACCCATGGCGGGCAAGTAAGGCATGATACGCCTATGGTTTCTTCCAGGCATCTCTTCGGGGGGGGGGGGGGGCAGAGCCCTGAAGAAAGTCTACTCCCCTCCCCCCGAACGAAATGGAATTTATATAGAAAATATATTCTTTTAGCAGTGTCCGCCCCAGGAAATTTTAGTCCGCTCCCCCGAAAATTTCAAGTCCCCCCCCCCCCCCCCCTTGGAGAAAAAAGTTTGAAAGAAACACTGCTTTTTCAACTTTTCCACCGACCGCATCAGAACGTAACCATCGCCTCACTGTTAAACCAATTGTTTTTTTAGACGCAACGATTACAAAAAAATCAGATAAGTGCTTTTTTCTGAGGGAAAAATGTTTCCGTTTACGAAATACCCTAGTCGAGAAAGCTAACAGGAACAAGTACATTTTCATGAGCGGGCTGGATGTTTGCTGATGTTTTTTAACATGATACGTGTTCTCGGTATATGGGGGAGGGGGGGGGGGGGCAGGGCATGTGGTGAGGTGGGGGGTAATTGACAGGGGTAATATCTGTGAGGTTTTCATCTGGCTGTGGGTAGTGACACACATGGTAATGATCGTAGGAATGTAACTGACCCGAGTAATTTCTTTAGACCATTTATCAATACATATATAAATAAATAAGGCATAATTTTTATAACTACATATATGAATAAATAAGGCATATAGGGCCCTATATATATATATATATATATATATATATATATATATATATATATATATATATATATATATATATATATATATATATAACTTGAGTACCGTTTCAGCTAGGTTGACGAAATTATTTAGTTGAGTATCAACTTATTCTACTTTCGGCTTTTTAAAGTCTATAAATTAAGTACTATTTCAGTTATATAGACGAAATTTTACATATTAGTAAAATTGTGTCCTGTGGAGTATTTTTGTGAAAACACCTACATAGAAACTATGTGAAGTAAGGTAAGAGGTCACAACAACACATACCACGGGAGGTCAAGAAAGACATAACACACCCATGGGAGTTCAGGTAAGGCATAATTATAAAGAAAATGTTTCATTTTCTATAGAGTTGCATGACTAAAAACTATTGCGCGCCTATAAAGATGATAACGCTCGTGTAATAGTGCGGAATGATTGGATAAGTCTGCCTATTAATTTGGACAAAATTGTAATTAATTCATAAAAAAATAATTAGGCATCCAATTAAGTCAAATTTAAAGTCAGATTGCAACTTTGAAACGAATATGTCAGTTAGAAGTGCCCGAAATTTCGCTCGATCGTTTCGATCTATGACAACATACTGACGACAGACTGGACGAGGAAGAAAGTTAAATAAAAGCATGTGCAAATAAATATTAGTATAATATATAAGTATTGTCGATACAATTTTATGGCTTTGGATTTCTCTAAAATGCCGAAAACGGCAAATAATATTACATTTGCCATGTAATAAATTTTGTATTTAAAGATAATGTATTGTATTGGTGGTTGCATAAATATTTGGCAATATTTTTGTTTACTTTAGATTTATCTCGAATTGTATTCCAATCAGTGGCGTAGGCAGGGGGGGGTTAGGGGGGGTCATAACCCCCCCCATAGACCCCTCGGTATATGTAAAAAGTATGAGGGGGGGTGCAAATCGAAAGTTTGAGGGGGGGGGGGGTGCTAATCGAAAGTTTGAGGGGGGGGGGGGTGCAAATCGAAAGTTTGAGGGGGGGGGTGCAAATCGAAAGTTTGAGGGGGGGTGCAAATCGAAAGTTTGAGGGGGGGGGGTGCAAATCGAAAGTTTGAGGGGGGGGGGGGTGCAAATCGAAAGTTTGAGGGGGGGGGTGCAAATCGAAAGTTTGAGGGGGGGGGGGGTGCAAATCGAAAGTTTGAGGGGGGGGTGCAAATCGAAAGTTTGAGGGGGGGGGGGGTGCAAATCGAAAGTTTGAGGGGGGGGTGCAAATCGAAAGTTTGTCCCCGGGTAAAAATTGGAACCCCCCCCCTTGAGACGATCCTGGCTACGCCACTGATTCCAATAATCCATATTAGGTTTAAAAATACATTGTTTGCGTATTTGTTAAGGGGTCGTCCATAAATGACGTCACACTCGTAAGGGGGAGGGGGGTCCGGAATTTTGTTACGGTGTGTGATGAGGGGGGGGGGGAGGGTTAGATGGTGCGATGTCACACTTTTGCACAATAAAAAAGTAATGTTAGAAAACGAATTTTAGACGTTATTTCGCGTTTTAGAAAACTGTTTTAATAAATTGTAATAGGAATTTATTAAAATACTCTATTTTGATAGAGTTCAGACAAGATTTTGAAAAAAATATCGATGTTTTAAAAAAATTCAACTGCTATTTTGAGGGGGGTTGTATACTGAGGTGTGACGTTATTTTAGGGGGGGGGGGGCTGGCTTTTTGTGACGATATGTGAGGGAGGGGAGGGGGGGGGGAGGTAAAAATCGTCAAAAAAGCGTGACATCATTTATGGATGACCCCTAAGCATAATACAGTCCCTTTTTCCTAATGACAAATCAAAAGTTTATGCTGGCTTAATATTTACCAGATCGTAAGAAATAGTTTCAGATACTTAGATGAACCTTACGTTTTTACCTACATGTTTTAAATCTCTAATTTATTTCATACTACTAATAATTGAAAGGACGATAGTAATATTATTACATTCGTAGAGTAACAATGTATGTATAATTATATAAAACTAAGGATACTGCTTTAACAAGATTTTATTAAATGCCAAAAATAAATAATTAAAATTTAAATCGGCCTTATTTTTATTTCAGTGAAGGTTGCTGAAGCAGTGTGCGTAGTGGTATCCCACCAGATCACACCCTTGGCATGTTGTGTGCTTCCCCAAAGTCCGTTCAGATTGGACACGTGACAATATTTATACCACCAGGCGGCACAGTTTCCAGGACCAGCATCGTTAACTTTATCAAACGTGCTGAACTTCTGATCGTTGTGTGCCCAAGCAAAGGAATCACCAGCGTTTCCCGAGTAATCGCTGACCTTTAACCTGTATCCCTCCACCTCTCCATACACCCGAAACCTGGAATATTTCGCGAAGTAGTCCGTGTTGTTAAATTTAAAATCGACCCTCAGCTCGTATCGTCTTTGTGACGTCAGACGGTGAATGTTCTCGTTGCCCAGCCAAAATTCTCCGACATCCACATCTCCAAACCCATACTTGTATTCCTCCCACCCCCGATAGAAATCTGTTTGTCCGTTGAATCTTCTCTGTATCACCGTCCATACTCCACCGTCTGTCTGTGTGTCACACATCACCTCAATTTCACTTGATAGGATGACCACTGGTCTAGGTGAAGAACTGACCACATCCCTGCATGTGTCTGGTGTAGTTTGGCAGGTAAGGTCAAGATTGGGCACTAGTTGAAGTTTTATTGCCACTGCCTAGATAACAATAAAAAAAAGCGTTGTATATATTTTGTCTAATCTAAGAGACACCAACAAGCGGGTTCCAGAGTGTAAGTCTAACTATTGTAACAGAAATATATTTTTATATCAACACGTTTGTTGAAATGTCTTTGAGGTAAAGTTTTAGCTCCTGACAATTATAACGGGATGGTAAAGAGCAGTACTGCTAATCCAATTTCAGATCATGATCTCGAATTTATATAATGTCCTTAAATCGATTTAGCTCTGATAGTGATTTACTATCTTTAAGATTATCTGTCATAGAAGTGACCACATCACCTTGCATATGTCGTAGTCTTAGAAGGTGAGGTCTTGAGGCAGACCGTGAAGACATTTGTGGTCTGTCTACCATGCACTACACTGTGGCTCTACTTATCAGAATTATAGAGACCACATACAGCTGGGTATCAGTACCGCGAAATGCACATTAGCGTGTAAAGAAAACAAATGTTGGTCTGAAAACATTTAGACTAAGTAGGCGGTGACGTTAAATATGCCCAATCAAAAGCATAGTAACACTTATAAAACAGTTTTTTAAAATGTCAATAAAAACCCAACTTACTTCGTGCAACCATACTACAAGCACACAATAGCAGAGCAAAGAGTCTCACGATGTTCCAAATGCTTTTCAACATTTGCAGCAAGTTATGCTTGTAACGAGGTAGTTTTTTTCTGAAAATTTTTTTTTTTAAATTAAAAGTCCGCTTTCAAGTAAAGCAAGTTGTTTTGAAAGGTTTCATTTAATCTGCCTCCATTTATACCTGCCCGAACATATTTGTTTGACACTCTTGTTTGCATCAAATTATGTTAAACAAATATTGTCTTGTATGAAAAGTAACAGCTCTGTTAACTGAACACATAAAATATGTGACTTGTTAATTTACAAAAGATCACTTGACACTGTTGCAAGTCATAAGATAAAGCGAAACATATCATCTGGAACTGCATTTTGACATCCACGTATTTAACGGCCTGACGTAGCCTATATAAGGTCACATATAATGTTTGAAATAAGTTTCCATTCAAGTACCTAAATAAATATGACATACAGCTGGAAGAACTGATAAGTAGCCGGTGGGTAATTATAATCATTAAATACACCACCGTTTATTGGTCTAGCGACTCAATTCTCGTGGTAGATTCATGAAAAGATATGAAACATTTTACAAACGGTGAAGCACTTTTGTTATCTTGAAGTTGTTAAAATAATCGATATAAACAAAACAAAACCCCTAGTATACATGACATCCACATCTCCAAACCCATACTTGTATTCCACCCACCCCGATAGAAATCTGTTAGTTGAATCTTCTCTGTATTACCGTCCATCCTCCCCCGTCTGTCTGTGTGTCACACACAAACCAAAGTCCAAAATGACCATCTGTCTCGACTGAGAGGTGACCACATCCCTGCACGTATCTTTTTGCTGTTTGGCAGGACTGTTCTAAAGTATCGCGCGTCAAAGTTTTGGATGTTGACATTGTCTACTTAAATATTGAAAACACGGAAGCTAAAGTTAAAGTTTTTACATACTTAGCGTAAAAAAACGTATACACCGAAGTGTTATTTTTGCTTTCAGATAGGTAGAGTTTACCTTTATGCTAACTCGGCATAAACAAGGGTACTGTTCTTAGCTCCTTATGCAGCCTTTGTCAAACTAATCATATTATAGGAAATTTTAACTTATAATTTGATCGCGCATAACATTACTGATTATACTATGTTTGAAAAGAATAACTAATACATTCATGCTTTTGAACTGCTGCGAAATGCTTAACACTTCAGGCTACGTGGGCATGTACAAAGTCGTCGTACATCGTTGTACACACGAAAGATAAAACAAATATCAATCTAACGGTACTCGAGTCCTCATTAAAACTACAAGATACCTGACTCAACCTATAGGATTTTGAAAAATTCAAAGTAGAATAAGTTCCACTTCTGGTTACCTGAAATCGCTGAAAAGTTGACTCAAAACTACACATTTGATATTATACTTATATATGAAATTTAAAAAACCTAGCTGTAACGGTACTCAAGTTACCGTGTTCACAGACACACATACACAAACACAACACACAGACATAAGGAAAAGATTGCAAATTTATGTTTTTCCGACTCAGGGAGTCGTAAAACGTCGAGATTTGCAAAAATCTAGATTTTTTTTCTTGCACGATTACAATACTTTCTGTATACTTTGTATACGAGAAAGTAAAAACAACAGTTTTCATATTTAAACGATGGCATTCGTTTGACAGGCATTGGAAAATTTCCTGCAAGGTTGAATAGTTGTATGTTATTAAAAAATGCTTACGTTTTCTAGGCTATAGGGTATTGTATCACCTTGAACATTTTATTAATTGGAAATCAGGGAAATACTAGCTAGGAGTAATTTTAACAAAATGTGTTTTTTTAAACAATAAGGTAATTTAGGTAAGTGGTACATTAAAACAAGGTTAGGTTTCAATTTGTGTGTGAATAATGATTGAAATACAGTCTGGATGGGCATGATGAGAGAGAGAGAGTTATGTGGCGTAAAATAATCTGTCTGTATTAAACTCAATAAATTAGTTTGCAAAATCAAAAGGAGTTTAATTTTACTATATATATATATATATATATATATATATATATATATATATATATATATATATATATATATATATATATATATATATATATATATATATATATATATATATATATATATTAATACTAATAGTTTCGCTGTCTGTCTATCTATCTGACAAGAACGCTCTGTCTGACAAGAACGCTCTAGAGAAAACACAAGCAATTTAAAAACATGCATAGTATTTCGAAAAACGAAGTATGACGTCGACACATTTAGCACAGAGTAGAAAATAATCTCAAACCGGAGAGTGCACACAGTAATATAATGACGTCATTGATTATCGCGTAAACATTGAAAAAAAAAGGAAATTTTGTCTTATCTAAGTGGTCTGCGTGAAGAGTTTCTTTCATACAATTCTTCGGGTAGGGGCGAAGCCCCACCCCCGCGTAAGAACGTCTGAGCCCCCCCCCCCTCCCTAACTCAAAAGAAATTTCTTTATCGATACTCTATAATAAAATTACCGCCTAATTAATGTGTCTAATCTAAAAAGTGGTTTTCTTGCAATTTCTTTAATGCAATTCTTCGGGTAGTGGCTAAGCGCGACACCAGTGTTTCTTTCAGACTTTTTCCTCCCCGGAGAGGGGTGGGGGTACTTGAAATTTTCGGGGGCGGGGGTAGAATTTTCTGGGAGGGGGCGGACACTGAAAAAAGTATATAATTATATTTCGTTGAATGGGACGGTAGACATGTTTTGGGGGGTGGGGGGGGGGGGGTGGGGGGGGGGGGTGGGGGGGGTGGGGGGGGGGGTGGGGGGGCGCTGTGTGGGGTGGGGGGTGGTATGTGGGGGGGTGGGGGTGGTGGGGGTGGGGGGTGGTATGTGGGGGGGTGGGTTGGTTTTAGTTTAGAGAAAAGAGACAGCACTATCAGCCTAGCGCCCGTTGTACCCTTCCTCAACGGGCCATTTTTCTCGTATATATATATGTGTGTGTGTGTGTGTGTGAGTGTATGTTTTTTTGGCACTACCCCCATCATTTTCCAAATGCTACCATACGACCTGCGGTCAACTAATTGGTCGTCCTGCACAATTGTTAGGGCTCTGGGATTCTTCTTGAATCAACGGTAAAACTATATATGGGGTATCCTTTGGCTAGTTGGCGGTCATTTGACCCATGAGCAGTATGGCGCCTTCAATTGTTTCAAGAGCGCTATACACAAGGGGTACTGCAGCCTGCTATAAATCAATTTCATAAACAAAATAAGGGCTGGCACCTGCCTGCTATTGGGTTGATGTATCTTGTAGCTTTCCCCAACGAACTTTACATTTTCTACCTTAGAGTTGTTGATGTCGATTAAGTACACTCAAGGGTTTTCTGTAACGCGTTCTGGGGCTTAAAGGCAGTAGTATGGACGTACCAGTTTCCAAAGAACGAAGTTCCAAGGAATGTATTACCGATATAGTTTGCATTTCAATAACTCGAGCTCTAATCAAGATCATACTATAAATATGTTATTTAAGTACACCAGTGGTTTTTGTATGGTGAAATACCATTCAGTTTAGCATTTATTTTAATGGTATTTCAGCATACCATATTTATGTTGAAAATTAAAAAAACAAAACAACATATTTTATTATTTCTATAATGTTTTCTGTTTCAAAAAAACTAGTCACTTAACACTATTAGGGTTAGTAGCAAAAGATCATTGAGTATACGATCAATAAATATGTTAATTTATTAACATTTAGACCTCTACAAAAGGTAGTTTTTTTTTAACATCGTCGCCGTTACCACGGAAACCATTTTTTCAGAAGATTTCCTGATGCATGCACATTTATTCCTTAAAGTAAGAAGTTTTTTTTCTGAAGCCTTCCCCCTTAAACATCCTCACACTTACTTTGGGTATTAACGCCGAATTAGTAAGTTATTGGACAATGTCCGGACTTGAAATTGTTTTTTCTTTTTTACATTTAATTACCATAGAAAACCTTTCAAATAACGTTTGGTTTGTTTTAAAAACTTTGTCTAATCTCTATTTTGTCAACCTCGTTTCTCTATGGCGTATCATTCCTGTAATATATTGGGATTTGTGAGGTCAGGGGAACTCACTCTTCTTGTATTAGTTATATTTATAATGTTGTTATTGAGTGATGTCCCTTGTATTTATCTATTGTTACTTCCTGTTCCGGTCTTCCATCATGTAGTCGAAGGCCCAATAAAATCTAGATACAAACAGCATGGCTTCTCGTCAGTGTGTTATAATAGAACCACTCCAATCTACCTCAATTGGCGACGAGGATAAATAATCCACTAGAAAGGGCACCTACTTACTCAAAAAGAGGTTTGCTAGAGCATATTGGCTAAGTATTTCTAGAATAATGGCGCTGTATGGCCAAATAAAAGAATTTGATTCGAATGATGAAATCATTCATGATTACCTAGATAAGTTAAGCTTTTACCTTGAAGCTAACAACGTGACGATAGAAGCCAAAAAGAGAGCTGTTTTGTTAACAGTCATAGGGCCTCAACAATTTAGGCTACTAAAGGACTTATGCGCACCAGCTAGTCTAACTACTAAGAGCTTTAACGAGCTGAGCAAATTGCTAACAGACCACCATGCGCCTACCCCATCAAAGTTTCTATGTCGAACTAGATTTGACAGTAGGACTCGTCAACCAAACGAGTCAATATCAGAATATGTTGCTGCTTTACGTCATTTAAGTGAAATTTGTGAATTTGGAGACACGCTGTCTGACAGACTATGTG